GAGCGCGGTCTGGCTGAGGGAGAGAGGTGACGCCAGCATCAGAAGTTCGGATCGTATGGAATTTACCTCTCTTATTCCAAAAAAATGAATGGCCAAAATACACCGGGCTGACCAAATTCATACGCAGCGCCGTACCCTTGGACGGTTTTATCGAGCAAGTTTTTTTCGAGTTGCAGTGTTATTTCCGTTCCATCGAGAATATTCTGTAGATTTTGACATGCCTTGTTAAATAATATATCAGTCGCACCCCTCTGCGGTAAGTTGATCATTCTGCCTGGATGGGTAATATTGCTGTGAAGAGAGATATATTGCAGATTCGGCAGTTGGCCGTTTAGCACGCATTCCGCTATATGGGCCAATAATTGCGCTATTAGTGATCGGCATTCCCTTATCGCAAGGTGTTTCAAGGAGGATGGAAATTCAGGTGTAGTGCTAAGATACACTTGATCGAGTATTAGGTACTCTAAGACAACGAACTGTTTAAGGGAGCCGCCGAATTGGGAATCTCTGAAAATTGGGGGATTGGCGAACGGGTCGCCAAATGACAGTTGGAGAACCCGTAAGCTATCCCGTCGGCAAAAGAGCAGTGGGTATAGTCGTTGAGGACTTAATTGATGATTATGAGAACCGCACTGCCCACAGTAAAAGGCGGTCAGATTTTTGCATAACCCGACCAGCGCATCAATATCCGTTTCCTCGATGGAACTGCCACAGAGCGAAAGACTTGAGGCAGAAACGGAGCTGAGAGGAGTAACATCTGCATCGTCTGTTTTGGGTGAAGCTTGCCCACCAGAACAGTATTCGCTGATCTGTATCTCTCTCAGAGGCAGCAGAGAAAGGAGCCGGGCAATATTATTCATATTCATTCTATCGTTGTAGCGGCCTTTCCGGCAGCGCAGGTGCAATCTTTCGAGGCTGTTTCGGCAAGGTAACGATGTATGCGCATTCATTCTACCTTGGGCTAAGCCAATCAAGAGGGATAGGCCTTGGGGGTCAAGAGTGATAACCAAAGACCTCAGATTCTGAGTGCGTGAGATTATCAACATAGAAAAGATGACGGAGTCTCCGATTTCTGTACCAAAACGAGATGCATCTATGTCACTCAAATTGATATTCTGGGCTTCCTTTTCGAGGAGGTGAATATCTGCTACTGGCAGTTTATCTTGGTTGACAGCATTGGAATTATTTTCCCCCTCAGCCAGTAGAAAGCCTGGATTGTCGGTATCAATATCAAGTTGTTGGACATGCGCTGCTATGTGAGGGCAAGTAGTAACGGTGCGGCAGAGAAGGAGGATTGATAATAGTACATCTTCAGGGCCTAGGATAATCTCGTGGTAAAGAAGCGGCTGGGCGATGGCGCAGAATTTCTTTGATACCAAGCAAATATCTTTCAAAGCTGCAGTAGTCTCCAAATAGTCCAGGATTATCAAAATAATCTCTGGCGGTAGGTCGCTGAGTTCCATCTTCGAGACTCGTCGAAGAATCATCGAAAGTCGGGGCGAGAGCTGACGTCCTTCTCACTGCTACACGAGATGTACCCCGCAACGTGGACCTTCCAGTCGACTAACGGAACGAGGCAGTTGTCGGAGCTGCCGTAGATCAGTAATCCGGGAGCCCACACCGCCTGCGTGAGAAACTAGAATGGCTTGTTCATCCCGCCCTCGAAGCCTAACCCTGGTTCGCTCACATACGACGATGTAATGATTGAAAAATAGAAGGAGTAGCAATAATTGACAGAAGGGAGTATCATATCGAGTTAAGAGGATAGGGTGGCTGCGTACTGTCCACTGATTGCCTTAGTCCCACGAAGGAAATGAGACAAATCCAAATCCACAAGTAGGTCACCCAATAGGAGAACAATCAACCACTTGCCACATACGATAGTCATCTAGGCCGCCTACTTGTGAAACGATCAAGCATCTAAGTATTCTATAACTAGGATGAGTCGTGTGATCAAAGCAATAGGAACCTTCGGAAAGGAGAAACCAAATAGTAAGTTCGCTTACACCTCTGATGGCTGATTAGGAGGGACTTCCAAGACCTGTTCGCCAAATTCTATAACTGTCGACTAGGGAAGGCTTGATTGCGTAAGAATGCTATATAGGCCTGTCATAAGCAGTATGCCGGTTGCCTCAATTTCTTTCAGAGCACTTACAGAGATGCCTTCCAGCAGCCATAGTGGGTCCATGCTGGAGCTTGTTAAGCTGTATGCTCGATGATATAGCGGAGCTTTTACCCCCGCGGATCACTTGAGGGGCTGTCGCTGTGATTTTTTTTGCTAGGCATGGGGTCAAGTTGAATTTCATCTTCGCCATTTGACTCTTGGTATACAGGCTCATGGCCGTGCTGTAACTCTTGAGCTAAAGGGGGTCCATTAGGAAGGATATTTGTTCTTTTATTTTGTCGGAAAAGGGGATCTGCCTGGTTAGGTGAGCCCAGTAACGACTCCAGACGGTATTGATAATATGGATCGTTTGGGAAAATAACTGCAAGTCGGAGTTTGTGCATGTGTGTGCTCAAAACAGATAATTTTGTGGGTACAAGAAAAGGATTTGCAGAAGATGTGAAGGACGCAAAAGACGCTGGAAACGGAGCGTGAGAGCTCTTTGCACATGTCCATACAGGGAAAGGAAGTTGGGTGCTTATGACGTCATGTTTCCCAAGCACGTTTGGTTAAGTAAATTACGGTCGGGTCCGCCACACGGGCGGGTTGGCCACCCTGTATTTTGTTACGGCCCACTACTAGTCAATCTACTAGGAAGGCGGACACGCCAAGCAGAAAGCACCGATAACGACGACGAGGAACCAATGGACAACTCATAAGTCCGGTAAAGCCTTGGTTTGCTGGAAGGAATGTCGATATGGCATACCAACAAGGTGTTACAGACCCCTGCTAGTTGAATCCACTAGTGAGGCGGACGCACCTGGCAGAATGCGCCGATAACCGTTGCGACGGATCAAATGGCAATCTTTATCCAGTAGAAAGTATGAAAAAAGTATACGTGGTGACACCACTTTTACAGAACGAACCGTACCTTTAGAAATTCAAGAGCGAGCGAACACCATCCACGCGGCGAAGCAGACGTACCTTCTACACTAAGTACAACGTATACGATCTAAACATATTAAAACCCACCATGTCTATTCAGGCGGTGGTCTCGAGCTGGTTTAGGCGACCGGAACGATCGTCCACAATCGGTGCATCAGCTATGTCTAGCGGCATTGCTGCCGAAGGCTAGTTCTGCTGTCGAAAGTCCTCGTGCAGAGCCCGCACTAGTAATGATTGAGTGTTTGACGCACAAATGAAAGAGGAACAGAGCGAGAGATACTGACTAATGATCCGATTGTCACTAACTAGTCAGGTGACATTCTGGGCAAAGGCGCCCTACCATGGTCTCTTCTCTAGTTCGACGACTCTTTCTATTAAAGCAGTGGATACCTCGTACACAAACTCTGAATGATCTTTTCGGATTTCATCAGATTGACGTGATTCCTTGAGCGTACCGGAATGTCGAAGGGCGAATCTCATAAGGATTTCACGTAGGTCTGATCTTGGCGGACTCTGGGACCACAGACATCGCTGACAACTGCGAGAGATCCGCAGTCGTCCCAGTCATTTCTCAGGTTGGTGTCCAACTCCCTTTTGGATATATCTTTCAATCCTCCAATCAAGTATTTCTCTGCCACAATGTGGATTTGCACGTTAATGTGCGCACGCCTCCACTGCCATGAAAGAACATCTTGGGCGATACGCTCCGTTGGTGATATTCCCTCTTGGGTCACAGAATCATCCTCCGCAGCAGTATCACTTTTCACAGCGAGATCTTCCGTAATCTCCGGTGAGTCGTCATAGCTGCACGGTAAAGGAATCCAAACATTTTTGAAACGATGAAAGGGTCATCGGGAATGTATACGACGCGCGATTTAGCTTCTTATGTGGAAATTAACGATCAGTCTCTGGGTGTCACCGCTGATACATTACTCTTAGATTTACCATTTGCAGCCTTGTCGAAAGATGGCGACTGTAGGCACACAATGCAACGATGAACGTGGAAGCTTGATGATGGGCATCTGACTATGAGGTCTGAGAACTGCCTACTCTCTTGCATGCTTCGAAGTACGTGTCAGTTCATATGCAAACCAAGATCAAGGAGAAATACCGAGACAACTGCGCTTTGAGCGTATCAAAGCCCGTACGTAGTCTTGATGCATCAGGTTTTGTCGCTTGGGATTGCTTCACTCTAGAGTGACGTAGTTGGGTTTTCAGCCTCCGGCCCCTTAGCCGGATAAACATCTGAAATCCAATATTGTCGTTTGCAACAATCACATGCCTTCGTGCTGGAGTCAGTTAGCGTGGACAGTCAAATTCACTCATGGCAATCATCCTAGGAAAAGGCTCTCCTTTATAGCGAACCCCTATTGCGAAAAGTACTAAAGACCTCATAGTTCATACTTGTACCCCCGGATATTGCTCTCATTTGGACGACTGTCGAGATCCTTGCCGCGGGTATATGTACCTTGGTAGTAGTAGTTTTGTCACCTAATGCACAATGGGTTTAAAAATAAACAGATGTACTAAATGACATGGCGGAACTCGACAGAATTATATTTTACCTTCATAGCGGCATAGCATGACAATGACCAAGCAAACGACCGCTGACCCGGCTCGTTATATCAACATCCAGCAGTCGTTTATAGGATTACCGCCACAAGGTCTCCGAACCAGCAGCATTCCACTATAAGCCACCTCAACTTACGAGTGAAAAAAATAAAGAGATAGAGAGAGAGGGGGGAGAGACTAAGAAACGAAAACAACAAAAGAGACTGCACCGAAAGGCAAAGCCAGTCAAGGTTCCGCTTCCAAAAGATACTCTGCAACCTTATCGCTGCTATCACGAAGTATCCCCACAATAACTGAGACAGCCATGGGATAATCCCTTCAAGCTAACACACAGGTGTTAGGGATCCCTCAGCACTCCGTCAAATCCCACCTAATTCTTCCCACTAGGAGGAGTATAAGTCGAGCCACCATTGCCGTTATTGTAATAAGTGCTCCCATCGGGGTTGGAATAATAGTAGGATCCGTTACTGGAGGAAGAAATTTATTAGAACTGATTTGGCAAACTCCAGGTCCGAGTAGAAGAATAATAATGAGGGGGAGGAATGGAATGGGACGACATGACTGACCTGTTTGAGTAGTGGTAGGTGTTTGAGTTAGAGCTGCCAGAGTAGTCACGGGAGCACCAATGGTTTCCCTTTTGGACATCAGACCTTTAGCTAAGGTTTTGGATCTACAATATAGGGTGGTACTTACCTGACTGTTAGTGCCGGAGCCCTTGTAGCTGAAGTCTTTCCCAGACCTGGGCATGTTTACGATTTGATCACTGATGAAATATCGAAGGACTTGATTGATGCAGTGAGTATTTAGAAGCTAGATGATGCGGGCTGCTGGTGGAGGAGGAGGGGGAGGAGGAGGAGGAGGAGGAGGAAGAGTGAAAGATAGGGTCAGGCGATTCAATGTGAGGGGTAATTTGAGCCCCGCCAACGACCACATCTGACGTCAATGGGCGACCACTCGCTTCAGGTGCATCCGAGCTACTCTGCAGCTGAGTGATAATGTATTTCTTGCTTTCACTCGGTGCTTCTGGTATATTACTAAGTGTCTTTCCTAGAGTAGTTCTGATATCTTTCTTAAAAAGCGCGGGATTATTTCTAACGCTTTAGTTAATTATTAATTTAAGGAATTCTGTTAGCAAATAGGTAAAAAAATTAGAGATTAATTTAATACCTCTATAATCTTCCCTGTTCTAATATAGCTTTTTTTACTGTTAAGATGTACAGTGCCAATGATCTCCGGAGGCAGATGTAACTCATTTGGGGCTATGTGGTGATGATTTAAGTAATGTAAAACAGGGAATACCCATTTTTTAAAAAAAAAAAAAACTTTCATTTAGGGCGAAGGAGTATTCTAATAGTAGTAGTTTATTATAGAAATCTAAATATAAAGAAATAGGCAATTCTCACTCAGGGTGTATAAATTATGTTATCAACAAGCTTATTTACATGAGATATGATTTAATATCGCAAAAGATTATTTGTGCTTTGGATAGTAGTATTACTGATATATATATATATTGAGGTAAGTGATATTTGAACTAACTTATAGGCTGGCCTAAATTATCTGTAAGGCAACCTGTTACGACAGGCTGTTTGCTGCCCGAAAAGTCATCCACTGATAAGATATTTAATGGGCAAATGGTACTTGTCCTTACAGACTTCCTATGGGTTGTGTTTGCTTTGAAGTGGGGCCTCCGCTTCGGCCAGCCAAGTTCTTAAGCTAGTATTAAATCAGTATTCCAGAACTGATGAGACTGCCGTGGAATTATGTTTCTAAAGAAAAACCTGCACCATGTTATTTCTTTTTTAGTAAATAAATAGAGATGGTTTCTTGATTTTCTTTTGGGGAAATAGGCTATTAACTTCCTGTATGATTAGGTCTGAATTCACTGGATTAAATTCAGTTTTAATATGTATGCTAAAATATTAATATTAGAACTAGTTAAGCTCCTATTATGAGTACTGCCAGCCAGGATACTAATCTTTATTTGGGTTGGCAGGTAATATCTGTGACACAGTAATATCTAGACTTAGTATATGATGAGAGAAGGTTAGTTTGTTAAGTAATAAATTATTAATCTGGCTTCTTATTTTTCTTAATATTTAGTCTTAAATTTATCTTTATAGTAAGAGTCAGCCAATACTCTCTAGTCCTTTGACTGGCAGTATTTATTTACTATAATTTTTAATGCGACCATTACTTTGCATGAGGTGATTCTATTGATACACTAGTTATTAGAAATATAGGCTTAAGTTATACTGTGTTAGCTTATTATTTAATTATATTTTATTATCTTTTTATCTTTTTCTTAATGGCCTCCTTCAGGCTGCTTACTCTAGAGGTAGAATATAAGTTCAGCTGACTTATTATATAGTTATTAACTTTTACTGGAGGATACTTGTTATTCTTAAATCTGCAGTACTTGGATTTATACTTTATGTATAATATATATTATAATTTAGATGGCCTGCTATCCTTGAAAAACATTTAGGTCCGCAAGAGGAATAGTAACTAGGAAATTAAAATAAAAAATAATAGAAATTTCCAGAATACCAGATTTATAAAAATATATAATCTAGAGGAAATCTCTTATTACCTGAAATTTTCTATAAGTACTAGTCAAACTGAATTTACTAACTTTGGACTACGGGAGTTGGCTTTCTTTATAATATTTCAGCAAAGCTGGGTCGCTGACAATAAGTTTATAATTATTCAGGACATTATGGATTTTAATAATTATAAAATTAAAGAGGTTGAGCTGTAATATACTCTTCCAAGAAGTTTTAGTTCTATCTGTACTATTGAGGAAGAACGCGCTCTGAGACTGGAGAAAATAGACTTCTAGATCTACAGATTCATAACTTATTATATATAAATATTTCATATAGGTCAACTGAAAGATAAGCTTGCAGTATTTTTTAAAAAGTTATTAAATTAGATTATCTGCCCTCGCTTACACTGGACTGGGATAGACTGGTTATGCATGTGGCTATTCTAATAGTAGGTAGAGACCAGAAATAAGTAAATATATATTAAGATTAGCAGATTTAATCTTATGGAATAGCTTGACTAAATAAGTTAATCTCAGTCAAGTCTGCTTGCTCCGCATATATTAGTCTGAATATTATGGAGTTCATGCCAGGACAGAAAAAAAAAAAACTAAATTAATAAAAGAGGTATTTTAATATATTCTTTCTCTATTTATATTAAACAGCTTATAGCTTCAGGGCTGATAACTGCATGCTAATCTGTATAATTTTTTATAATATCAGGAAATTATTTTTATAAAACTTTATCTTCTGTCCAGTCTCCCCCTCGCGCTAATGCTTCTGCTACTGCAGGCAGAAAAATACCCAACCCCGTGGATTTCCTGATAACATAGCAATGATCATTCGCAACCATCCCATCTTCGGTTGCTAATAATATGCCAGGTAATTTGGCTCGTACGGCACCGGCGACGTCGTGTCAGGCGAGGCTTCGTTGCCTCCAAATATATGCATGTCAGCCTCCAAAGCCGCTTCCGAAAGACCCGGAGTTGTTGAACTCCTATGTATACTCTTTAGTGCTGCTTTGACGCAGTTTCCGATTCGTCCATATTCACCAGCGGCACCATATACCCCGTCCATGTCACCGGTGGGCTAAGACTTAACGCCGGACGGAACATCGAGCGGAAAGATCATGAGATTGAATCTCAGGTCACAGTTAAATAAAAGCAGCTGTTCTCTAGCTTTTAAAAATTTCATGTCCATGTTCTTACGCATCATAGATATCTTTACTTAATAAAGAATTCTAATAATATAAAAAATATTTATAACCCCCTGTCTTTCTCATCAAGGTGGCAGCTGATTGTAGCACAACTAGATTATTCAGTTAAAGATATTATAAGAATTTATTAATTGAAATTCACTATATTTCTTTATTCAGTAAAATTCATATTCTGGAGTTTGGGTAATTCTCAATACCTGAAAATCTATCTTATACTTTATTTCAGAAATTTCCAACACAGCACCCGATATTGGCGGTAAAGATCTACCCGACTGAAACTAATGTATATACAAAAGGATAATCTCACAGGAGAGTACAGGCTAAGATCTTTTTCATATAAAAATTAAATATATTACTTAGAATATAGCATGCAGAAATACTTCAAGGGCTTAAACTATTTTATATCTCTTTTAAACTATCTTAAAAGCAGCTTATAAAATAACTTAAATATATGATAATATCAGCACCACCCGCATGTTTAAACAGCAGAATAAACATGAAAACTTTTTTAGAGACTTTACCAGAAGAGATTTTTTGTCTGATCCTAGACTATTTTTATTTCCCAGCAGTAAAAAAGATTTCGCGCGTGAGCAAGCTTCTCAAAGAGTAATATTTATTATTTATTTTTAATAATATTATTCTAGATTTTACTAAAGGGAGCTTTGCCTGCTTAGATAATATCAAAGAATTCTAATTATATTATTTTATTACATCTCTAGGATTTAAGTTAGGTAGAGCCAAAGCAGGTAATATTTCTTATTATAAAGAATATTAAGTAATATCTTTAGATAATAGTTATATCTAGTATATTACACTACTGGCTTTTCCTATCTTGGGCCAGTGAGCACCGCTGGGAACATGGTAAAATCCACAGAAAGCATATATATTATATTTTCTAATACAACCCTCTGGATTGTGAATCAGTCCAGCATCAGCAATACTGACATATAGTAAACTATTAATTTTCTAGTATCTTTCTCTTAATTACAGAAAGTAATAATCTATATCTAAAAAAAGAATGATATAAGCGTACTACTGCAAGATTTACTAGGTTTATATATACTATATTAGGACAGGAAGTACAATATAACTCAGGTCTGTATTCTTACCAGGAGTATTAGCAGCTCCCAGTAGCAAGATCTTGATTTAAGAGATATTTACCTTTTTAACCTATTTTACCCTGCTTTCTTAATTAATAATAAGCACAGCGAGCTGGTAGAATACCTTAAGCATCTTTTCCAGAATATTTTATCTATACAGATTACTAGTGATAATTTTTTAATTAAACTTCTCTGTCAGTACAGCATCAGTCTCTAACAGCTTAACTTGAAATCTTTGAAAATATTATTTAATATACTAAAAAGCTTTCTTTATACTAATTCTTAATCTGTCTATATCTTAGAAATATTTAATATGGTTCTTATTCAGATGTCTAATTACAGACTAAATTCTCTGCTAATATAATAATTTTTAACTAGAGGCTAGAGCAGCCAGCTTTATTCAAGAATTCTTATTTACTATACTAGTACAGTGAATATAATATTCCTCACAACTCATTTGCTTGAATAATATAGACTATAGAACTCAAACAGTTATTAGCTTGATTAAGGTCTAGTTAAGAGCAAGTTAATTATAAAATATGATTTTCTTAGTAATATCCTTATCTTGAAAATTTATATATATATTTATTAAAAGAGGGGCTTATTCTTCCTGCTTACTTAATTTATAAATCAGCACTACTTTTTATAATAATATAAGTAACCACTCTTCATAGATAACTTTGGATAGTCTATAAAATATATTAACTAAACTTATCTCAGAAGGCCTTTACTGACTCTTATATAAGCTGATAATGGATAATACTAGTTATTATCTACGCGAGGGCAGCAGCCATTGTGTGTTTCAGAAAATAGTAATTATTAATCTTTATAGAATATTAAGAATAGAAAAATTATTTCTATTTGATTAATTTAAATAAAAATTAAATAAAGAATTATTTAATTACTATAAAGACTCTGCTGTTATTGCTAATATTATACCTGGTAGACTTAAGGCCTTCCAGTTGCTAAAAGAAGGAGAAAAAGCCTGCTGGTATAAATAGATTATTAAAACTATTAAAAGAATATTAATTAAGATAAAAAAGATTACTATTATTATTAGATATTTTATATTTTATTCTAAGTAAGATATCCTGGAAATAATTCTTACAGAAAGTAATCTTAAGATTTTTATATATATACTATATTTGGATAAGCCCGCTAACATAGTATGGCAGCAGCACTAGCAGAATATATAAAAATATAGGATAAAGCTGCTTGGTCACATAATCTAATAATAGATTAAGACTAAAAAAATATTTTTATATTAATTTTATTATAACCACAGTATCCTGTTCTGTCTGGTGCCATCAGAAAATATTATTAAAATAAAGATTCTTTTGTTAGACTTTCAGAAGCATGATAAAATCTATAACTTAAGTATAATAATAAACTTTCTTAATATTTCCATGCGCTTTAGTTATATTAATTTAATCAACACTTTTCTAGTCCTGGACGGGGACAGAACCTTGTGTGCTGGAGATACTGGAGACATACTGTAAAGAGTATATAAATTTTAATAAAATAATATAATACTATTAAAAGTTATCTTCAACAACTATCTGAGATATTTATATACCATGTTCTACCAGGTATCATTACTCTACGAGCAGTCATTTAACAATAATTAATTTAATAAAATCTATACACGCGTGGCGTCTTCAGTTAAATTATATCTTGAAATATTTTTATTACTATACTATGCCTAATTTAAAAAATATATTAGTGCAGTGATCATAACCTGCAGATTATATATAATATAGACTAAGATTCTTAATAAGATTAATCTTTCTCACAAGGTCATCGTTGTCAGAGATAATTATATTTTTAATAGATTTACTATTATTCCTGGTATAAAGACGGCAATAGTAGACTGTCTTAAAAAAATATATTATATATATATCTAGACTTTTGGTAATAGCCTGCTCGATATTAACATACTGAGCAGAGCTGATAAAGCTATTATTATTATAAAAAATATTAATACCAGAAGCTAATTAATAAAAACTGAACTAATAACAGCTATTAAAAGTGGTTGATTACATATATACTAATTATTTTTACCAGAAGAAATATTATTATACTTAAACATTAAAAGGCTTTCTACAGTTCAACTGAAATTACTAATAAACTTAATTAACTTCTGATTCTATGTATTCCACAGCACAGATATAAATGCAGCCAAGCTATTAACAACAGCTATATAAAATATTAGAATTAATAGTCCTCTTCTCAGAGAAGCATATCAATATATTAAATATTACTTATTAATAATCTATTTATCTGATCTACTAGGCCTTGAGACAAATCAGATACCTCATATATAGGAATATACTACTGACAGGTTCCAGCTTTTCCAAGAGTCAAGGACAGTAATAATAGCATTAATATAAAAAAAAAAGCTAATAACCTTCGGGATTAATAATATATTTCTAAATATAATATTCCTACACGCTCATTATGTAGCGGATATTAAGAAAATATATTTAAAAGACAGAAATACTGTTATATTTATAGATTCAGTTATTAATACCGGAAAGTCTGTCTTGCAAATGGCACAGCATATCCATAAAATCAATACAGCTGTCCAGATTATAATAATTACTGGTATAGTTTAGAAAAAGGCTGTATCTGTTTATAATCTATTTTATACTTTTACGCGCGAGGGAAATTTTAACCTTGTTACTCTTTATTTCTTAGTTAATAAATACTCAGGTAGGAGCTCAGCAGATACTAGAAACAGACTTTTTAATATAGTACACTTAGTATGATAAGAAATGGAGTACATAGCAAGTCTTATATTAATAAGATAAAAATATAATATAATATATTATTTTTTCTAATTATAAAATTATAATATTATATTAGTGACTAGCCCTTTCTGCCTGTTTTATTTTATTATAGCAAGTCTTGGCACTATATTAAATTATAGTTATTTATACTATAATTACCTAACAGCAGCTTTCACCGACAGCTAGAAGACAGCAGAAAGCATCATTTTAAATAAAAATATAAAAAAAGATTAGGCTTATATACCAGCAGCAACTGCAATATATAAATAATCTGGAACAATAACAACCCCAGCTCGTGGCCCAAAAACATCAGGCAGAACGCAGAGTGCGGACTCCGACCATTCTGGACAGAGCTAAGCAGAATCCTAACAGTAAAGTCCAGTTATCTAATCAGCACAATATAATAAGATATCTGACGCGGTGTAAATAAACCATGTAATACACAAGCCACAGGCGAGTCAGGCTTACCATAAAGAAAAATAGAATCAGGATACTCAGTAAGTCCCGCATAATCAGATTACAGAACCATCAGGATCCAGCCACATTCAAGTATCCCGTCAGAATTATTATCAGAAAGACCCGGATCAAGTAATTCAGCTGACACTAAAAAGTACTACATCACAATCAACATAAATAAATAATATTTCAAAAAAGATTCAGCACCAGGATTCACAGCATCCAGCCATAAAGCAGGAAGAAGAAAATTAAAATAAAAAATAATAATAATATATTTTCCAGTAAACTCAAGCCTGGAATAACCAGTAGAGAATCACTAACTAATACTTAAAATAAAGAAAAGAATTACCAGGAGCATCTCTAGGATTATACTTCTATAATTAAAATATAAATACCAGCGAAAAGTCTCTCTTTAATAATAATAAAAGTATTATAACAGACCTGGTCTCTCTTATAATTAAGAATAACTAAGCAGGAATTAAATAAATCAAGAAATTTTTTATATAATAATTATAAGACTCTTTTCACCTTCTCTTTCCTATTTCTAATACTGGTAATCTATATAAATACTTGGGAATTTTCACTTACGGCCCTAATGGCGCAGGCTGGTGAGAAGATGAGACTTTATTAACAATAAAAAATAAATAAATAATACCAAGTTTTATAATATTTGAGAAAGCTGTATACAGCTGACTAGATATAATAGAAAATAAAGATTGGCTCTGGATAGCAGATAGACCAATGAGATGTGTTATATGCCTCTGAGGCTCGTCCGAAGTTTAATAGCAGAAAGTAGATAAGAAAGGGGGAGAGGTGTTTCTTTATCTACCTATTAATCTATAATATTATATATATAATATAGCAACTTCTAATAGACAGATTCTCTGAACCCACTGACACCTATACAGAATAAAATCACATAATATATAATTATCAATCAAACGCATTGTCCTGACACTTGGAATTTAATCAGTAAACTATAATAACATAGAAAATCAAGTCCATACTTACCATCTGCTAACACATCTTATTATCCCGTAGCAGTTCCTGATAACTTTCCAGCTCCATAACCTGAACCCATATCTACTCTGGCTTATACCAAAGACACATGCTATCTCTGCTTTCAGTACAGTAGCCAGTATATACATAACTACCATAATTATTATATATCTCTTCACTACCAAGCACCTGAGTACTGCCTGTACCATTTCTTAAGACTAGAATAAAGATTAATTCAATATCATTTTATCAAGTAAAAAAACAGTCTGTGTACTAATACCTATATAAAATCAGAGCATTATCATTATCTTCTACCTAGAAATAATTAAGCCTTGATGCCCGATAGATTAACTATCTATCCGGAAGGCAGGTAATAGGATTATAAATATCTATATTCTTAAAAATTTAAATCAGATTAATCTTGGTGAATTCAGAATTACTGAGTTTAAAAATTATATTATTACAAATGGTTCTTTCAAAGAGTTGTGGTTTTATTAATAAGAACTATCAGTTAATAAAAATTATAAAATCTCTCTAACAAAATATCACAGTTATCTTTACACAGCCAGATAAATTAATAAAGACAACAAATTAGCCACTCTTAAATTTAATATCAAGATCTATGAAAAGAAGTGTATCCTGTAATAAATAAAAGAAATATTAATAAAACCTAATATCAGCTTCAATACATATACACAAAGATTATAGTTAAGCCTTAACAGCCCAAGCATACTCTTACTTAACCTCCTTCGGACACAGATCCTGCATGCTGTATGCAGATACTATCACTTAGATAATATATGATACAAAGCTGAAGGACTGCCCGGTAGACTTTTTACCTTAAATAATTCATAATCTAAAGAAGTATTCTATCAGCTGGCATTTTTTATATACAGGACCTTGGCCAACATACCTACTAATATTATCAATAATCACCTACACCTGAAGCATGGATTTAATCATAGAAGAAACTTATCAGAAGATGATTTCCATTACACAATTTAATACTATCAGGAGAGGCGAAGACTAGAATAATATATTTAAATCTTTAAAATACTTTTATTTAGTAGTCTTGCTGGAGTCTAAAATATTTTTAGATTAAGTAATATATTAATCTTTATTTCCTCACAGAGCTCAACTAATATGCGGAGAATATAAATAACCAGAATTATACAATTCCACATCAGTAATACTAAATTATTCAACTGCTTTTAGTTCCCTCCAGAAACTAAGACCTTACACTTGTCATTAATAAAAACTACCCTAGATCTGATACTGACAATACCGTTTAATAATATAATTGATAAAGTCAACCACAAAGACTCGAATATGCTGGAGCAACAGCTTAAAGCAGTATTCAAGATTAATAATTATAATCTTTTATTATAAATAAACACAAGATAAATACTAGAGTACTGCTATTCACTCCTCACTTACTAACTTAAGCCAGATTAAAAATATCATAATAATCACACATGCTTTTACTAAGATAGATACCAGCCAAGTAATCTCTGAGTACTTAAACTAGCTGTGAAATTAAATAAAGATTTTCAAAAAAGTCCGGTCAACAGAAAATAATTAATAAAATATATCTCTAGCTACAAAGCCTAGAAAGATTATATAAATAATTTTATTATTCAAGCCTGCTGTGCAGTCGCACTCTTGCAACATATAAGATTTGTGTTACAAAATATGTATTAATACTCAGTATAAGTTAAAGCCATGATATCTTATAGCAGAATACTTTACAACATTTCCAAATATACTGTTACAAACTTAAGATACTGCCGTATTGCGGAATTTCCACCCTTTCTAAGCCAGTTTTATATTTTATCACTCTGACACAGCAAATTTACTGCATATTCACAGAGACAGATTCAAGAATCCTAGAATACTTTAACCATTTCACATCCTCCAGGTTAATGATAACCAAGCAACCACTCAAGTCATCCCACAGCATATTATACCACTCACTATCACAGTGGATAACCCCACACAACCGGAGCACAGTCAAAGCTCTGTCACACTCTTGGTAGAAGAAGCGGAAATTCCCATCATAGATAGCATGCTGAAGCCGTGTTCCAGACCAGCTCAAGATCATTATCTGCGCCATTAACCTGCCGTGATACTAATATACAATACAAGGCTTAAAGTCCCCAAGACAGACAGGAATGTATTATTCCTGCAAGTTCCGGAGCCAGTGATAATTATCTACTTCTGTTCAAAGACAATGCTGCTTCTCCACAGTCATTACTTTCATAATCACCATGTATCCGCGGGAAAGGAGAGTGGCTTTGATGAGATATCCTGTCCAACCACAAACATGCAGCTGTTCGAATCCAAGTTCCCGATCTCAGGCCAGTTGACGATGGAGCTGGCATGTGAACTCCTGCGGTCCGATGGAGTGTCTCCGACCACCGTGGAGTTCCCAGTTGGGGCAATTCTTATCCAGTGGTTCTCGGTTAGCCAAGCCGCGGATGCACGCAATGGTGCAGTATGGTCGCGTAAAATGTCCGTCTTTCAAAAAGTTTTTTTATTGCTCTGCCCGGCGCGTATCCTTTCCCTTCCCCTCGGTTGTTGCCTAGGTCGCTCGGTCGGCTGCGCGACGTTGCTGCGGCAGATGGCGAATGCGATTACTGCTCAGTGCCGCTGCCTTCAATGGACGAATGCTTCGGTGTAGATGCGCCTGGTTGACAACGAGCGCGAGCGCGTGTGTTGTACATTTTCCGAACTCGTTTCCAGTGGGAGGGCCAATAACTAGACGCCTGCGGGTCTTTACGGGAGGCTTCGGAAATCTCGCTCAACACGTCGAATTCGACCTTGCGAGTTGATAGGTTGTCGTATGCCACACCGTGCTATTTTAGAGTCCGAGGTTCGACGGCCAGGGCTTGAAAAGCGAACGCAAGCACCTGATCGATAGCAGTCCAGTGGAGGCGCAATTCACCGTCGGCCTGAAAATCCGCCTGCACATCTTCATTCGGGATACACAATAACTATGGAACAATGGTGGCATCATCCTTTCGAAGGTGGAGGAAAACCAAAGCCTCCCCCTGTGCAGATGTAGTCGTATCGAACGCCACTGTCCTTCATGTATAACAATATCTGAGTGACCATGGCGGCGACGAGGCGAGTTGGCATAAAATCCAAAGGTGTCGCCTTCCTGTTCAATGACATCCCGAGTCAGATCCATCGGTGTATACCCGCCACCCCACCAATTCAGGGATCGTCACTTTGTGCGGCGCTTCGAACTCCACTGCATAAACAGGTATTGCCGTTCATCCGCCACAAGGTGCACGCAGAACTGGTCGTCACGCGGTTCCACCCTTCTTCTGTCTCTGCGCGGCTCCTCGTCCCCTTCCTCAACCTCATCCAAGCCTCGTGTTCGCCGGTCGTTACGGTGTCCGCGCGTCCTCAAGAATCATTTGCTCCAGGCTGTGCTCCAGCGAAGTTTCCGACGGGTTTGTGCGATCGTAGAAGGTGACTCGGCCTTAGATGCCAAACTCACATTAAAGGCGTCCATCGTCTCGCAAAGCCTCAATGACCTTTTCGACAAAGTTGTCTACCGTGTCTCGGCCGATATTCCGAAGAGAACCTCTAAATAAAGCGGTCTGTTCTGGATATTAGTAACGACATTATCGATTTGGGTATCAGAAGGGAATAAGGGGCGAGAGGGAAAGGCAGCGGTGCGGTCGAACTTCCCCCAGAATTCCTAATAGTTGGGGGAAGTCAAGCCACGGGACGATGTGCTTGGCGTAGATGATCCCTGGGTCGCGAGGGTTGCGAGGGTCGCAAGGGTCACATCTGCCTCAACTTGGATACAGTAGCTTGGGACAGAGAATTGTGGCAGCGATCAAGAAGGCAAAATAATGTGTTGGGTTGCACTCCGTTCTGCCGCTTCTTGTGCTAGTCTCTCTTCCTCCTTGCGGCGCTCTGCCGCTTTTCGCAGCCTTTCTTGTTCTTCGATTTGACATCACAATTCGGTTATCGTTTCCTCCTCTGTTTGAAACGAGCACTTAGTAGATAATCGAGTATAATCTTAACTCAACAACGTTTGGGGGTGTTGTTTGGCGGGCGCGGGGAACAGAGTGCTGGAGAGAATGCGTGTTTACCAGCTTACTCATCAGTCCATTATTGCCTCAGGCATCAATGCATGTCTGTCTCAGACCCATTCGTCCCCGCAGAATGCGCCGGCTCGATGATACCTAAATATGCTATGTAGTAGTTATAAAGTTCGATCCTTCTTATTTTTGGTAAATGGAATCACCGTAGCGGGACGACTCTTGATTGCGTCACTATCGATACCCACAATCCGTTTAATATAAGCACTGTGGAGGATGCTTCCGTTGTACGATCTTGCTGAGATGAATTATACAATCAAACACTAGTCAGCGAGAACCTTTTCCAAACACCATTAATTGGCTCACCTCTCTCGTTGACTGCCCGTTTGCGTGACGATGCTACTGGATGGTTGTCTTTGAGGGTTCGACACGACGTAGTCATTACCCATTGGATCTCATCGACAAGTGGAGAAAAGTCCATATTTCCCCGTCTATTTTACACCGCGAGTTGCTTTCATGCTGTGGATGCCGTCAAGTATTTGCTATCGCTGTATATTCGACAAACAATTCGTTCCATGTTATCCCTTCGGATTGCGAGGTGCGGCCTACACTTTGTCAGTGGATGACCGTTAAAAGGGGACAGACCGGAGACGCCTATGTACCAATTGTTCTCATGATAGAGGCCATTGGTAGTTGGAATTGCGATACAAGATTTGGCCATTTTGTTGGAATCGTATTATCATAAAGACGTCGATGATGGGTGTTCTGGGCGCTGGAGGACACCTTCGCGCATATTTCTCGCCAGCTTGCGCAGAGTGGACGTCAGGTTATATCGTCTGTCAATCGGCTATATCCGCAAGAATTGTCCCTCCTTGTCGGTACCGTGCATCAGAGGTTCAGAATTACCTTTGGCAGTACAGAAATTGTCCTATAGGAGCGGTCAGCGATGTTTTTGGCTTCTCAAGCAAACCACAACCGCACTCCCACTTGGACATCGTGCGAGCAAAACGTATCATCATTTCGTTCCCCTGGCTCACCAGCTTACTTGTGTTCAACGGCCATATCCATAGCATCTGGGTGATTGCCGTGATCATGTCCCAGGGCAGAGCGCACAATGACGAGTCATACAATCAGCCCATATCCCTCTCCAACATGCTTCAAATAATAGCAAGTCTGGGTATCGGGGCCGTGGTTGAGGTGGACGCACGGAAAGGGAGACGCAACCCATCACGCGCGATGGTTAGGAGAAACACTGGTCTACATTAATCCGATATTACTCACCCGCTTCCCGTCAAATGACGGAGCCGAGCTGAAGGCAGCGAAGCAACACCGAATTGGATGTCCCTTTGAAGTCGGCGTCTCTGAATCCCATAAGCCCTCTTGGGAGAAGAAACGAAATATATTCCAGACCTGGATGGTGGAGGATGTATCCTGCCCAACCTTTAAAAACCAAAAATAAAATCCCATAACAACTTGGTCGCTTACCTGTAGTAGCACCTCCTCAACCGCAGCAATTTTTTCTTTCGTGGCAACAAGTCAAAACGAGCACTTGTTGTCATTTGGTGTATAATGTACGCAGGCTTCCTGCAACTCCCACTTCAGCAGAGTAGTATCAGTAAGTGGACTCGGGGGTACAGTATTATTGAAACACCTTCTGGCCCAACAATGCCCTATCCTCACTGGGCCTGGAGATGTTAACTCGGCCTCAAATCGGGAGGTCAGCTTTCTAACTCCAGTAAGAAGATTAGCGAAGCGTAGAACATGAAAAGTCATATCGAATGGCAATTTTGTATAACACTTTGAGACACAGAATGGTTAGGAGACAATATACTGTAGCACGAAAGCTGGCTGTCCTTGAGCGGCCCACGAAAGTGACTTTATAGACCACGCACTTCGGTGCCAAGCATGCTGCTCTTTACCTGATTAGGAACACTATACTAGCCGGGCAATTTTACAGATATCAATGTTCCGCAACTTCTCATGGCACATACCCGTTCCAAAGAAGATGGTTCAATGGAATACCTGAAATGCCCACCCCGCGAAGCTTTTCACCACTTTTCCACCGGCTCCACCTGCCCTTTCCCTTGGTCTGTAGGACATATAGATCCCCAGGCCCGGGTTATGATAGACCGCGATCCGGCCTCTCAAAGGCTTCCACCACATTCTGAATGAGAAACAGATGGGCGTCTACGCGTCCGACTAACCATGAGGCCATATGATGATGTTGGTCAATGAAAAAGCAGAATGAAACCCGTCAAAACAAGTGGGCAGTTTATCCCACAACTTGACCGTTCGCGTACCAGCGAGGGAAACCGTGGTTTCAGTCGCACACAGCCTTAGCTGGTCATTTTCGGAAACCCGTACTTCGTTTGAATCATAAAACTACCTTTTTCTCACCCAGTTGAATCTACAAATCATCCGACTGAACGTTATGGCTTTGCCGAGTCACTTGAGATGAGGAGAGTTTGGGAGGGTGAGTATTGCCTCCATGGAAAACCCGCGCATCAATCCCGTTGATATAGCCGAGGTCAACATTGGACGGTGATTCCGAGCACGAAGGCTTCCAACGAGAGCCTTCCTCAAACGCCCGGCCATCGAGCTGAGCTAACCTAATTTTGGTACTGTAGCAGGTCATGGCAGAGAACCACGGTCGTTTATGACTGGTTTCGCGTCATGTGGTCCAAAATTCATCCATCATCAACAGTCAATGGAACATCCTCTATTCTGACCGAGCCAGCTATGCATGAACTTCATTGTCTGGAGCAATAAACAACCTTGATTAGAAGCAACGCAGGTCATCTGTTTATAAGTTGGTGACATAGGTGCTGTAATAGCACGGACTACCATAGCTAAAAGCAGCATGACTACTCATAATGATATGTGATGAAACTCAGGAAATGCAGAGTCGGGCAATTCCATTGCTGCGAGCACAACCGCCTGGCCCTCTAGATAGCAGTATCCACCAAGACAAACACAGCGAAAAATTTCTCTGTTCTTCAACGGACAGATTCTGAATGTCTGAGTTATTCCATCTCGATACACGGTATCAGCCTGTATGTTGCCACCGTTACCCTCTGTTTATCATGACTGCTGGTTCTGGTCGACCAGATTGCATGGCGACGTTCCGCGGTTTCCCACCTCAAGCCGGAACATCGACCCTTTCGTTTTGGCCTTATCCATCCGTAGAGTAATCCAGAATGGCGTGTCTAATTCTTTACCTCCATGCCAAGGGCAGTATCTCCAGAACCACAAACAGCGCAATCATACAAGACCTGTGTCAACGCCTCAGAACGGGGAATATGCGAGAATCAAATAAGAAAAACCCACTACGGGGCTTATACCCCTGAATAGCGAGCAAGAAAACTTCAGCGGTAGAGCTGGAACTAAGAAAGCTCCAACAAACCTTATTTGAGCTGCCGGTCACCGTTGCCGAGGAATTCCTACTCATTAGACCCGGGTCAGTGAGCCAGGGAAATTACCTAACCAACACAATGCCATCTCATTCGTCCACAGTAAAGGCCGCAGATGAAGTTGCATTCTTGTCGAGGGTCGCTCTCTTCTTTATTCTGAGGGCAAAGAGTGGGCCCTATCAAATAGCCCGATACAGGGTAATGAAATTCAAGGCTTAGTGGTACTCGGTGATCCGAATCTGTTTCATTGAGTTTCAATTCTTTGTTTCAAACAGTCTAGAAGATCAGAAGCTCCCCAACGGTTTTTGAAACATTTGACATTCTCGCACACGATACGGGATATGACGTCATGGGCAACAAATAGCGGTTGGGTACAGGCAGAGGTGCTGTAGAAACTGGGATGTCTGACAAAAGAAGGAACAGACAATCATATTACTCTGTTGGACCATGGTTGCCCGACTGTTTCCAAGTGGCAAGGCCCACTTGCGCAGACATGCAACCCGTTTTCCAAGTATTTCGGTGTACTTGAGACGCCTACAGTATTGACCTGCGGCGCGGTCCCAGCAGTCGCGCACATCTTCACACTGCCATGTCCACGCCGATCATTTCATTTCCCTAGTCGGCCCCGTCTTTGATTGAGGACCTGACGTCTTGGGGCTGATACTCTGCGAAGGCATGGTCATTTCGGGAGGTAGAGTCGGGGTTTGCTCTTCGTATATGGTCATCATGTGCCCCTGGGCATTTAGTAGGAGGGAGCAAGCGCACAGATGGCCAGATACCCCACCCGGCACTTAACGACTCTCGAAGTTCTTCTGTACCACATGATGGTCGTTGACTTGAACCTGGCGAGGCTGGATGCTAGTGCTGCACCGTTGGTCTTGCCGGGCGACCGGAGCGCTTGGAGATATAAGGCCGGCGTCTCCCAGTCCTGTTCACTCCAGGATCAGGCTTCTTGTCCTCACTCACTGAAATGCGCGAGCGCAACAGTGTGTACCTTCACAGGAATGGCGGGCCTGTGTCGTACGATCTCCTCGGAGATATCCCCTGACAGGAGTGGTGGGCCTGTTTAGTATCATTCTCCTCCGGAGATACCCCCTGACAGGAGTGGTGGGCCTGTTAAGTATCATTCTCCTCCGGAGATAGCCCCTGACAGGAGTGGTGGGCCTGTTAAGTATCATTCTCCTCTGGAGATAACCCCTGACAGGAGTGGTGGGCCTGTTTAGTATCATTCTCCCCCGGAGATATCCCCTCACAGGAGTGGCGGGCCTGTGCAGTATCATTCTCTCCGGAGATATCCCCTTCATGGCCATCGGCCCCATGTTGCATCACCTGTGCCCTGGACCGTTCCCAGATGAACAGGTTCGTTTTTTTCTTAGGACCTCGTTCTGAGGCACCCCAGCTATGAGCAGTCACCTCTACGCGATGCTGGGGACTAGTACTTGCCAGAGTATATCCACTCATGACGCAAGGAAGCCAAGATCTGCTCGCGCCATGCCGTCGGTTCTTACCAGCATCGGTGCCACATCGTGCATCACGGGCAGAATGGAGGCCCGTATGGAACGGAGGTCCGTATCCGTCAATGCCGCTGCCAGTCATGTACAGTAGTTAGCTTCATTTTAGTGATACAATGTATATAGTATTCACTCGAAATAGATCCCATCTGTAGTATATGTATCCTCGTCCTACACAATACAGTAACGCAAAGGATCAATGACGTTGCGAGAGCTGGGTAACTTCCCCGGTTCGCTTCGGTCAAGCAACCGTGAGTCGCGTATGTCTGCTTCAAACAGATTGCCTGTTGCATACTGTACTCAACGTTCACGTTCGGACGCCTTCAGATTATGGTCCGCTCGACAGATACCGACCTTCGTGACGGGTCACACATGACAGGCCCTTGGGCATTGCCCGTCTGGTCACGCGTGGGACGGAATCTCGCAACAATGAGGCAGCCCAGCGACACCTGGGTAAAACCAAAATCTTCGGGAATCCGGAGCCCGATAGTTCGGGGACGGGCAAATCATTCGATCCGACAAGACTACTGTACCGTTCTGGCTCTCGTCATATGCTTGAGGATATTGAACAGGTAGGGTTGTGTTGTGCTCGGCTGACACAGAATTCCCCGCTGGTGCTCGGAGGTCATTTGTGACACAAAATCCCCGATCAGTTCGACGGGTTCACCGCCCATCAAAGATTTGAACCCCTAATCCTGCTTTGCCTTGGGCGCACCGTGACCCAGCTCCACGCTGAAGAGGGATTGACCAGGCTGGATGCGACCCTGCGTCTTTCAGAATGTGATGATCGCCTTTTGAGGTGCCTGATTGCGGTTGATGGGAGACCCAGTGGGGAAGCTGGTTGACCTGCAGACCAAGGGTAGGGCAAATGAAGCGGATCACAAAAGAAAAAAAGAAAAAAGAAAAAAGAAAAGATACAAAAGAAAAACGAGAGAGTGGAACAAGTGATGGAGATGAGGTAAAGAGGCAAGGAATGGTGAAGATCTGGTCGAAAGATGGCGAGAATTGGGAAAGGATGATAAAGGAATCACCGAGTAGACGGTCAAACATTCGCGATGCCGTCTCCGGGAACGGGATGCGCACTGTGCGGGCATTAAACCTGTTCAGATGCCCAGGCGGGCGCGTCACTTCACCGCCTTCTGGGATCGATTGTTGTTGTCCTGGGCCATCAACATTTGCTGGTGCTCGGGAGGGTCCGGGACTAGTCCTTATGAGGAAGCTGTCCAGGGGATCAATTTGAAGCCCGCCGGGAGAATCCGAATGCGCACCGAGGGAATATTGTCCTCGGTTTTCAACCTCTGAGCTTAAGGCGTAAAGCAAGAAGACCAACACATGGGTATACTGGCATTTGTATATACTATTCTTGAGGCTACTACAGATGTAGGCCTTGTCGCTCGCGATTGTAATCGTGCGCATCAATGGTCTACAGTACAGTTTTCGTACATGATTGACCAATAATATATATGTATCATGACCAACACTAGCTACACCAGCGTGTCCAGCACAGCCGGCTTTTGGTAACTCTACGAGAAGCATACAAAATCAACAGGCGCGCCAAGATTGAATATATTGCCCACTCTAAGGGATCGCTCATCAAAACCAGGTCAGCAGGTTGATAATTTGCTCCGCTGCCCCCAGTTTCAAGTGATTCAATGTCGAGCATGGCCGTGCTGGGCATGAATTTTGCGGGCGGATACGACCAATAAGAATTCGTGCCGCCAGCAGCATTCCACCCCAATAACAAACCTATTTCCAATCCAAACCCTACCAAAAATGGGGTTGTCGGGATGTCGACCAAATTGACCAGAGTGCAAGAAGTGTGGACATACTGATCGCATCTCACGCAATAGATCCTGATCTCCATTCAGAATGATAGACAGTGTAGACTGCGCATCTGCCAAAGAGCAAATTGGGCAACATATATGGAGAGCATGGACTTCTTCCTTGATTCTTCTTTGCTCCATTCCACCGAGGACAGCAGCTGGTGAAAGTATACAGAATTCTACTCTCAGATTCAGTCATGCTTCTTGCCATATTTATGACTGTATGGGCATTGTCTACCGCCATGGTGAGCAGACGAATCACCCAAGCCTTATAAAGATACCGGGTGGTTTGAATTGACAGATCATAGACATGGGGACTTGTAATTCACCAAAGGGATTCAGAGTCGTGGAATGGTCAGCTGGTATGGCACTGCAAACGACAACTGCTTTCTAGATAAAGGGGGGCTGACCAATGCCAGGAACTCCGTTCTAGCACATCGAACGATCTGTGTTGCGAAGCAACCGAGCTTGCTATGAGGCGTGAGTGGGGGTTCTCTTGGCGCAACATTCACTAAGGTATATTGAGATGAATCGAACCGAAGACAGGGTCGGCGTCGTCACAGACCACACCATGCGCACCATCCTCATCGGCCGAACTAGCCGACCTAGAAGCGCCCAAATCCGATGCAAGACCTCGGTTATACTCTACAAGCTGTTCATTAAGCCGGTGAACTAGCAAGCCTTTGACGTCGAACAAATCAAGACCGGGCCGAACAGATCAAGACTGGGCTTCTCGAGGGTTGGTATGTTTCTTCTTTGAAATGCGATAACCCTTCCCTGGCGTAACGACCAGCTTCAAGCCATTCTTTCGCAATTCCCGCCAAACAGCCGTCAAAGGGAAAAAACATTCATTTCTTCGAGTTGCCCTGTCGCGTTAACCATCCGGTCAGTGAACCAGTCGTACCAGTAAGGCTGTCAGTGTAGGCCGCACGTTGGCAATCAGACCGGAATGATAGACGTACAGCCGGTCTCGAAATATCTGTGACCCTCACACACATACCATTTATGTTCCAGCCACTGCCAAGGGCTTAGCGCGAGCCGATTATTTGAGCAGTTTTCGGTATAAACATTAGCTACGTAACTATGCACTTAATTTTGAGTTGTACCATTATCCAAATTGACGGCGACCGTCATTTGCAAGCGGGTGGCTCTCTATAACTTCCCCAATAAATTCTTGGCGGTGGGGCGCGAAATCAATTGCCATGTGTTTCAAGGTCAATGGTATTTTGAGACCGACTGTATAACTGAGCACATAAGCATGGTCTTATCGCTCATTTCAAAACCCCAGCTGCAGGTAGGTTATTATTTGTTAAAGGGGCAGATCGGCCTTCGAATGAAGGGTTTGGTAAACAATGCCGTCTCGTGAGGGGGACATTGAGGTCTGGAAGTTTCCAGAAGAGCATATAATTACCGTGTCTTCGTGACGTTGCAGACGATGCAGAATCCAGTGACAACATCAGTAAAGTTTACTAACGAGACGTATCCTGGACGCGAGGACGGACGCTCGTGTCCCTCTGGCTTCCATTGAGCCAGCCATGCCAGCCGCGAAGAGAGACGTTCGTGGCACCGTTTGGTTCGGACGAACTAGGTCGTCTGTGGCCTCTACGCAACATGCAGCTACGAGCACTGCCTCGGATCATGTCCCAAACAACCAGACGCTCAGTCATGCCACTTCCGGGCTGACTGGTCTACCGCCACAGCCGTCCGCTCCCAATCCGGCTCCCCGCGAAATCCTAGTACAAAATCCTTGGGAAGTATATGAACCTCGTGCCTGCATCTACTATGGGCAAATCATGGTGCTGGCTAGGCATCGAAAGAATAAGGCCAGCTTAGTTCACATCCAGATGCAGGCCGTGGAGCGATCGGCAATAGATATATGTGTCCAGATGATCGATCGGCTTGCTCATCGCAGCATCCCGCGCCTGCTAGATGTTTTCCAGTATGCAGATCGATTTCTTCTCGTGTGGGAGCCATTCGAGTGCACTCTCCACCAGGCTTTAGTGTTGAGTTGCCACATCGCCGAAAGTGATGTGGCCCAGATATTGTGGCCTGTACGAGCCGTCCCCTTCCTACTAGAGGCAAGATGCTCATACACAGTTAACAGGTGTTAAAGTGCCTTCAGTTCTTACGCGGTCAATCGAGGGAGCTAGCCAGCCTGACTCCTCGAGATATCTTGTTCACCGAGGAGGGTGAAATAAAGATTGGTATGTCCGCCCCCACTACAGACTGCAGGCCACTGACATCGAGGGAGGTATAGCCGGTATCGAGAACAGTCGCCAAGTCGACCCTTCCCGTGCCGACGCAATGGCTTCTACGTTCAATGCTCTCCGGTCAATTCTGGACTAGATCATGCTGAAAAATGGCTCCACATTCACTTGGAGCCAGGAGATCCGAAGCTTTAAATCGGCGCTGGCCAAGAGCACCTCGGCGCGATGCTTGGATAATCTAGTGCAAGTAAGTTGGTTCATATTCAAGCTCCGTCATGCAATGGGGCTGCTGACCAGAAAGCAGCACACCTTTTTCGGGCAAGTGACCGGGGAGGGAGGCCTCAAAATACTAGTAGAGTTGGTGAACAGAACCATTTTCCACGAAATCACCGGCAACTAATCTTCTCTCAATATTCCTGGTTAGGGTCCGACGGAAGAACGACCGTTGGAAGTTTATTGGGCAAAATCTGCATAAGCCTTCGGATGAAGGATCTGGTGACAATATTGTAACATAACGGGAGAAATTGAGGTCTGGGGCTTCACAATGCCTGGATTTTGGGACACTTGAGACACAGGATTAATGCCAAGGCTCGCGATCGGAGAGAAAGACCGATCACAATCAAGACAACCATCATACTCGTATACTGCAGAAAACGTCAGCTTACCAGCCGGGGGGTACATTGTACTATTAGAGCTCGTGATCCATACTCCCGTACCACAATCCGAGAATAGTCCTTGCGCTATGATAGCTTACCAATATGCTTTATGCGGTGGCTCTATTAGTACTGCACTATCGATTCAGGATGTCTTTCTTGTCGCCATGGTTTACCCATTGTGGATACTATATAAGAGAATCATCTTGAATCTTTCCTAACCACGTCAATACTCCTCTTCTTGTTTATTCCAACTGCGTTTTTGAGCATGAAGGGATAGTCTGAAAATTTGCTCGTCTACCCATGCAGCTATGTCATTCATGGCCTCAGACAGCCCCTTCCTCCTCCTTTTAAGCCGATTCCAGTCGGATGTGGTATCATTCTGTACATTCTTTTCGGTCAAACTGGCTAGAATATTCTGGCCTGGGTTCCTCAGATGCCAGATGTGGAGATTTTCCTCGTCTGTTACATTGCGCTCATCTGTACTGTGGAGGCTGAACTTGCGCATTTTCAAACTGTTGTAATTCAAAGGAAGCTTGATTATTATTATTCAGAGGGAAACATGAGGCTATATATACAACAAGAAGATCAACTTGATTGGAAATCAAGTTAATTCTTTGTATACATACTTCGGGATTAATTCCGATGGTTCGGCTTGGTTCCTAATCTGCACCAACCTCATATCACAACATTCCCCCTCAGGATCGCTTTGCTGGCAGGGCGATACTGGAATTCCGCAGAGCAGTCAGGCCTCGGTAAAACCACTCAAAAAACCCTTTTCTAGGAAAATACAGTGGAAAGAGTACCTGTGCTGTCTTATACATATTACCTTGGAGTCTCGGAGGCGTTAATTCCTAAGAGACTACAAAACTTGACAAAGGACGTAGGTCCCAGTGGCTTAGTGATAGTGAGACCATCTGCGGCCTGTTCCTCAGTTGGAATATATTGAAGCCTAATCTCGCCTGCATCCAGCACGGCTTGCTGATAGTGAAATTTCACGTTAAGATGCTTCGTCCGTTTGTAGAATTCCGGGTTGCGAGAAAGAGCAATAGCGGACTAGTTATCAGCCATGATATTAGTAACCGGAGACCGATACAGTTAGATTTCAGCCAGAAAGGTGCGGAGCCACTGCAGATGCAGAATAGCATTGTATTGTCCGATGTATTCTGCATGTGTCGTAGACATGGCTACTTCCCCCTGTCTCTTGGACGACCAGGAAACTGGCCCCCCTGCAAGCTGGAATACATAGCCAGACATCGAGTATGCACCGTCAGTGACGACAGAGCCACTAAAGTCGGTATCTATATATCCGATCAGCTGCCCACTGCGGTAGGTAATACAATGAGATTGCGTGGCTTTAATGTAGCGAAGCAATCGCTGCAGAGCGACTTGGTAATACAATTACGGCTGAGCTGTAAAGCGACTCAACATGCCCAGCGCAAATGCAATATCCGGTCGCGTGCCAACCATCAGATACATCAGCGAACCAATGGCAGTCGCATAACAAGTCTTTGCTTCCTCGTCCGGGGGCTCCTCGTCTGGACGATGATTCAGGATTTGCTTGAGATTCATCGGTGTCGACTTCGGCTGACAACTCTCCATGCCAAAGTCGGAGAGCACCTTCTGGATATACTAATATTAGTAAATGGACACGGATCCATCAACGTGATAGTCAAACTGGATCCCGAGGAACGAACGAGGAATGCCCAGATTGTTTAATCAGAACTCTACTTACAAGGCTCATTGCACTTGTTTGATTTCATGCGTGTTTGCTGCAGCAACAAGAAAGTCATCGACATAAACACAAATAACACAATCCGGCTTGTAGAACACAGAGTTGTCCGATTGGGCCATAATAAAACCATGAGAAGCCAGGACGCGGTGAACACATTAATACTAAATCCGCGGGGCCTGCTTCAGCCCGTACAGTGAACAGCACAGCCAGCATACGTACCCTGGCTCTTCAAAGCCTTCGGGCAACTCTATATAGATAGACAAATCAATGTCTCCATGCAGAAATGCGGTGACCGTCTTGAATTAGTAAAGTTTCCATCCGCGCAACACGGCGCTGGCAACAATGCAGCGGACCGAGTCCATCCTGGACACAGCGGCAAATATTTCGTGATAGTTGATACCATATTTCTGCCAGTAGCCTTTAATAACCAATCACGCTTTACACGTTCCATTGGCTTTGGTCTTGAAGACCCATTTACAGCTAATCATATAATCTCCAGCTGGGATGTCCTCTCACCGAACCTTTTCCCATGTTCCGTGTTCAAGAAACAATACATATTCTTTCTGGATAGCTGCCCACCATTCCAGCTGGTTTGGGCCGGACACGGCCTCGTGGAAGGTCGCCGGGTCAACTTATCTTGCCAGTACAGTATTTAATGCACCTGCCGTGTATATCTTGCCTAGTGATTCCAGGAGATGCTGTGATAGTCTTTTTCTACAACCAAAGATTAAATATCTAAGATCTGGTGTTAGATCTATTCTTTATTAATTTAAATTAACTACTGGAGGTGTCTCTTCCTTATACTCAGATGGTATATTCTCTTGCTCATTCAATAGAGGTAATAATAATGCAGATAATATTAATAGTCTACTAGCTGAACTTAGTATTAATAAAAAGACGGATAATAGAGAAGTATTATCCAAGAGATTATTATCTATTTTCTTCTTGATAAGTAGCGCCACTGGGTCCTTTTATTAAACTCAATATTATAGGAAAAGACTGTCTTTCCCGAATGTATCTTATAGAGCTTGTACTGGTTTAATTTATAATAGCCAAGCAGTCGATACTCAGATGATCTTAATCCAAGTTTTACTTGATGCTCCTTTGGGATTAAGACCCATGCACGGGAGCCAATCCATTACAGATACAAGAGCAAGGACGGCTTTCTATATAGAATCTTAAACAGTATTGTCTTCTGTAAGATTAATACTGGAGCATGCAGCTTCAAGTAAACCATTATATCTATAAGCTTGATCCACCAGGAAGGAGGAAAGTTCGCATCAGACAGAAATGAGTTGATCCGCTCCCGGATAGTGCGATTCGTGCGTTCCGCCAGTCCATTCTGCCCTTTGCAGTACGGCGGCGAGCTTTATCGCTGCCACAATTCTCTGTCCCAAGCTACTGTATCCAAGTTGAGGCAGATGTCACCCTTTCGACCCAGGGATCATCTACGCCAAGCACATCGTCCCGTGGCTTGACTTCCCCCAACTATCAGGAAATCTGGGGGGAGTTCGACCGCACCGCTGCCTTTCTCTCTCGCCCCTTATTCCCTTCTGATACCTAGATTGATGACGTTACGGACATCCAGAACAGGCTGATCTATTTAGAGCGTCTCTTCAGAATATTGGGTGAGACACGGTAGACAATTTTGTCGAAAAGGTCATTGCGGCTTTGCGAGACGATGAACGCCTTCAACGTGAGTTTGGCATCCAGGCTGAGTCACCTTCTACGATCGCACAAACCCGTCGGAAACTTCGCTGGAGAACAGCTTGGAGCAAATGAGTCTTGAGCACGCGCGGACACTGTAACGACTGGCGAACACGAGTCTTGGATGAAGTTGAGGAAGGTGACAAGGAGAGGAGCCACGCAGAGACAGAAGAGGGGTGGCACCGCGCGACGACGCGATCGGTGCGCCGGCCAGTTCTGCGTGCACCTTGTGGTGGGTGAACGGCAATACCTGTGTATGCAGTGGAGTTCGAGGCGCCGCACAAAGTGATGATCTCTGAATTGGTGGGGTGGCGGTTCTACACCGGGGATCATCTAGAACTGCGCCGCCTGTGGAGAAGCAGCATCGCCTTCAAGCGGAAGTGGACAATTATGACCCCCTTAGGAACTTATAGGACAACACATCCTCGTGTGTCTTGGGCACTTCAAGCCTCGTGTGGCATATTGGTACCACGGCAGAAGAATGGCACAGATGATGATCTTGGGCTGGTCTGGAACGCGGCTTCAGCATGTCATCCATGATGGGAACACCAGCTTCTTTCGTCAATCAAGAGCGCGACAAAGCTCTGGCCGAGATCCGGTCGCGTAGAGCTATCCACTGCGACAGTGAGTAGTGTATTATACTGTAGGATGACCTGAGTGGCTGCTTAATTGTTATTAACCTAAAAAATATAAAATAGTTGAAGCACCCCAGGACTCTTAAATCTATCTTTATAAATATACAGCAAACTTGCTGTGTCAGAGTAATAAAATATAAAACCAGCTTAGAAAGGATGGAAATTCTGTAATACAGCAGTACCTTAAGTTTGTAACAGTATGTTCAGAAACATTACAAAGTATTCCACCACAAGATATCATGGCTTTAACTTATACTGAGTACTAATACACATTTTACAATATAAATCCTATATATTGCAAGAGTGCGACTGCACAGCAGACTTAGACAATAAAATTATTTATATAATCTTCCCAGACTTTACAGCTAGAAATATATTCTATTAATCATCCCCTATTAACCAGACTCCTTTAAAAATCTTTATTTAATTTCACAGCTAGCTCAAGTACTTAGAGATTACTTAGCTGGTATCTACCTTAGCAAGAGCATATATGATTACCATAATATTTTTAATCTAGCTTAAGTTAGCAAGTGAGGAGTGAACAACAGCACTCTAATATTTATCCTATATTTATTTATAATAAAAGACTATAATTATTAATCTTGAATACTGCTTCAAGCTATTACTCCAGCATATTCAAGTCTTTATAGTCGACTCCATCAATTACATTATTAAATAGTATCATTGATATCAGACCCAGAATAGTTTTTACTAATGATAAGTACAAGGTCTTAGTTTCTGGAGAGAACTAAAAACAGTTAAATAATTTAATATTACTGATATAAAATTATGCAGTCCTGGCTATTTATATTCTCTGCATATTAGTTAAGCTCTGTGAGGAAACAAAGATTAACATATTACTTAATTTAAAAATATTTTAGACTCCAGCAAGACTATTAAATAAAGATATTTTAAAGATTTAGATATATTATCCTAATCTTCGCCTCTTCTGATAATATTAAATTATATAATAAAAATCATTTTCTGGTAAGTTCTTCCCATGATCAAATCCATGCTTCAGGCGTAGGTGATTATTAATAATATTAGCAGGTACATTAGCCAAGATCCTGTATACAAAAAATACCAGCTGACAGAATACTTCTCTAGATTATAAATTATTTAAAATAAAAAGTCTACCGGGCAGTCCTTCAGCTTTACATCACATATCACCTAAATAATAGCATCTGCATACAGCATGCAGGATCTGTGTCTGAAGAAGATTAAGTAAGAGTATACTCAGGCTGTTAAGACTCAACTATAGTCTTTATATACATACACTAAAGCTGATATTAGATTTTATTAATATTTCCTCTATTTATTACAGGATATACTTCTTTTCATAAATCTTGATATTAAATTTGAGAGTGGCTAATTTATCACCTTTATTAATCCATCCAGCTGTGTAAAGATAACTGTAATATCTTACTAAAAAGATTTTATAATTCTTATTAACTAATAATTCTTATTAATAAAACCACAACTCTTTAAAAGAACTATCCGTAACAATATAATTTTTAGACTCAGTAATTCTGAATTCACTGAGATTAATCTGATTTAAATCTTTGAGAATATAAATATTTACAATCCTATTATCTACCTCCCAGATAGATAATTAACCTATCAGACATCAAGACTCAATTATTCCTAGATAGAAGATAATAATAATATCCTGATTTCATACAGGTATTAGTACACAGACTGTTCCTCTACTTAATAAAGTAATATTAAATCAATCTTCATCCTAGTCCTAAGAAATAATACAGGCAGTACTCAGGCACTTAGCAGTAAAGAAATATATAATAATTATAACAGTTACACATATACTGGTTACTATACCAAAAGCGGAGATGGCATGTGTCTTTAGTATAAGTCAGAGCAAATATGAATTCAGGCTGTAAAACTAGAAAGTCATCAGAAACTACTACAAAATAATAAAATATATTAGCAAACAGTAAATATAGACTTAATTCTCTATATTATTATAGTTTACTGACTAAATTCCAAGTATCAGGATAATATATTTGATCAATAATTATACACTATATAATTTTATTCTATATAGGTGTCAGTGGGTTCAGAGAATCTGTCTATTAAAAATTACTATATCATATATATAATATCATAGATTAATAGGCAGATAAAGAAACACCCCTCCCCCTTTCTTATCTACTTCCTGCCATTAAACTTCGGACAAGCCTCAGAGACATATAATATATCTTATTAGTCCATCTGCTATCCAGAGCTAACCTCTATTTTCTATTATATCTAGTCAGCTGCACATAATTTTCTTAAATATTATAAAACTTAGTGCTACTTGCTTATTTTCTACTATTAATAAAATCTCATCTTCTTACCAGCCTGTGCCATTAGGGCTGTAAGCGGAAATTCCCAAGTATTTATATAGATTACCAGTATCAGAAATAAGAAAAAGAAGACAAAAAAAGCTCTATAATTATTATATAAAAGATTTTTTAATTTATTTAATTTCTACTTAATCACCCTTGACTGTAAGAGAGACCGGATCTATTATAATATTTCTATTATTATTAAAAAAAGATTTTTCACCGGTGCTTATATTTTAATTATAGAGATATAATTCCAGAGATACTTCTAGTAATCTTTTTCTTTATTTTAAATACTGGTCAGTAATTCTCCGCCAGTTATTCTGAGCTTGAGTTTACTGGAAAATATATTATTATTATTTCTTATTTTAGCTTTCTTCTTCCTGCTTTATAGCTGGACACTGTGAATCCTGGTACTAAATTCTTTCCAAAATATTATTTATTTATATTGATTGCGATATAGCACTTTTCAGTATCAGCTGAATTACTTGATCTGGATCTTTCTGATAATAATTCTGACAGAATACTCAAATATGGCTGGATCCTGACAGTTCCATAATTCAGTTATATAAAACTTACTAAGTATTCTGATTCTATTCTCCTTTATAATAAGCCTGACTCACTTGCGGCTCATGTATTATATAGTCTGTTTGCACTGTGTCAGACACTTTATTATATTATACTGATCAGACAGCTAGGCTTTGCTATTAGGATTCTGCTTAGCTTTGTCCAGAGTAGTTAGAGTCCGCACCCTGTGTTCTACCTGATATTTTTGAGCCATGAGCTGGGGTTGCCATTATTCCAGACTATTTATATATTATAATTACTGCTGGTATATAAGTCTAATCTTTTTTTATACTTCTATTTAAAATAATACTTCCTGCTGTCTTCTAGCCGTCAGTGAAAGCTGCTGTTAGATAATTACAGTATAAATAATTATAGCTTAATATAGTACCAAGGCTTACTATAATAGAATAAAACAGATAAAAAAAGCCAGTTACTAATATAATATTATGATTTTATAATTAAAGAAAATAATATATTATATTATATTTCTATTTTATTAATACAGGACTCGCCATGTATTTTATTTTCTATCATACCAAGTATACTGTGCTGAAGAATCTGTTTCCAGTATCTACTAAGTTTCTACCCGAGTATTTATTGGCTAAGAGACAAAGAGCAACAAGATTAAAATTCTCCTTGTACACAAAAGCATAAAATAAACTGTGAACAGATACAGTCTTTTTCTGAACCATATTAATAATTACTGTAATCTGGATGGCTGTATTAATCTCACAGATATGCTGTGCTATTTATAAGACAGACTTTCTAGTATTAATAACTGAATTTATAAGTATAATAATATTTCTGTCTTTTAAATATATTTTCTTAATATCCGCCATACAATGAGCGTGTAGAAATATTATATTCAAAAATATATTACTGATTCTAAAGACCATTGGCTTCTCTTTCTATATTAATATTATTATTACTATTCTTGACTCTTGGAAGAGCTGGAACCTGTTAGTAGTATATTCCTACATATAAAGTATTTAATTTGTCTCAAGGCCTAGTAAATCAGACAGATAGGTTATTAATAAATAATATCTAATATATTAATATACTTTTCTAAAAAGAGGACTATTAATTTTAGTATCCTGTATAATTATTATTAATAACTTGGCTATATTTATATCTATACTATAAAACACACAGAATCAGAAGTTAATTGAGCTCATTAATAACTTTAGTTAAATTATAGAAAGTCTTTTAGTATCTAAATATAATAATATCTCTTCCAGTAAGAGTAATTAGTACGCGCGTAGTTAACTACTTTTAATAACTATTACTAGTTTAGTTTTTATTAATTAGCTTCTGATATTAATATTCTTTATAATAATAATAGCTTCATCAGCTCTGCTCAGCATGTTGATATCAAGCGGGCTATTACTGAAAATCTAGATATATATATAATATACTTCTTTAAGACAGTCCACTATTGCCACCTTTATACCAGGGGTAATAGTAAATTTATTAAAAATATAACTATCTCCGATAACAATGACCTTGTAAGAGAGACTAATCTTATTAAGAATCTTAGTCTATACTATATATAATCTACAGATTATAATTACTGCACTAATATATTCTTTAGATTGGGCATAGCATAGTAATAAAAATATTTCAGGATATAATTTAACTGAAGACACCACACGCGTACAGATTTTATTAAATTAATCATCATCAAATAACTACTTGTAAAGTAATGATATCTGGTAAAATATAGTATATAAGTATCTCAGATAGCTGCTGAAGATAGCCTTTAATAATATTATATTATTTTATCAAGATTTATATGCCTTTTACAATATATTTCCAGTATCTCCAGCACACAAGGTTCTGTCCCCGTCCAGGACTAGGAAAGTATCAATCAAATTAGTATAATTAAAGCACATGGAAGCATCAAGAAAATCTATTATTATATTTAAGTTATGGGTCTTATTATACTTCTGAAAGTCCAACAAAAGAGTCTTTATTCTAATAATATTTTCTGATAGCACCAGACAGAACAGAATACTGTAGTTATAATAAAGTTAATATAAAGATATTTTTTTAGTCTTAATTTATTATTAAATTACATGACTAGGCAGCTTTATCCTGTATTTTTATATATCTTACTGGTACTGCTGCTATACTATATTAGCAGGCTTATCTAAATATAATATATATATAAAGACCTTAAGGTTGCTCTCTATAAGGACTGTTTCCAGGACACCTTACTTAGAATAAAATATAAAATATCTAGTAATAATAGCAATCTTTTCTGTCTTAATTAATATTTTTCTGATGATTTTAATAATTTATTTATGTCAGCAGGCTTTTTCTTCTTCCTTTAATGATTGGAAGGCCTCAAGTCCACCAGGTATAATATTAGTAATAATAATGGAGTCTTCATAATAATTAAATAATTTTTTATTTAATTTTTATTTAAATTAATTAAGTAGAAATGACTTTCCCACCCTTGATATTTTATAAAGATTAATAATTATTATTTTCTGAGATACATAATGGCTGCTGCTCTTGTATAGATAATGGCTAGTGTTATCTATTATCAGCTTATATGAGAATTAATAAGGGTCTTCTGAGATAAGTTTAGTTAATATATCTTATAAATTATCCAAAGTTGTCTATGAAGAGTGGCTACTTATGCTATTATAAAGAATAATACTGGTTTATAAATTAAGTAAATAAGGAGAATAGGCCTCTCTCTTAATAAATATATATATAAGTTTTTAAGATAAGGATATTACTAAGAAGACTATATTTTATAATTAATTTATTCTTAATTAAACTTTAATTGAGCTGATAACTATTTGAGTCTTATAGTCTATATTATTTAAGTGAATGAGCTGTGAGGAATATTATATTTACTATATTAATATAGTAAATAAGAATCCTTAAATAAAGCCGGCTGCTTTAGTCTCTAGTTAAAAATTACTGTATTGGCAGAGAATTTAATCTGTAATCAGGTATCTGAGTAAGAACCACATTAAATATTTCTAAGATATAGATAGATTAAGAGTTAGTATGAAGAAAGCTTTTCAGCATGCTAAATAATATTTTCAGAGATTTTAAGTCAAGCTGTTAAAGACTGATGCTGTACTAATAAAGAAGTTTAATTAAAAAGCTATTACCAGTAATCTGTATAGATAAAATATCTTGGAAAAGATACTTAAGGTATTCTACCAGCTCACTATACTTATTATTAATCAAGAAAACAGGATAAAACAGGTTAGAAAGATAAATATCTCTTAAGTCAAGATCTTGCTGCTGGGAGCTGCTAATACTTCTAGCAAGAATATAGACCTGAGTCATATTATATTTTCTATCCTGATATAGCATATATAAACCTAGTAGATCTTACAGTGGTATGCTTATGTTATCCTTTTTCTGGATACAGATTGTTACTTTCTGTAATCAAAAGAAAGACACTAGAAAATTAATGGCTTACTATATATTAGTATTACTGATACTGGACTAATTCGCAACCCAGAGGGCTATATTAAGAAATATAATATATATATTTTCTATAGATTTTACCATGTCTCCAGCGGCGCTCACTGGCCCAAGATAGAGAAAGCTAGTGGTATAATATATTAAATACAGCTGTTATCCAAGAATATTACTTAATATTCTTTATAATAAAAAATATTACCTACTTTGGCTCTGCCTAACTTAAACTCTAGAAATATAATAAAATAATATAATCAGGATTTTCTGATATTATTCAAGCGGGCAAAGCTCTCTTCAGTAAAGTCTAGAATAATATTACTAAAAATAAATAATAAATATTACTCTTTAAGAAGCTTACTCACGCATGAAATCTCTTTTATTATTAGAAAGTAAAAATAATCCAGGATCAGGCAAAAAATCTCTCCTAGTAAAGTTTTTAAGAAAGTTTTCATATTCATTCTACTATTTAAGCATGCGGGCAGTGCTAATATTATTATATATTTAAGTTATTTCGTGAGCTGCTTTTAAGATAATTTAAAAGAGATATAAAATAGTCTAAGTTCTTGAAGCATTTTTACATGCCATATTCTGAGTAATATATTCAATTTTTATATAAAAAAAACCTTAGTCTGTACTCCCCCGTGAGATTATCCTTTTATATATATATTAGTTTCGGTCGGGTAGATCTTTACCGCCAATATCAGACACTGTATTAGAAATTTCTGAAATAAAGTATAAGATAGATTTTCAGGTATTGAGAATTATCTAAACTCCAGAATATGAATTTTATTAAATAGAGAAACATAGCAAATTTTAATTAATAAATTCTTATAATATCTCTAATTGGATAATCTGGTTATACTATAATCAGCTGCTATTTTAATAAGAAAGACAGGGGATTATAAATATTCTTTATATTATTAAGATTTTCTATTAAGTAAAGATATCTACAATACATAAAAATATAAACATAAAACTTTTAAAAGCTAGAGAACAGCTGCTTTTATTTAACTGTAATCTGAGATTCAACTTCATAATCTTTTTGCTTGATGTTCCATCCGGCGTTAAGTCTTAGCCCACCGGTGACACGGACGGGGTATATGGTGCCGCTGGTGAACATGAACGAATCGGAAACTGTGTCAAAGCAGTACTAAAGAGCATACATAGAAGTTCAATAACTCCGGGTCTTTTGGAAGCGGCTTTGGAGGCTGACATGCATATATTTAGAGGCAACAAAGCCTCGCCTGACACGATATTACCGGTGCCGTATGAGCCAAATTACCTGGCATATTATTAGCAACCGAAGATGGGATGGTTGCGAATGATTATTGCTATGTTATCAGGAAATCCACGGGGTTGGGTATTTTTCTGCCTGCAGTAGCAGAAACATTAGTATAAGAGAGAGATTAGATAGAAGATAAAATTCTATAGAAATAATTTTCTGATATTATGAAAAATTATGTGGATTAATATATAATTGTCAGCCCTGAAGCTATAAGCTGTTTAATATAGATAGAGAAAGAATATATTAAAATATTTTTTTTATTAATTTAATTCTTTTTTTTTCTGCCCTGGCATGAACTCCATGATATTCAGACTAATATATACAGAGTAAGCAGACTTGACTAAGATTAACTTATTCAGTTAAGCTATTCTGTAGGATTAAATCTGCTGATCTTAATATATATTTACTTATTTCCAGTCTTTATCTACTATTAGAATAGCTGCATGCATAACCAGTCTATCTCAGTCCAGTATAAGTAAAAGCAGATAATCTAATTTAATAACCTCTCAAGAAATATTATAAGCTTACTTTTCAGTTAATCTATATAAAATATCTATGTATAATAAGTCATGAATCTATAGATCCGGGAGTTTATTTTTTCTAGTTTCAAAGTATGTTCTTTCTTAATAATATAGATAAAACTAAGATTTTTTAAGAGAGTATATTACAGCTTAACCTTTCTAATCTTATAATTATTAAAATTTATAATATCCTGAATAATTATGAACTTATCGTCAGTGACCCAGCTTTGCTGAAATATTATAAAAGAAGCCAACTCCTGTAGTCCAAAGTTAATAAGTTCAGTTTGGCTAGTATCTGTAGAAAGTTTCAGATAATAAGAGATTTCCTCTGGATTATATATTTTTATAAATCTAATATTCTGGAAATTTCTTTTATTTTTTATTTTAATTTTCCAGTTACTGTCTCTCTTACGGACCTAAATATCTTTTAAGAATAGCAGGCCATCTAAATCATAGTATATATTATATATAAAGTATAAATCTAAGTATTACAGACTTAAAAATAGCAGGTGTCCTCCGGTAAAAGTTAATAATTATATAACAAGTTAGTTGAACTTGTATTTTATCTCTAGGGTGAGCAGCCTGAAGAAAGTTATTAAAAAAAAAATAAAGAAATAATAAAATATAATTAAATAATAAATTAATGTAGTATAGCTTAGGCCTATATTTCTAGTAACTAGTATATTAATAGAATTATCTTATGTAAAGTAGTGGTCGCATTAAAAATTATGGTAGATGAATACTGTTAGTTAAAAAGCTAGAGAGTATTGGCTGACTCCTGCCACAGAAATAAATTTAGAATTAAATATTAAGAAAAATAAAAAGTTAGATTAATAATTTATTATTTAATGAATTAATCTCCTCTTATTATATGCTGAGTCTAGGTATTACTATGTTACAGGTATTATCTATTAATTTAAATAAGAATTAGTATTCTGGCTGGTGATATTTATAATAAGAGCTTAACTAGTTCTGATATTAGTATCCTAATATATATATTAAAACTGAATTTGATCTAGTGAGTTCAGACCTAATCATATAAAAAGTTAATAGTTTATTTTTCTAAAAGAAAGTTAAGGAACCATCCCTATTTATTTACTAGAAAAAAAATAGTGTAGTACAGGTCTTTCTCTAGAGACATAATTCTATGGCAGTCTTATTAGTTCTGGAATACTGATTTAATGCTAGCTTGAGAACTTGGCTGGCTGAAGCGGAGGCCCCACTTCGAAGTGAATATAACTTATAAAGGATCTGTGGGGACAAGTGCTATTTGTCTATTAGATATCTTGCCAGTGGATAACTTTTCAGGCAGTAAATGATCTGTTGTAACAGGTTGCCTTATAGATAATTTGGGCCAGTCTATAAGTTAGTTTAAATATTGCTTACCTTAATATGTGCGTACATTAGTAATGCCACTATCCGAAGCATGAGTGATCTTTTGTAATATTAAATTATATCTTATATAAATAAGCTTGTTGGTAATATGATTTATGTATTCTGGATGAGAGTTGTCTACTCCTCTATGTTTGGATTTTTATAGTAAATTATTACTATTAGGATATTTCTTCGCCCTAGATAAAAGTTTTTTTTTTTTTTTTTTAAAAATAGGTATTCCCTGTTTTGTATTATTTAAATTATTGCTATATAGTCTTAAATGAGTTACATCTGCCTCTGGAGATTATTGGTATTGTATATCTTGACAGTAGAAAAAGCTATATTAGAACAGGAAAGATTATAAAGATATTAGATTAGTCTCTGATTTTTTTATTTATTTGCTAACAGAATTCCTTAAATTAATGATTAACTAAAGTGTTGGAAATAATCCCGTACTTTTTGAGAAAGATATCGGAACTACTTTAGAAAAGATATTTAGTAGTATACTAGAAGTACTGAGTAAAAGTAAGAGATATATTATTACTCAGCTACAGAGTGGCTCGGATATATTTGAAGTAAGTAGTCACCCATTGATATTAGATATGATTATTAGCGGGGCTCACATTAGCTTGCTAGATAATAGCTAAAATATATTTAATAGATTAGAAAGTAACATGCAGAAGGAGCATTCTTATATAACAGAAGACAATTATTTCGTATTATTCCTTGAAATTAAAATAAGGAAATGTGGCTTAAATAGCCTGTCCTCCCCGACAGAAGCTTCTTATACAGAAGATATTAAAGTAAAAATAATGAGCTGTGCTAATCATTTAAATATCAAAATCTACCAGGATCTCTTTGCATTGGAAGTGCTGACGCACTGGTTCTAGTTCAAGATGCTATTCAATATTGGCAATCAAGAAAAGCCTACCAGTAGATACAGCCTCTGCAGAATCTCTCAGAGACTGGGCTTTCACATTGATTAAAAGCGACGCACAAGACATTGCATATCAGATAGTATTATACAGATACTACACCATAGCTCTCTTTTATAGGTGTAGCAGAGCCTCTGCACTGTCTATAAGTAGATTTCTCACCATGAACAACAATGGGGACTGCCATAACAGACAACCTGGAAATTCTTTATATAACTCGGAGGCTGGTATGGCTAAAAGAATATTAAAAGAGGTTGCGCCAGGTTTTAAGCCAGAATCTCCAGTATACAAACATAAATTTGATTACATCCAGTCATGTCGGATTCGCAGCAAGGAGTATCATATATTATCTATCTACTCTAATCCAGAAATACTTGCTTTGATACCCTCCACGGATCAACTCGGTCAGAACCGGATAGGCTTATCCGAAAACAGGTAAATCAAGCAAGGAATAACAGTAGCATGTCTTATTAATAGAAGAGTAGTGAGATTTTCAGTCATCTAGAAGATCTCTGTAATCTTAAAAAGCATGTTTAGTCTATCACCATGCCTCCCTCCTCCTACATAATATTCTTCGCTCCGGAGTTCTGGCTATGCGCAGGCATGAAAAGGGATAATAATGCAGGAACCATAAAGATACCATAATTTTAAGCATTATTTATAATAACTCAGACTTAAGGTTCAAGCACCATTATCTGCTATTAACAGATTTTTTTTATTATATAATAGAAAAAATATATATAACCTGACTAATAATTATGCCTTCCTGTTATTAACAAGACTTCGTGTCTTCTAAGGACTTTATGAGCGGTGGTATCCACTTTATATATTACTATGATTTGCTGTGGAAGAGAGCGCGCACTTATCTTTTATTAAAAGCTTTAGAAATATACTAAACGTGTGATTTAACTTGGTAATAGAGAATAAAACTTATTTCTTTACTTCTAGGCAGATAGACTAGTCTTCCCATAGATAATAATAGCTATTAATTAATCATAAGCTGATTCTGGAATAGGAAATTAAGTATCCAAGTCTTCCTAACCACTTGAATAGAGATAGCATGGTACAGTAGCCTTGCAGGTAAAACCACTGGCTCTTAAAAATAAAAACCCTCCGATAAGAAATATGGCCAGTGAAAGCTAAGAACTAAGATACTATAAATTTATTAAGCTGCTTGTCTATTAAGTAGATCTGGATAGTACAGCGTGTTAAAGTGCAATAAATTAGAAAACACGGGCTTTGAACGGCGGGATAATTATGGGCAATGTGTACCGACCGACAACATGCATGAAATTGATAGCTAGTTGAATAAGCTAGCCAACAGTGTGCGTCGTACGCGATGAGTGAGAGATCTAGACCGGGTCACTAAGTAAAATAATCTAAACAGCTCTTATCCTTGAGGCTTCACTAGCGGGGTAAATTATCCCTGTATTTAGAATAGTATTAAAATATAATTGGCTCCTCAGCTTCTGCCGGAGGTGTTGTAATGTCAAATATGACTAAACTGAATAAGACGAACTCGTTGGGTTTAAGTGTAGGACTGATTTGCTTCCAGTCATGTATGGTATTCAATCCTCTTTCCCCTCTCTCAATACAACTACTAAGTAAGCATATTAACCTATAACTCTCTTGCTTATATATCTGTAGTTATATGTATTATGCCAGGCTCTCATCCGCAGGACCTCTAAATTCCCACGAATTTATACAACATAGCCAGTGTCCGCAGTAAACTTATTGATTCTATCCAAGATCACTTGGATGTTTTATTTAAGAATTCACCGCTAATTCCCGAAGCTCCCATGGCTGCTGGCGTGGTTGGCAGAGATAGTAATAAGGATCTGGCTTTTATTGGAGATTCAGCTCTTTAACTTTTCCTATAATCACAAGGTCGCGCTAGGCATGCAAGCTGTAGTATATAACTAGTATTTCTGGAACAGATCTATTGTCTACTTTCTCTAATTTGATCTATATTGTAGAGTAAATCAACCAAACTGTCTCCCGTATAGTCAGTAATATAAACCCTGCCCAGCTGGTGTTTAAACTAGATCTTGATTAGTATATTTGTAAGAATCCCTCCTAGGGCAATTTTGTTCCTGACAAGCTGATGGCAATTACTGTTGAGGTTATTGCCGGTGCCGTCTTCCTAGAAACAAGCTGGGTTCGAGCAGCATTGCAGAGAATTGCGGATGCATTAGGCCTGGCATGGCCAGATTCTTGAGCTGGGAAATTTCCATGCAAGGCTCGGATAATTACGGATCTCCTATCTTCCATTACGAATTAATGAGGCGCATATTGATACGCGCATTCTATGCGACATTCATTTTAGTCGCGGCAAACTCGGAGGTGTACATATATTGTGGCCTTTCTTGCAGTTTTCTTCTTTGGTTTCTACCTTTCGGGCGGCCTGTAGCTCATTATCTTATCTATGTATTAAGAGCTTATACCTCACCTATGGGTAACGGGGATAATCTTGATGTTCTTCTGTTTTAAATACTGTACTATAGAGGCTCCAATTCTGCTTGATCTCTTGGTATTTCAAAGTAAAGCAAGTAGCAATCTGGCCTTCAGGTTATATTTATTTCAGCTAGATTTTAAGAAATCTAATTTTATATCTGTGTTGATCCAGCATGGCTACCCCTTATGAACTGAAAATCAAGATATTTAAAAAGATCATAGGCCATATCTTCTTTCTAAAATATTTGATATATCTGGCTCGCACCTTAGCAGGTGCTAATCCGGACAACTATAATGGGAATAGAAAATTATCTTAACTGGGTGTCTCTCTAGTTAACTTTATTCTGGCTATCATAGTATTCTTTATAGGTGGTACTAGAGATAAGAAGACCGCGGCACCTGGTTACTCAAACTTTTGGACAAACTTATAGTATTATAGAGTGTACGGCAAATTTGAGAAAGGCTTTTCTGAACAAAGGCAAATACTATACTACCGCGAAGCGGACTGGTATTAATAACTGCATAGATTATAATAAGCACACCGGGCCAGATTCACCAGAGGATCTTCGCAAAGCGATAAATACTATTATAACAGCTGTGTTTCTTGATATCTGGAATATTAAGTTAACAGTACTTATCATTCTAAGGTATGGCCTTATATCTGTTTAGTATATAATTACTATACTGAATCTGTTCAGTCAGGATTTTTTTCCAGGCAAGTAATAATAGAATATTTCAGGAATTTTCTTCTATCTTACCTGCTACTGTGGAAGCTCTTATATCTATTTTAAAAATAATACTAACTCTCAATGCTGGGGTGATTAATTCTTTAGTATTAATTATTAAGCAGTCTGCTATGACTTTTGAAATTTCTTTAATAATACACAGATTCCTGGAATAAGGCAGTAAAGATCTGTCTCTTTTATCAAATACAAAGTACATTGTGACGGAGAAGAAGTTAGTTACAGAAAATCTATTTAAATTTCTTTAAGAGAAAATATAGTCATCGGACAGAGACTTAAGCCGTAATGGAACTGAAACTGAAGCCGAGCATGACTTGATAATAAGGATTTTGAATAAACCGAATACTCTGTTAATACCAAAGGGAGGTCAGGTGGTATGCTGCCTGAGAGAACTCTATAATAATAATGAAATATCTATAGTAATACCTGTATCAAAGAGAAGGCGCAGGGCTGTAAGTATTAATATTTCTATTTTATATAATAAGACTGCCCGGCAGATTCTCTTATAAAAGAGACAGCACTGTGCTGCTCAGAATATATTTCTGCCTGAATATAACTATTTCTTTTCTACTATAATAATAAAGACTTTCTGGCTTAAGAAAAGCTTGCTCGGGAATCTTATTATTTTTTTAATAATAATTACTAGTCCTCAATTAATAGTAGCTCTGTATAAGATGATATACTATGTAAGAACTCAAAAAACAGTTAATTTATATTATTTAATTATAAATATCATAAAAAGGCGAAGATATGATATAATTAAAGAGTTTAATTAGAAAAATGTACTTTTTTAACTACTCTGTTAGTATCATCTTCTTAAATTATTTAAGTAATGTGGTGGTTCTTGGACCTGTTACAGCATGGAATATGTAAATATAACATCTGCGGATTTCAAATATCTGAAACGGGGAGCAGGAAACCCTAGCAGGAAAGATAATACTAAAATAATATAAATAATAATAAAAGAGTTATTCCCTAATCTAAATCCTACAAGTCCTGTGTATACCCAGAAGTATATTACTATCAAGTATTACTGAAAAGTAGGACAGCGACTCTATATACTCACTAACCAGTTCAGTCCAGGAATCCTTGGTCTCACTTTAGACCCCACTCATGAGTCAGAGATATCAGATACCACGTTAGTAAGTACCAAGGTTGACATACCCATAAGTCTAACACTATTTTAGACTGTTAAATCCAAGAAATAGAATATTTTGTGATTTTGTAGATCTCCTTGAAAAATCGCATGTATAATAGCTGAGTAAATATAGTAATGCAGCTTTCTTATTACTTTACCTATTACTTGAGTTTATCCTTGACAACACTACACCTTTTTGTTTGGAGCTTACAGATCCTGAATACATTTGCATGCAGCCTAAGTACTCCGAGTCTTTTCTGAAGCTTATTGCCTAGAGCAGTAGCAGCTCATGTGATATACATGGACATCCAATATACACCATAATTAATTATACTGTATACCTTCGAGGAAAAGATCCTGTTCTTTACTAAATTTACTAGCATATATCTATTCCATCGCTCCCCCAGGTAATCAATGCTCCTCAAATATAGACCAGTGACCTTTCGGGATCACTTTATGCCTTTTCATTCAAGAGTTTTCTTAATGGATTGTCTCCTGAATAAGTAGGACATTATCTCGGAGACGCAAAGCGCAGTGAGATGCGCCAAGTACTATGTCCGAGTGAGCCTAGGCTTTGACAACCATATATAGCCACGCGCCACGGTATTCTCCACCCTTTAGCCAGGTGACAGGAGCAGGATGACAATGATACGTTAAGAGCTTATCTATGAGCAGTGTGATCGTGTTGCGCCAGGAACCGTGGTCCTTGGTGTTTATTCATGGCCCGCGGCCCAGGGGGCTAAGTTAGGAGCTGCGGCACAAGATTAAAGGCGCACTCGATGATGACCTGGTGTTAATTGGGGGTGGGGGAAGGGAATGTAAGGATGAACCCTATAAACTGTTCTCCAAGATATTCATATTCTAGGGGCCCGTACTCGACTATGCAGAGGTAGCGTGGAAATTTCGGTTCTGCGGTTAAGGTTGTGAAGGCACATTACGCGTTAGCCCCCATGGGCTTTGATGAGATTCTAAGTTTGTTGAGAAGGTAATAATTTCCCATTAACAGGCATAGAGTGAAGATAGATAACAGTAATGGAACAGTGGTGGTATAGTATTCTACGTGGCCACTTGAAGCCGGGGGCGCAGTGTACGAGTCATCCTGGGATGTACCCGCCGCCCTGCATCATTACCTTTGGGGAATCATAGAATATAATAACTAGCCCAATAGGACAGCTCTCCAGCAGTACCAATGATACTGTATACTTATGTCTCGCAGTGCCTGTCCTAGAGAACTTTCCTTGCTTTGCTTTGACGCAGTTCCCGATTAGTAAGACATATCGCCACTATGGTTACAGATGAACCTAACAAAACTTAATACGTAGAAATGCTGGCCAGAGCTCGATCATTTATCGGACTCTTAGGTTTATAAGTATTTTAGTTACGTCCGGTAACAACTCTCAAAAATGGGTGATACCATGAGATTTGAAAGAACAGAACGCCGTGCTTTAACTATATTTATATATTCGGGAGCACTATCACAGCGAGAACAAGCCGAGCGCATGGATATATCGGGCGCATCTCATTGCGTGGTTAAGTGACAGCCTATGTTATACTCTACCATACTCTGCCTTAAATGATGACCCCGCAGCCAAAAGTTCACGTGGTATTAATCCAGCTATTAGTTTTGAGTCTTAATTACATAAATCTATAAAAATAACTATCAGGTCCTTGCAGTCTTATTGTCCTCACATTCATCCCAGCAGATATGGCTACCATGGAGATCCTTGAACAGGTGCTCAGACAGCAAACTTTGCCAACTATATTCTCGAAGCAGTCATTGTCTGATTATTAATACAGTACTTAACTTAGTATATTCAAGGGCTGCTCAGCGTATGAAAACTTTATTATTCTATAATTATATCAGCTCATAGCCCCTCTTTTCAACTAGTATATGAAGATCTCAGTGCTAGAGAATGGACCCAGCCCGAAAAGCATACTTAGAAAGCTGCCCCATTATTTTTGATAAAAGATTGTAAGGTACGCTGCATTCAAGCCCAACCATATATTTATTATATAATTAAAAAAATAGCTTTGTACTGCTCCGGAAACAGAACCTCTACTACTCTCTCTGGAAGACCCGCCCAACATCCAATGCACTCTATTTAATATAAACAGAGACACAGAGAATTCTGTCTCCGTGGATAACAGCAACAGTAATAAAAAGTATAATCTTATTCTATTCTGCCATAGCATGTATGGCATGAAACCCGAATCGAAATTTATTAAACAGGTACTGGAAATGCTGGTTAAGCGACCTGAAGATAGATTAGTAATCATTTTCCATCGTGACCAGGCCCTGTAATTTGATAAATTAATATACTATAAAACAGATTCTTTCTATGACAGAGTTATTCATGTGCCTGATAAAAATGATATACTGGACACCTTTACAGCTTTCATCGCAGGATTTATCATGCAGGATATAAAAGCGGATAAAGCTATTTAAGCTGAATAATATAAGATATACCGGGTCTTAAGAAATTATAAGAATACTGATCCTGATCATCTATTATTTAACTTACCTGAGACTATGGTGGTCTTTATCCGGCATGCAATTATATTACCGGAGCTCATAGCTCAGGTGCTGTTGGTGAGAGAGAAAAAAATAATTAAAAACTATGAAACTTACTTCTACAGTTGCACTGTAACTGTACGGTCAACAAAGATTCAACATATTCAGCAGTGCATTCAATAGGCCCTAAAGCATGGAGTGGGCCTGATAATCATTAACAGTAATTACAGCAGCCACTGTCTGTGGCTTAATATTATCTTCATTAATATGACTGTCTTTGACCAGGTCTACTTGCTCACACGAGAAGAAAAAGAAGAGACTGAATCTAATTTCTATTTTTTAATTATTACTGAGACCGGCTGCAAGGTCACTGATATTATTTATAAGTTAATGGAAGCTGGCATGACAGTACCCCTAAGATCCCGCCTAAGTATAGATGCAGGACTGTGGTTACAAGGTGGCCTCAGGTATCTGGTTAGACTATATGGCCTGGCATATGACCATATCATCGGGCCTGTGCTAGTCAGCATGAAATCTGGCGAGGTCTTCTGTATAGGCTGTGTACCCAGTCAGCATTGGCCGGACGGTGCCGTACGCCCAAATAACGAGATTAATCTTTTATGGGCAATCAAAGGGGCAGGAACTAGTTTTGGTATTATAATCAATATTATCTTCAGGACTCATGTAGTATCTATCTATATAATCCGAAACTGGGTTCTTCCGCTGAGTGATGATTCTGAGAAGCAGTACAAGATTCAAGATTTTAACAACTTTATTACTGGCAAGCTCAGCCAGAATTATTCAGCAGATGTATATCTTTACTAGGAATCCAGCCAGTTATATCTTAGTATCATTATCTTTAAATTCTCTATAATAATAAAATTCTTGGATAAACTACCAGTATCTACTTCCTCGCCTATAGACATAATTTTGGGGCCGGGAGATGCTTGCCGGTCTATAAATAATATAAGTCTATTTAAGGCTGAGATACATATATCCAGGATACACAGGGATTATAACAGAAATAAGATATCTACTTTCAAGCAGTATCTATTCTTAAAAGATATTAGAGCTGTGGATATTACTAATTACTTATTAATAATTATTCATAATTATTCCATATCTTTGTATTATTTTCATCTACTATAAGACGGAGGAGTAGTTACTAATATAAGGATTAATATTACTGCTTTCAGTTATTAAGACTAGGATTTCACCTGTATAATAACTGGCGTCTGGCCCCGCAACCGAGATGGAACTGAAGTTTCTGAAGTGGTCAAACAATGGGTATATAACATTGCCCGAGACTTGTTGCCGTTCAGTAGCGGAGCATATGGCGCTGATCTCGGGCCCGATCCAAGAGATGCTGCACTGGCGGCCAAGGCTTTTGGCCCAAACCGGCCGCGCCTGGCCCAGCTCAAGCAAAGCTCAGATCCGCACAATGTACTGGCATACACCTGCCCACTCCCGAGAGTACCAGGGGAACAAATACTTATTATTTTTATCACTGGCAAGAGCTGCGCTGGTAAGGATTATTATACTAATATCTAGGTTACTGCACTTAGTGAGAAAGGCTTGAGGGCGCGCGCAGTTAGTATAAATAATATAATTAAATAAAAGTATGCAGCAGTCTCCAGGACTGATTTTAAGTACCTACTTTATGACCGTAGCTATAAGAAATAATATTATTCAGTATTAACAGTATTCTTCTACAGCCAGGTACACCGTAAGCCTCGACTTCCAGAGAAGCATTTTCTGAATATAGTACATGGAGCTATAGATTTAGACATGCTACTATTAATTAAAATAAGAGATAAAGCGCCGGTCACGGCTTTATTATATCTAATACTAGATAATAAAGTAATTGAAGTTCGTGTTAAAGCTAGTGACAAAATACAGTAAATTCATAAAGGGTATTATAGAGATGAATACCCTATTAATAGCAGTAAGATTAACAGAGAAAATAAACTAAGTATTATTTTATTATTCTTAATAGTCTTAGACTACAGACCTACACTTCTTTTTAACAATAACACAGCCAGGGTTGAGACAGTTAAAAGATTTATTAAAGACTATCTATTTCTCTTCTTTTATGAGAACTTGTGGTGATTATTTAATATAGTATATCTAGTACCTAGATTCCCACGCACGGGAATTGACTTCTGTCATGTATTTAATATTATTTAATAACCAGAGAAGCTAGCCCTGTATTCATCTCTATTATAATCTTACTTCACAGGTAATTGGGCAAAAGTAAATATAATAATATATTATAAGACTAGCAGCTTAGTCTTTGCTCCTTTATTAGCCTCATAAATTAATATATCTTTAGTATTTATTTATAAAGCCGGCAAGCTTCCCCTGCCTACTATTTCTGTTTTTAGATCTGTATCACATATATCATCTTTGTCTTTGAATGCACTGACAATGAAGTGAATTGAGATAGGCCGAGATGTGATTCCTCAAGATACTTTAATAATAATAGTAGATGATACTCTTGCTACCGGAGAAACCCTTATTGCAGTATTATAATTATTAAGAAAAGCTGGAATTCCTGCTATAAATATTAATATCTTAGTAATTGCTGAATTCCCTGTTCACCGTGGCCGCGACTTTCTGCGCCAGAATAGATTTGGGGAAGTTAATATCCAAAGCCTTTTAATCTATAATACTGTTTAGTGTGATCTATAGGGAATAATATCATACTAGAATAATAGTTATGATATAATCTCTGTAATCTATGACATTTCTCCTCTTACATTACTCTCTAGGTCTATCTATATTTTATCTATATCTTTCAGTACTAGCAGGTGCTTTATAATATTTATCAAAGTAATTATCCTTGCCAAAGTACCCCAGTTACTATTATCATAAAATAAAAAATCAAGGAGAGATATATTCTCTGATAATATTCTAAATCTATTCCATCCCTGTCATTATAATAATCTGGCAGAGTTCTGATCTAATTCTATAATATAATCTCCACGGAGACAATATATACCGCATTATAATTAATGTCTTCAAGATAAATCTTAATAATGGAAATTCATTACTACAGCACTGAGATAAAATAATAAATATATAATATACTCCATAAGAGCCTATATAATTATAAGTAAGTTATATTATTTCTTCTTACTATTACTTAGCTAGGTAAGCACCTGAGATATTATAATACATACTTATATTCTGACTAATTTACATGGCAGTAAGGATAAAGATGTGTTGCTTATTAATAATATAAATTATAGCAGTATAATCTTTATTTCAGAAAGTAAATTCTCTAAGTATATTTATTCTATTATCTATAAAATGCTATCTGTTTTAACTTTGATCTGTATTTAAGAAAAGTGCTGTCGGTATTCTAGCTGTATTATAAGTTTATAATACAAATCTGTCTAGCTTACATGATAAGTAAGAGCAAGGTAATTTCATAAAACTAGTTTTACTAATAAATCTGGAAAATTAAAAAGAGGAGAAAAAGAAAGAAAAGAAAGAAGAAATAAAGATATATATATATATAATAATATTCTTAAACAGGATTTAAGATATAATATAAATTTGTTATATAAATATTATGTCTCTTCACGGCTCATGGTTATCAGTCAAGCCATCTTTATAATTACTTTTAACAGTTTCTTTATACTGATAATATCTCCTTGATTAAAAACAAATCTGACTGTGTGTCAAGGGTCTACTGTTTTAATTTATATATAAGTAGTTTATCTTCTTTTTTATTATGATTTTGATTATTAATAATATTATATAACCTGTGTTTTGAGTGGAACTCTCTTCCCTGTATTTAACTAGTAAGGCGCATGCTAATCCTAAGGTAAAACAGTTATTTATATTTCTGTTCAGCTAAACTTATCTTGAAAACACACACGGCCATCTGTTGCCTTTATATTGCAGTCTAGCCACTTTTTCTTACCAGTCCCAGTAGCGATTTACCGCATTTTCCCACCCTCCTCGTACGAGAGAAATTCTCGGGGCGGAATATCACATGACAGGATATAAGGATAAGTAGGAGACTCCTCTGGACCTAATATAATCTTTTTATTTATATCTGACATAATACTTGAACTTCTCTTCTATACAGAAAGGCATTGGTCCTAATCTATTAGTAAACTCTTAGCGGGAATATACCTACTAATACTCATGATATGATAGAGGCGCCATCAACATCATAACAGACCTTCAGAATGCTAAGACCAGACCATGTACTGTTGATGGCATGACTACTTCAACATCCTGCACTTTGCTTGTTGGAGAGGTACAGTGCAAAGAGACATATATAAATACTAGTAAGATATATATTCTTGGTATCTATAAGACTATATTTACTGATAGAGTATAAAGAAAACTTGATATATATTAAAATAAAAGCCCGCTTGATAATTATAGTTAAAAATATATTATAATATTTCAGAGAAGACCTAACCTGTGAAGGCCTTATTAAAATCTCTGAAAAATATGCCAGGGCAATTTTATTCTTTACCAAGGATTATACTGAGAATCTTAAAGATATTATTAATAATACTATCTTTACAGTTAATAGCCGGGAGCTTGTACTGGTCAAAGATATAAAGATATCTAGTCTCTGCGAGTATTATCTAATACTATTTATCAGAAAGATATAATACAGTTTATATAGCTAGAAGCTTTGATTTACTTATTATTTTTAAAAGATCTATATAGATTATATTTTTAATAGCTGTGTGCTTAGTCTCTCTAAGCTTGCTTACTTGGCAGAAATTTTTGCTCAGTGCTTACAACTCCAAGAGAGGCTCATATAACAGATTATTAATATTATTCAGCAGATTCTTGAGCCTCAGGGGGTTAGTGTGATCATGGAAGTAAGCTATATATATATAATTATATAAGATACTCAGAAATTTGCTGCCATGATAATAACCTGCTATATGACCAGTATATTATAATATGATAACAGGACCAGGAATAACTTCTACTTCTTTCTTAACCAGTAATCCAGCTTATGAAGGCTCAGTGGGTTGTTATTGTGTAATTAGATTCTGAAATAAAAATAAAATAAAGATATCTAGTCTTACTTGTCTGCTGAGTTAATAATTAATTAGATAAGCTTGTAACTTGCTCTTCAGTTTATCTAAGACATGAACTACGTGGAGGGCTAATCTGCTATGGGCTGAAGTATATATATAATATTATTTTTATTTTATATTTTAATTGAGTTGGGGTTTAGTTTGCTTGACTAATAATATAGATTGGAAAGGGCCCATCTATTATATATAATAATAATATATCACCAATGCACTTGAAATATCTAGCAACTATAGTACGCCTGATAGTGTCATAGATAATATATAGTATATAGTACATAGGCTCCAACTCAAGAGTGCTGTCATAATAATTCAGCTATCATTACTGCAAGAAATTCCGGTTATGTCCTATCTCAAGGCAGATTATTAAATCATAGATATGTACTCTATAACTCTTATTAGATAAACCTGATATAAATATTGTACTCAGACGTGTCTTAGACCATCCAGGGTCATAGTTGACCGTTTAGTCTACCAAATCTACAGTATGAAGTGAACAGCATTACTGAGAATAATAATCATTATCTAAAGCCTGTTTTTCTGGGGCTAGACTAACACTGGCCTACCCCTCCTCCATGAAGATATAGATTTACCTTATAATCTTACAGGAATACTATTGGTTTATTATCAGGTATTAAGATATGATTTAGTAGACTCCATTAAATATACTTCTAGGTCATGGATAATATATATTATTATTAATAAGATTTGCTTAAATCTCCACCCCCGCCTTCTTTCAGATCTAGAAGTTAGTTATATATTTACCTGATATAATTATCTTCAGATCCTTACAGCTTCCAGTATTTTAATTTTCTCTAGGGCTTTTTATGGGTGAGCTTAACAGGTATCCAGCAGGCTGAATAATTATATTATTATCCCGGTTTCTGTATCTATGTTCTTGAACTAGAAATATATAATATATTTTCTACAGAAGACCTTCACCTCCTATATTAAGAAGCTCTTTTAAATAATAGTCTTGATTTTTTTAGCTTTCTGGATCTTTTCTACTCTAGACTCAGTTCTTGATGGATTGCTTTATTTATATTATTTGAGGGTACAATATGATTTTTGCAGATATTAAACTTGCTACAGCTGCTAAAAAATAATCTTATAATTTAGCTGTACATTAATATTCTCAAAAGTCTAAACTTATTTGACTAACTTGATCAGTCCTTATAAAGCCCGGCTGGCACAGCGTAGTACTAAATAATAAAAGTCTACTCTGGTCTTATGTACCTGCGTAGTATATATAGTGCAGTCAAACCTTTCTTCTTTTAGAGTTAAAGAAATCATGTCTCTCTAATTACCTTTTTGAGTAAATGCTGCGGCCTGCGGTAAACTGAGATACTAGGCTGAGAATGTATTCTTTTTACCAGCTTTGCCTAATACATCACTGTAAATAGTCCCGATAACTTATACACTCTGAGCATGACTATCAAGCTGCATCGCTACAGTTAAGTATCAATGTACACATGATATGAAGTTCCGCAGATTTGCTGTTGTCCTCTCTGTTGCTCTATCTCGACCAACCCATATAACCTGTTATGGAATATTTTTTTACAGGGAACATCTGTTGAAAGCTTTCGCCGTAGACTAATTGTACTACAATGTAGCTGAAGTGAAGCTATAGCTATCGGTAAGAAATTAAAATTGAGATCAGCGATATATGTGAAACAAGCGTACTGGGCAGGGTGCATTGCTTCAGGATCTGCTATGCTATGTAGTGGCCTTTCTGGTATTTCTTAACATTCCACATAATGACTTTCCACAGCCCCTAGCATCTTCCTTTAGTCAGCTACTTTCTCGGTCAGTCATTCTACAACCGGATTTAGATTCACTTTTAGTTTAAAAAGTGGATGAGAAAGTAACTTAAGCCATAAATATCCACTTCTTTGGGATTTTAATATATCTTTTCTCTAAATGTCTTTGCTTTCCGAAGATAAGCTTGATATAACAGTGGGATTAAAATACTCAATATCTGTTACTACTAATCTTTATAATAATTTAGATCACTTTATCTTTAATACTGATATTATAAGATATCATGATAATCTCTTAAACTTCTCTGAGCTAGTTTAGGAAGTTAGAGAGAAGACTCTTGCTTTTTTTATAATTAATTATATATTCATAAAGGATTCTCAAACTAATCAGAAGAAAAAGACAGTCCATTAGTTTAACCTGTTAGTAAGAGTTATAGAAGAAAGTCTTTTTATTATAATTAAAGATTCTTATATATTCTTTAATATTACTCCTTTCTCAAGTACATTTATATGTGGTTCCCAGAATTCCGGAAAGAGCCATATATTATCCTGTATATTAGAAAACTGCTTGATTCTATCCAAAGCTGGACAGTTGCTAAATCCCCTAACAGAGATTATATTTTATTATGATACTTTTATTAGTAATATAATAGGATCATTTTATGAAGCAGCCTTTTTATTCTTATATTCTGATATTAAAGTGCGAGTCTTATGTGCTCTAATAAATCTCTATATTATCAAGATTTGTATTACCTTTTAGAGGACTGGTTTCAAGTATTATTATAATTTTAATATTATGTTAAGAGAGTTTATTTGAAATTAAATATTATAGTATCTGCTTTAGAGATTAATCAAAGAAATCTTAATATGAAGTAAATACTAGATCTTATAGCAGTGGAACAGGATAATGGCCCCATACCGCTCTACATGCACACTGTTAAATGTATTCTCCGGGAAATGCGTATGGAGCAGCAGGCAGCGCATACAGGATTTGATTACTGTATCTTTAAGAATAAAGTACTAAACTCGAATTTGACCCCTGTCTAGCTTGAGCTATTGAAGTAATAATTAGAGATACTAGAAAGTTTTATGCCTCAGTTGCAGACTCTACCTATTTCTGGCAAGAACAAAGCTGCTTCCGAAGGCATTAACTAGAAGCTGAAAGTTAATATTAAAGAATTTCTGTATAACAGAGCTTTATTAGTATGATTTAAATGATTAACAAGACAATTGTATGCTAGGCACGCAGGTTAATAGTGATAGATTTATCTTATCCATACATCTCTCCCAAAACTGCTTGTTCTCTATTCAATATCTGCTTGGGAATATTTTTGGAGCAAGATCTAGAAATTGGCAGAGTTATAGCTCTGGACGAGGTCCATAAGGTTTTACCCGAACTCCAGCAACCCATTTTTTCTCGCCGGACAGACATTAATGGTTAGCAGTACATGAATAGTTCTCTCAAGACTTAAGGCTTCACTGAAATGCTTCTGTCTACTATCTGACTACAGCGGCATCTGGAGGTCTAAATAATTATTTCTATCCAGGAATCCACGGTCTTTATAAATCTTTTAAATCTTTATTTAATTACTATTATGCATTGGTTTACTTCCCCGAAATGGCTGTATATTTTATATAAATATCTGACAGGAGCGTTGAGAAGTCCTTTTAATAAATTAAAAATAAATAATTATAATATAAAAGTAGTTTCATAACTTTCTCTTTTTAAAAAGATTATAAATCTACAAGTAGGAGAGATTATATTATTCTTATCTAGTATAATTATTAAAGCAAGCTCCTGTAACAGTAATAAAAAGGCTATATTATATTACCTCAGATATAGTAATCTCTGGGTAAAAATCTAGCAGCAGCTTATATTTAATAGTGGAAAGAGTGTTCTCTCAAGGTAATATATATAATAATATAATTATCTATAAGAATAATAGTAGCTTCTATACTCTTTTAATATTTAATACAGCTCGGCAACAGTAAATAGTTCAGAGCAGGAACTGTAAAATTAAAAGATTTATAATTATATCTACTTCCTTATACTTTATCTTGATTTTAAACAGTAATTATAGCCTTATCAGACCAAAGAGATACAGGACTATTTATATACTACAGTAAATACTATTTCTGTTATATAAAATTTCATGATTGGCACACACACACGCAGAGTAGTAACAGTAGTAGTAAGGTACTTATATATTAACTTCTGCTTTAGATAATAGATAAAGTATAACTATATCTTTTTATATAATTATATTTATTATAAATATTATAACTATCCTGAGAAGCTTTAGAGTACTTAAAGAAAATATAAATTACTGCTTTAATTATATTAAATATCTCCATCAGCATCCAGCAGGATTCGGATAATGGTTAATAATCCCTGTATCTTAGGAAAGTATCAGCTATACTAAATCTATTTTGTATTAAATATTTAATTTATGGCTTGGAGATCTTAGTAACATGGACTACTAATAATATGTTTAATCAGGCCCAAGGATATGGTATAGCTTATTAGAATTATAAAGATTAATTAACATGATGAGCGCAATATTATTGGAATAAACTGTGGTACTGGAGCATACTGATTACTTAGCAGTATTTATCTAGTCTCTGGGAAGCTAATTATTAACTTATAAAAACTGATAGAAAATAAAGATAGATTATTTAGCTGAACTTACTAGACAGGATTACTTTATTAATATTATTGTTTTATTAAGATATCTTAATATTGGCTTCTGGCATATCTTTAGAGATAATATAATTATAATTATCAATGTTATAAGAATTAAAAGTAGAGCTCATAGGTGAATATCTTACTGACTACAGTGGGGATTAAAGACTATCTTAAAATTAAAATAATATTATTATAAGAGTGAGTCCGCTGGCTTCTTGAGTTTGTGAGATATGGATAGTAACAGTGTATTATTATATATTAGGTAACTAATTATGTATCTTGCTTCTAGTATCATGACTGATCAGTCTCTGCAATTGCTCAAAGTACAAAAGTAAGAAAGATATGGCTGAAATTAATCTTGACTGTCTGAAGAAGCTCATCTTCTGAAAATATTAAATGTATCTTCTATTTTCCCACTTTTGGGCTCTCGGCTATGCTAATGGTTTAGTACGCACCCGCTGTACTTTGGCGGATGTGGTCTACCAACCACGAGCACATGTATTTAAATGTTAGACGGGTTCAGTTGTTCTTCAGTATAATCTTGCACTTATGGCAGTAATACGAATATGAAATTTTCTACTTCAAATCGGATGTAGTCCTTCCCGGAGTCCGAGAGCAGCAGGAGGTCAATAGAGTTCTATAGCTTTGTATGTATATATGTTATTGATAGAAAACATCCACTGGAGATTAAACTTCTATCTCTCACTCCAAAGAGACCTTTTGTACTTTGTATCTGAATACATCGTTAATTTGATTACAATGACACTGGTATGCTTTGTATCCACAAACTGCCCCTCTCCCTTTATCTTAGTCAGATACTACCTAATCCTTCACGCCTTGTTCGTCTTCGTCGGACCTCTATTCGGAAGAGGCAAATTTTTTCTATTATTTGAGTCTTTGTGCTACAGGCTCAGTACTTGTCTAATGGTAGGACTAGGTGGCTCTTTGCTTATCTCGGTTGCTGCAGCTGTCCATTGATAATGCGAGCTATTTAATAGTATAACAGTTGTAAAGGCAGTGCATGTGTTGTTCTCTATAATATAAATATAGGAGAAAACGGTTAAGGAGAAATTATTTAAACTTTTCTGATTAATATTTATCTCTGTAATAGGATTTTTGTTAGTAGGAAATATAAAGGCTTCCCACTCATCTTCGGTGTGCGGGGATTCAAAGTCTGGTATATATCTGTATTAAATATACTGAACTGGTTTCCAGATATTTATAGTTTTTTATATAACTTTGTTTAGGCTTCTAATAAATGCACTGTGTTGGTCTTCTGGAAGTAGTTTATCTAGATATACTGAGATATTTTTAATTATACTTTAAACATTTTTGAGATATATCCTTGCCTGGGTTTCTGGATTAATAGAAAGAAGAATTGATTAACAAAAAAATTCTTTTTTATTATTAATAGTAGCTAAGTTAGAAAGGGCTTTCTTAAAGTAATCTTTTATAAGTATAATATATATTAGCTGGAAAATGTGTTTGGCTATCTCTCTTGCCAGAATAGCCAGGATGACAGAAAACCGCATCTGTTTTGCTACTGATGTATTTAAACACGGAAGAGGGACTTGATTAGTATGTATTAAGTTATAATATCAGAGCCTGTTTTATGGTAAAATATCCTGCTAACTGATTTTCTCGGGCTATGTCAGATTTTTTCTAATTCTATTATTCTGAGAAGTGAAAGACAGCTTACCCTCAGAATCTTGCTGGGAAATTTTATGTTTAGATAAGAGTATAACTCAGTTTTAGTATACTCCCAAAGCTTAATAAAGCCTTTAATTTTAGAAGATATTAAAATTATATAAATTCTTTAATCTTATAAATATAATACTTATAATAACTTTTTATCTATTTTATAATGCCCAGCAGCAAATCCCTTCAGTTTTATAAGATATTTTTAAGTAGTTATTAGTATTTCTTTAAGCATAGAAATCTATTTCTTTAGCTCTTTAATCCTCTTCTTTGAGATGGAGAGTTTTTTTTTTAAGTTAGTATCTATTAATTTTATCTTTTTAATAGTATCTTCTTTCTCTTTTTTAGTATTTTGCAGAGTAGTAATATTCTTTTATAAATCTGTTAGCTTTTTTCTCTTTTTTATATTATCTGATTAAAGTTTTTTTACTTATTTCTCAAGTTTATTTATATACTTATTATACTTAGAAATAAGCTTCTTCTTGTTCTTAATAATTTTTTGAAGTAATAAAGCTTGTTTCTTAATCTTTTTATATTTATCTTTCTCTTTCTTAATAGTTTTAAATATTTTATTGAGCGCGGTCTCCTTCTTTCACTCTTACTTATTTATTTTATTTATTAGATTTTTGAGCTTGGAGTCTTTAGACTTCAGCTGGCTGTATAATTTAGTATTTTTATTATAAACTGCTAGAGTAGTATCATACCCTATTATAAAGACTAGACTCTTGAACTGATTAAAAAATTCTCTAACAGCTTGCGTGTTAAGGGGCGTGTATATCAGTATAAAAGATGAGTTTAGGCTCTTAGAAGATATACTGCCAAGTAACAGAAATTTAGCTGGAGAATCTAAATATAACATGGAATATATTTATACAGCCTGAACTGCGGGTGTATATAGCCAATTTATAGTATTTTGAGTTAATTTTTATAAATATTCTTTTTTAATTTTATCTCTTACTTCCATTTACTTCTCTGCTTATAGTAATATACTGATGTGGTATGACCTACTTGGTCACTGTAATATATTTATTTAGATAGCATGGCTTGATTAATACAAGCACTAGTTATTCCCACACATAATCAGCTAACTGTAAAGAAGTGATTCTATCCATTATATCCCACGGCGCGCGCCTCACGTCCTTACTTTGAAGGGGGGGAGACCGGCCTAGTTTAGGGCCTTGTTATTAATAGTATCAGGAGTTTTCTAGGTACTTTTGAATATATATATAGTATTATATGCTATAAGGCAGGGTGTCTCCACGTAATGGGGCATTCCACGCGTTTATTAAAGATAAATGGCAGTATTCAAGCCTAGTGCTCACCTGCGGTGACTCTGTAATGTCAAGAGTATACACACCGCCTATAAGACATGAAATACTAAGAGTAAGAGGCAGGCATCCGCCCCAGCTGAGACTCAGTGATATTTAGATCCGGGCCGGGATACTAATACCAGTAATACCTGAAGCCCGCTGGTATCTCATGCTTAGTATAATATCTTGAGTAATTATATGCTCTGAGCCTCTACTGATTATCTAGATCTTCTAGTAGGGCTATTATAACTATATTTATTATCATAGTAATAAAGGGACCTAACACAAGTTTTTCAGCAGCATGACTGTTCTTGAGATACTAGGGATATTGATAGCCTGTAGGAGAGGACAGAGAATTAATTATATTTATAAACTATTATCTCTAGACTACTTTATCAGATGTATCATTCAGTAGAGGTCTGTAAAGGTAGGGGCTAATATACTTTTTATATATATTTTCTGACTTTGGATTGCTTTCTGTTAATGATAGAAGGCTGGTCTGATTATATACTTATTTTTATCTAATTTTCACGCTTGTGCTTTACTGGCTGTTTCTGATTATTGAAGTCTCTTACTTTATTTGGTAAATACTTTGTTAGAATGGGGGAGAGGTCGTGGATACTTCCAGTCTCAGAAATTGATGCAGTAGCCCCTTTTATGCGGTGACTATGATGGTGCTGATTAACTCAACTCTGTCTGACGCTCAAATCAACGCATCTGGGGAGAGTGCCTTTGCCTGAGCTTGGTCCCGGAATGCGATTTAACCACTATCCACTGAAAGCCCTCTGTCCGATTTGCCAACGTGAATGGCGTTTCCGATTTGCCGTGTTCTGATTGATGATCGGGAGTGGAGCAATCAGTTGGCAATCGAAGCGCCAAAGCGTTGTTGCTCTCTCGACTTGTGAGGCTGAATCTCTAGGCCAGACACAAGCAACCAAAGAAGCAATCTGGTTGAGAAGACTTCTCAATAAGTAGAACATGAGTCAAGGTAAAGCCGCCACGATCATTTGCGGTAACAGCCAAGGAGCCATCGCCCTCTCTTCGAACCCGCAATACCATTCCCGCACGAAACATATCGAAATGCAACGCAAATGGCAAGGAGAGGTCTAAGACCTTGGAACAGTGGAGCTGAAATACATCCCAAATACAGAGCAAATTGCTGATGGGTTCACAAAGCCTCTTCCGCGGGAACGATTTGAAAGGTTTCGGAGAGGGCTTGGCACTGAGTGACGCCACCCGGCTTACGAGGAGGGACTAAGCCACACGGGTACCCTTTCCTTCTTTTTCCCTTTAAAAGTTTTTTGGAGGTTTTAACGGGGCCCTTCACCACCACGATGGATTATCGCTGGCACCCTTGATGGTGGTCGCCATCGAGTGGGAGTATTGAATATCACGGTGGCTGTAATGAGTATCATGGTGGCTGAGGCCTTATGGCAGGGATGGGAACAGATATATATGTGCTCTCCAGCCCTTGTAAGCGACAACTCTCCTTAATGTTAAGTCATATTGAATTAGAATCAATCTATTCTCACTTCATCACATACCTCTATATAATTTGTGTATATATTACCGTTATTTGTGTTTCTTGGCGGGATTTGGTTTGGGGGTGGAAACCCAACCGGCGATTTGGCGAGGTCTAGCTGCAGGTCTGTCTATGTACATCACCTGACCTAGGATCCAACTTGGGTGTGGGGTCAGGAATGAAACCATCGTCATCATCATCGTCTGAGTCTCAGACGTTATTGTGGAAGGCGATGGATGTTTCTCCTCTTGGGTGGCCGGTATGGCCAGCTATCTACGGAGTAGGATGTAACCTACGGTCGCACGGGCCACAACGGTTAGGCGGGCCATCCCGATTAAGTGATTCCTTTTCGAGGAAAAAGAAAAGGTGGTATAACAATGGCGCGCAGGCAAAGGCTGTAGCCCTGTGTAGAAGGTAACCAAATCACCAGGTCTCCTCGCCCGCCCCTTGCGCAAAATTGCCTAGGGCGGAGCCTGGAAGCTTACAATATCTTAAAGAGAGCCCAATATGGACTTTTGAGCTGCCTAGGTGCTTCTCTAGAGGATTAGATGCTGGATCGCCGATCAATCGACGCAGAAGTTGGGGCAGCAGTTTCAGGGATGTTGACCGTTGTAGTTCAGCACCAAAGGACTCCCTTACATTCATGGCCAAGTTGCGCTGACCGACCTCTCTGGCCTAGGCTTAGAGCGGAGACTTCCGTTAGGAGCCCACAGCTGATTTTCTTTTGTGTCGTCATGTGCAAGATCCGTCTGTCCGCCTTCTCCCCATGCGACTTCTTAACACGAACTACTGGCGCAGAAGGGGGTGATGTAATAATCTCCGACGGGAATAAACAGTTGGGAGGCACCTCGAGAGGAAATGTCAGCTTTGCATGGGTCAAAAAATAGATGACCACGTCACAAGATGCGGGGCCACCAATCACTAGTGCCTTCTTTCCTCTCTAAGATTATGCAAAGGATACCAAATAAGACAGACTTAGGAATCCCAAAGCCACCCTCCAGCTTAGCTTGTAATATTAATGGAGTGGCTGGACCAGACCATCAAGGTTAGGCTGTATTTAATATAAAGAGCATGTTTAGTTGAACCTACTTAAAGTTCTACTAAACACCCTCTTTAAGGCCCAAACTACAAACGGGCGGCCTCCAGAGTCACAACAATGGCCTCAGCCGAGAGACCCCGAATCCTTCTTCTCTCTCTCGCATATCGCGACTTTCTCGATGAAGTCTACTGCACGCTCTTCAGCAGGCTCTCAGAATTGGCCAACATCAAGCGCGCGAAGACCGCGAACGCCGCGCTTCAAATAATCGGCGAGACCACCTTCAAAGCAATCATCATAACAGACGAAGGCCTTGCCGAATCCGATCAAGAGAACCAGGAAGTGCTGGCTAAAATAAAAGCTTACGTTGAAAAAGGCGGGATTGCTATAGTCGGCCTGCACTTCCCCAACTTCACGCCCATGGATAAGTTCAGGAGGTTCTTCGAGGCCTTTGGCCTTGCCTGGAAAAATGGCGACTATCATCGCACAACCTTCCGGCTTAATCCATCGGTCCTCTTGCCCGAAAGCATTGAGACAGCTTCGTTGCCTGGGCCGTATAGCATGAAGGTTCTTCATGTCAAGAACGCTAAGCGTCAGGAAAAGATCTTTATTCCGATTGAAGGCGCGGTAACTCAGAGTCTTGTTTTCCCTCCAGATTATGTGAATCAAACTCAAGCTGCCGTTGCAGGGGCAAGGCTCGGGTGGGGTTATCTTGTATACTGTGGAGATGTTAATGGGGAGGATGGATCAAATCAGCTTATTTTGGCGCTTTGCGGGTTTTAGGGACAATACAGTCTCATGAATATTATGATAGCTAGCGAGGGCTTGGCAGGAAATGACAAAGCGCTGAGTCCACTCATTAGGTGATTTCCACTGATTTAATATGAATGAAGGTCTTGCATATTCTTACTATGGAATTTGATCCATACCATCCTCACCATGCCCGGTTCGGGTTGAAGACATTGTCAGGTGGGGAGTTTGGCTGGGGCGGCACATCTGTTAAACCACAACGCAGGTGTCCTAAGGGGGACTCATGGAGAACATTGCGTCGAGTGGGTAATTTTTCTTTGTTTCGCTGACCTGCGTCTAATGGGTTCCTAGGCCACGGTGACTGGCACGCTCAATGAAGGTTTGTTGGGGTTTTCTTAGTTCCAGCCCCACCGCTGAGGGTTTTTTGCTCGCCATTCAGGGGTATAAGCCTTGTAGTGGGTTTTTTTCTTGTTTAATTCTCACATATTTCCCAGCTTCGAGGCGTCGACACAGTCTTGTGTGTGATTACGCTATTTGTGGTCTTAGAAACACTGCGCTTGCAAGGAAGTGAAGAATCAAACGTGACCTTCCGGATTACTCTATGGATGGATAAGGCCAGAACGAAAGGGTCAAATCTCCATGTTAAGATGGAGAACCGCTGAATGTCTCCAGGCAATATGGCCGACCAGAACCAGTAGCCATGGTAAACTGAGGGTAACGGTGGCCAACATACTGGCTGTACCGTGCGCTCAAGACAGAATATACAGAATATCTCAGTCATCGAGAGCCTGTCGGTTAGGAGAACAGAGAAAGTTGTCGCTGTGTTTTGCCTTGGTAGATACTGCTATCTTGAGGGCCAGGCAGTTGTGCTCGTAACAATGGAATCGTCCAACTCTGCACTCTCTGAGTTTACTCACATACTAGTACAGTATGAGTACTCATGCTTCTTTTAGCTATGATAGTCTGTGTTGCTACAGCATTTGAGGTCATCAGTTAAGACCACAATAGCGGTAACTCTAGATATATATACATATTTAATTCTTCTATTTTCAGATGTACGTGGCCTGAGTGGCCGATACTTACCGACTAGACAAGTGAAAAAGCCCATTGTCTTGAGACTGGATGATCCATTTCTACCCGGCTCCCAAGATCAAGGCCCGGTCATGGCCACATGCCTGGCGAGCTGTGACTTCTAGTGCGTGGAGTCTTGCGAACCAGCCAGCTCTAGCCCTCAAGAACCAAGAATACGCTCACCCTGACTAATCTTGAAGCATGCAAGGGCATCCAAAACGCATGGCATGGTTAGCACAAGGATCTTGCGGGATGTATAAAATCCTATATTGTTAGTATCTACCACAGGATATCCCCAGCCAGGTTAATAGAGAACTTTTTATGGTTATTATACCCACCAGCCGTGTAACTGCCCGTGTCTGACTTGACCGTCGCTGTACTGTAGGGTGTGGGCAAAACTATCATCACCAGAATATGGTAAACCAAACTCGGCTCACGATTAAAATCCCCAAAGAGGGTTTCTAGAGGACGGTGGGTAAATTACTCTTTAAGACTAACACCAGGCAAGGTGAGCTTTCCAGATGCGATTACTCAAAAGGGGATGGTTTTAAGCAAGTCTAGTACTATAGTACTCACCATATAAAAGGAGCCAAAGCAACGAGTTCGGGAACTAGAAGTATCTACAGCCACTCTTCTATTCCGGCAAAAGCATTACCAAACAATATGACTGACTTTAATGATCGGGGACGGCCGGTCAAGCGCAAGCGCGAGGACTGGGCAGGACCAGGCCTGGGACACCGTGACAACGACAAGATGTCCAAGGCTGTTGAACCATCCCAGCAGCCGTTGAAGGTATATACTTTCCTTCTTGTTGCATTAAGCATACAGTATACAGCATTCGAGATTTCGGCATGAGCTGACACCTTCTAGGACATGGCACCGCCACTTCCCAAGGAAGCGCTATCGAAAGATGAGAAGGTTGCTTCTATTGGCGCGGCCGTCGAGTCATTCTGTCCCCCGATTCGCGAGTTGGAGCAGCGACTGGAGGATGATAAGCCAGTTCTTGCAGAGCAAGACGCGCGACTGCTGGCTGACTACCGGCGCCTCTGTGATTTGTACGTCGCGCAGCATGCCAAGTGCTCGCGCCTTGAGAAGGAAAATGGTTAGTTGCAGGTTGCCCACGCCCGCCTCGTCGACGAAAACACCCAGTTGAACTGTCGCTGCCGGGATGAGGAAGCCCGCTTGTGCCACTTTTGGGAAGTGATCCAAAAAATGCGGGACAGTGTGATTGACATGGTTGAAATGTGTGAGAATTTCAAGATGACCGAGGGTCCTGCAGCGGGCGGTGCGGACGGACCGACACATGAATAGGAGAAAGTGGCGGTCATTGTACCCGTGGTGCATGTCCAGGAGGACCAAGGCACCAGCGCTTCTCATTAGAGGTGGTGGCTAGGTATGCGGAGGACGAGGATGGTGAATGATATGTATAAATGCAGAGTGTTACTGAATTGAAACAGCTTTGTACATAGCACCCAAGTATAATGTGCTCGAAAACGCCAGGGCTGGAATTAAGGATTGTAGACCCTTTATATTCTTTAAGATTTCGTGATGTTGTCCACATCAACATGAACGACACAGGCGGACGGCAGTGACATTGTATAGTTATTATTATTCAGCGATAATTCTGATAAGTTCTTCTGGATGATCCAGTGCCTGATGACTGTTTCCACAATGTTCAGTAGGCTTTGACGATTGGTCTTGGCGAGGCGTTATATTAGCTGTCTTAGGATGTTTGCTGCAGTTATATTCTGCCCATAATATGGATGATGTTGCAGTACCAAGCGCACAAATTCTGTTCTGTTGATTGATTTATCTGACGCTCGGAGTGCTTTGCTGACACAACAGCTCATGATTCTTAATTGATGCCGGACTAATACAACACCTTTGCGGCGCACAGTGTGCCGAAAGTGTCGGTATCTTGATGTGTCTGCCGGATATAATGAAAGTAGCCGGAGCATCTCCATGTTGAAATGGTCTGGTTTAAGAGATAGGCTGCTGCTCTCCAAGATATTCTTGCAGCCACTAATATCGAGTTGACCACAGGACTGCATATCAATTCCATTTAATGTTTGCGGCCGTGCAGCTATAGCTTGCTTGCATAGCCCTGATTGGATTATGCTTTGAAATGGAGGAACGTCGTCACCTCTTAAGTTTTGCGGTGGATGGTCATGGTGGTCAAAGTTGGTGTCACTCTTGTTGGTATTGATGACCACGAAAGTTCTATCTACCGTGGGCTCTTCCACCCCGCTAATGATATCAATGCTCCCGACTTCTGACTGAAATTGCTTTTGTAGGGTGGTATGGTATTCGGCTAAGGGCTGCTGTGTATATCTGCACTCTCAAGCAGCGGTGTGGTCTTTTATATAACTATGACTGGAGTGCCACGACTGATAGTCTCTTTGAATGCCATGCCCGGGAACAAAATATGTGGGTCTGTTCACTACAGTAGTACAGGGAGGTCTCTACTGGATTGCTATGGCACCTTTCTGCAGACGGTTATCTAAGTAACAAGTGGCAGACAACAAGGGGCGGGCACCTGCAAGAATGAAATGTGTCCCTGCACCACGTGCTTGGTAGTTGCAGCAGTAATTAGCTGGTCACTTTTTCTTTGCCAAAGAAACCTAATATTTCATTCAATTCTGATCAACCTCCGTGGGAGCCAAAGCAGCGTCTTTATAGTTGGTCTGGTAAATTCGATGCTGTCTCGATGATTGGTGTTTCATGTACATGGTGTTGAAGATTGCTTAATGCTTCTTCCCAGCTGTATACTATGCTTTGTTTCCTAAGAAGATCCTTTTCTAGCTGTGTGTATCTTATTTTCCAGCCTTCGGATATGTCGGTGACCTCCGTGATCTTATGTTGGAGGCGATCGAGCTCCGCTTGCTGTTGGTTGTTTTCTTGTACTAAATGTTCAATCCTCGCAGTGAGCGACTCATCATTATCCGACATTGATGGATGTTGAAAAGGAAGGATAAGCGGATTAGCCTTTATACTGAGGTCTGTTGAGGGTGGCCTATCTCAGAGCCCCGTGCCACGTCTGCTACTGTAATAGGATGGATGGCCTTGATCGACTGACTGATATCTCTGTATATTGTATTGTACAGGCCCACTGATCTAATGGCCAGACTAGTGTTCATTTAATGTGCCTTTGCATCAGTAGCTGACCAGGTATACCCATCCCTTGGGCCTGCTTCAGTTGTATAGCCCGGGGATAGACCCTCACCGCAAGCCGGTCATCTAGATATGTCAGCTTGTTTAATATTATTGAGCGGATTTGGGCAGGGGAAAGCATTACAGATATGGTTTGCCAATGCCTTGCGGCATTGTTGGCGGAGCCGAGTGCGCTTTTTATTACTGTCTTAGGCTATTGGACTTTTCCCGAACACTGATGCGAATTGTGTTCATTCGCGGTCGTCTATCAGGAATATATTGTATCCATTTTGCTCCTTTAACCCAGCATGGCCAAGGTCACCTCACCCTATGTGTAAGTGATGACCACGACGTCTAGGCACCAAGAGTAGACTTTTCTTTGCCCACAGTGACTTTTGTTTGCCCATGGTGAGCCTCTGTCTCATGCGGGTCGCCGACATCAACCACTTCAATTCAGCAGTACTTGTGATCACTTGCTGAGGCAACGCGAGCTTCTCGGCCATTGATTGTGCCCTGGTCTAGTCCTGGGGTACAGTAGTGGTTTGTGCAAGAAAATCGAACAAGTTGAACTGCTCAGAACAACCCTCCGTCATAACTGAACTAGATCTTACCTGTTGTCCTACGTTGGCAATTTGCCAGACCTTTTCTGTAGCGGAATGTTAAATATACCAGTAAAGTTGCCCTTCACAGATCGTTTGATAATTATATTCGTTAACGAGAATGTCTGGTCGATATTAACCCTCGTTGTCCACACGAACAGTGCCAATACCCACTTCCCCCAGGATTAAAAGAGGTAGGCGACTAATATGCTATCTCAATAACTTTGTCAACTGTTGACCTTGTACAACCCATAGCCTTGTCTTATATACCCGCCTACTTCTTCTGCGTCGCTTGCTGCCTTGACACAAGGCGTTCGTTATGGTTTCACAATATAGAATGGATGTCATGTTATTCCTTTCCAGCAAGCTTGTTTTATCATCTTTACTTTCCTGATACGCCCCATCGCATTAGCAGGCAAGCGAGATGTTGTACTCTGAACAGTGTTGACCAACCACCCCAATCACCCTGCCAGTTACCTCAGACATGAATCTTCCAGCGGATGGAGCCTCGCCGGAATCATTCTCTCTGTTCTGTCCGTGCTGTACATCGTCGCCCTCCGAGATGAATGCTTTATTCAATATAAGCTACCTGTCTGCAGAACTGGAAGAACAGCTCCTGCGGACCCTCACATTCTACTTGTCTTTATTCTTCTGTATTCAAGCCATAGCTGTTCTGCCACATAATTCTCAGGTGACTAAGAACTGGTTGCTGATTAAATTACTCTGCCATCATGTCTTTACTGTATTACCCAACCAAGGTATTATTCGCCGGGTCAGCTTGTTATACCATGCACGCGCTAATCCCGGGGATGTGCTGCTTATTACTGCCTACCCAGTCATATAAACATCATTCCGATGGCTTGAAGCAACCATAACCAAGGATAATAAGCTCATGGCTATTATCACAGTTTTATATAATAGACCTGTCTTGGGAGGAACAGCTGATATGAGATACTGAGATTAAAGTAATCTTATGGATAAATTTAATTAATTAATGACTACAGGCTCTGCATATGAGTATATCTAATATTCAGGTCTTAGATAAAAAGATATAATTAGTAGAAGTATTAATTAAAGAAATTAAAAAGTTTTCTAATAATAATATCTTGGAATTATCCATGAGGAAGGTGATGCTCTCGAAGTAATTTTATATTTACTAAATAAATAGAATAAGATAACAGGTCTAGATTTGGTCTGGTATATTTAGCTACTGGTAGCTGGTAATATTTTATAAGAAATTTAAGAGAATATACTATTATATCTATAATATTTAATCCTATTTATTCTACCTAGTTCCCGACTGCCCTACAACTGGTATATAAGAAGGATCCGGAGAGATTAAGCTCATAGTATATTTGTTAAGTCTAATTTTAAATTTATGAAAGATCTTTATTTCTTCTTGCTCGGCTTGCAAATAATATTTTCACATTATACTGTCTGAAGATATTATAGAAGATATTTTTACTACCTTGATTAAAAATACAAAATTCTATTTTAATGTGGAATTTCCTCTATTTATCTGCCTGCAACTTGTATATCTGCTTTAACAGGGCTAGTATTTTTTTTAATAACAGTTTTTTTATTTTTCTCCTCTCCAGTAGCAATAGAGCTCCGTGATCTGTTTCTATTTTCAGATCTGTCCCATTAGCACAGAACATGGATTAATATAACCTTAAATAACTCTAATTCGCGCCCGTCATTTGCACGCTCCTGCAAAAAGTAGTCTATAACTGCGCCCATTTACTGGTTTATCTTATATAAGACATCTGCTAATTGGACTGCCTTGTCCCGCTTAGCAGTGGTTGTCTTCAACATCTCACATAATACATGACACTCATATTTTTCCTTTTACTGATCACGATCCATTTAAAGCGCTTGTGCACTTATCTCAGCAATAATACACAACACAGTCTGACCCATTGTTAGAACACTCATTAAGTGATAGCAAATAACTTACAGACAAGTCCATTTTGGAAAGGCGGCTCTGCGCACTCGGACAATGTAAGAGTAGTGATAAAAGAGTTCGAGAGTCTGAATAGTTAAAGATGATCTCGGGGCTGGCTGCTATATATTCCTCTAGGTCAATAATCATCAGTATCTTCTATATTACGGTGATGTCCGCTGAGATGTGATGGTCCTTTCAGCAATTGACCCGTCAAAAATTTTGTGGCATGAGATCTCCTGGTCTTTACCTTCCGCACACCTGTTTGCTTGAACATCCACTATGGTTACTTGAAACAAACGCCCTTACCTAATCGTCAATCACCGGCAACTACATCATTCACCACACAATTTGGGGCTTTATTCCTTTTATAATATGCATTGTATTATGGGTGACTGGTACGTTATAGTATAGCTTACACTTACTCAGGTGCAAGGGTTTCGGGATCCATCCGTCATATACCGCCAAATTATTGACCATCTGGCGTGCATTTCAGTCGAAGAACAGATAAGACCACCAACGTAAATTTTTACATCGCCAATCAATTGACCGCCTATGGCTTTCCGTGATACCTTGTCTTAGTAGATGGCGGTAAATGTGTCGTTGTGTGTGATTCTTCCTAGATTCGGTTGAGGTGTTTAGATCGCCCAAATCACGGGTATGGGTTTTGGGCTTTCTCCCTGATTGACTGATACCCGCAGGTCGCAAAATTTGGCGGTTCTGCAAGGGATATAACTCAGGTAAATAACATACCCTACTTTTCTAAATACCCATACTTCATAACCGGGGGGTGATTAACGGAGTATCGGACACTCTAGTTGGTGACCAGTTATGGAGGGTCCGGGACAATTGAGTGTCGTGAGTGCGGTCGTTGGGAGCGCAGAAGCATGCAGTTGCCAAACCCCTCAGTAGTTATAGATTGGGTAAAAAGGGAGTAATATATCCCTAGATGGATCAAGAATTGTCCGAGATTCATAGATATAACCGCATTCTTGACCCTTGGACACCCCCCTCTGTGCATCACATCGCTCCGCCTATCGAGGTTTTAGATATTTTTAGTTGGTCACATTGCCACTGCTTCGAGTTGCAACGTATTGGTGGGGCGCTCTTGAGGTAGCTGGCTATGTTACCATATTTATAAAAAATAACAGCGCTGGTTGTGTCAGTTCGTATAATCTCCACATTTCACCTATTTCTTGGAGGACCGGGCTAGGTGGCGTATATGACTGTGGTCAGTATATAAATTCTGAAACAAGACCAGACTAGGGCTTATTAACCAGTTTTATATATTTTTAACTAGTCTTTTCTTTCCATGGACTGATATTCCCGCTAGATAATTCTCTTCATAACTGTATCCAGTACTAGAGCTGGGGTATTGTACTATATACTGAATAGTTCTAGATAAACTATAGAACAGATGGGCGACCAACTGATAGAACCTGATATTTAATTTTTAAGTCAACAGCCTAAGTAAACTGTATACTTAGGAGATATTACAGACCGGTCAAAATTACAAGACTCTGCAGAATTTTTCATCATAATATAAAAGCTTGTAAATGTAGAACGCGGACTTCTAAGCAGTAGCTATTATTTAATAAAGCTGTGCAGCCCTCTTGTACTACTTTTAATATGTTATATTTATTACTATTTGAGATTATTGATGCCATCGCTGATGTGGTACTGTAGATATACTATCTGGATTTAGCTAACTGCTAACTGCATGCCAGCTGCCATAGCACAGCGTTCAGTCCTTAAGTTTGATTTCCACCAGATTATATGCCGCCCTGTTCCTGCAGCTTCATCGAACCATCACCTTCCGTGCGAGGAATGAATAGGCTTTGAATATTTTTGATATCTATCTCTTTTCTCGGGACCACTCCGGCTCCTGCGCCGGGGAAATCCTCCAGCATGCCCGACAGGTACAGTTCAGTGTCCCTATTCACATTGCTAGGTTCCATCATTATATATACAACAGTCACATTTTCCTACCGGCCTTCTCCCACAATAGACCTATACTTAGAAGCCTGCACGAGTTGACAGCCTATCAAGCCTTTCTTAATGATTTGTCTTATCAGATAGATCAGGTCTTTGCGTGACTGGAGACTATCTCTATCCGCTCCTTTCAGTATATATTAAGACATGAGCTGCTGGACTCACAACTGACCTGTTACATGTAGTGCGTAGGGACCTGCCTTCCCGCGGGAATTCTGGATATCAACAGATATCTGGTCCATTACCAGTAACAAATCTATTTATTTTCTGTGATCACTGATAGCACCTATCCTCATGCCGGCCATTGTCTAGAGGACCTGTTGAGTTTAATAACACTGACTGACCTGGAATAAAAAAACATCCAGTATCCAGTTAAAATATATATCTTATACAAGTGTCTGTGACATAACCATCAGCAACTAAAGGCAGTATCCATTGGACTTCTGTTGGATCTAAATGTATCCAGGTCCTATAAGAATATCCTCAAGCTCTTCTGGCCATCATCAGCACGGGATGACTACACACTAGATAACCAGGAATATTTCCTATCTCTTATATCCTTGACATTCTCTCGCGTCCCGTTCCCTAATAATCTGCTGCCAGGCAGCTAACAGTTACTGTTCCACGCGCTCAAGATACTAATAATCCCAGACTGCCCCAATGAGCAGCGCTTCCTGCAGCTGTTAGCATAAGCCAAGGATCTGTTATCCCTCCAGCATTTTAAGATCTGCAGTGACTACCTGCATGATTCAAAAAACTGATTGGTGTCTATTATAATTATTGAATTTCTACTCTTATTTCATGGCTTGCGACGGCTGTATTTAAAGATAGCTAACTTTTCCCAGTTCCTGCTGGATCTTAGTAATGTTATTAAATATCACTAAGCCACACTCCACGGTCTGGTTTTTCACGAGTGTTATCTGATATTAATTAATACTAAAAGATTGTTTGAAGATCTTTGTAATATGAATATAGTATTTCCTAATATTTTATAAATTTTATGGTATAGTTCCCCCGCTGCTCTTGGCCTCTGTCTTCACCTGGCTAGTATAGTAAGTATATTATTAGTATCTATTTCTACAGTTATATAAGCTGACTTACTGTAGCGCGGTCTTCTCTTAGACATCCCAGAATACTTAATAATAAGATTACTCTATCTCTGGTTAAGCAGAGAGGAGAGGAACTATTAATATCTTTATAGAGAGATTATCTCAGAGCTGTAGAGAAATATAGAAGGAAGATTATAATCTAGATTAAGATATAGATTAATAGTTATAGGTCTCTATCTTAAGCCTGCTTGGAAATAATTAAAAGTCTAAGATTTTCTCCTGCTTACTTAGTAGACTTTTAGACCTTTAGAATTTCTTACCTTGCAGATACTTGCCTTCAGTGACTTTTTATATAATGGCCGCTATAAAGAATAACAGATCTTGATCTGGCAGAGGAGGATCAGTGAGCAGTCTTACTTAAGAATTTTATCAGATAGAGAATATTATATAAGCTCATTATTTTGTCTTATTAAAAGTAATAACTATTTTCTCTGGAAGGGTCTGCTATTAGATGGGACTCAGTTTCTGTCTGTATATCCAGGTACAGGATTAATGGAGTCCTTCTATAACTTTTAGTATAGTATCTTGAGAGTTTCTTATATTTGGTGTTTTCAGATTCGCGTGTTGCAAGGGCGGTAATCTGTTATAGATTATATTTCTAATATAATTACTGCTGAAATATGCCTTTGGCAGTTGTTACTTATTAATTATGCGCGGATAGTGCTATTATGGGAGGCCAGGAAATATGATCCTGCTTGCTTTATCTCTTACTGCCTGCTGCCTGGGCTGAGAAGACTTCTATTAATATTCATGGCTGGCTATATTGAGATTTTCCTTACTAGTAGGCTCTCCTTTCTAGGGACGCAGACATCCAGGGTTTCCCTATGGCTTATGGCACGCATACCAAGAGAATTGTCGTACTGTAGCTAGATATAAGTTCCTGTGTTTACTTAGCTTCCCTGTGGTCTGCCCCTTGGCCTTTGCTTCATGTAGGATATATCCCGTATCATAGCACTGTAATATGTTGGACTTTAAGGACTGTTTGATCTTCTGTCTATAAGAAGATGCAGATTAATCTTTAAGGACAGTGTAATGTTGTGTATCTATTTATATGATATAGCACAGCTGGAATATCCTAAGGCTGAAAAGAAAAGAGACGGAAGAGGCTGGCTCCACTAAAAATGCGTAGTATATTAGTTAGAATATGTGCAGTGTTGACTGAGGTACTTAACTGCTGGAAGACCAGCATACATTGCTGTTTCCCGCAACTACGTATCTGGCCACCTCGGAGACGGGTTCAGTCAGATTGCAAAGCCCAATCGTCATATACCTGATTCCCTGACACTGCGTATTGTCCATGAGCCTGGACTAAAGATCGTCGTACAAGGCGGTTGCGATGGCCACCAGCACACTATCTCGGGTTGCCTGCAGCCATGTCAATCGTCCCCGCACTACCGTTCGAGAAACAGCAGTCAAGGTGTCCCCAGGGCCGAAGTCTCCATAGTAGTATATACCGAAATTTTGAATGGCTGCCTGGTTTCGGAAGGTGTTGAAAGCTCGGTGGCAAAGCAAGCTGATGAACGACCAGTCCCCTGTAGCCTGCCAGTCTTGGGGTACGATTGCTACCGCTTCAGCCGTGGATTCGGCCCCTGGCTGGATCCTCAGTGTGCTCAGGAACTGGTCTCGAAGCGTGGTGGACATTTTGAGTTCCCGGGTTGGAATATTCTCGGCCAACGTGGCTAGATCTGGAATAACGGGCGAGGCGTAACTGAGGAGTCCGACGTAGAGTCGGCGTCGTCTGACAGGAGACTGGAAGTGAGCTCCGGCAGCGGAGTGGGCTGCAGAATAGGCGCCGGGGAACGATGCGCCATCGGGGGAGACATGCTCCTCTTCCCCACAACAACGCCCCGAAGTGCTCTCCGGGGCGACGAAGTTATTTGATTTACTTTTATTTTTCTAAAATAACAGCAAGTACGTATCGTTCCGCGTGGCTAGGTGAAGCGCTATAGGACCGATCACGGTAGATGGATCGCCTGGAAGAGATGCCAGAATAGAGCTCTTGAAAGCACTAACTGTACACAAGGTTCATGAGATGTTCGAAGCGAAGTGATGGAGAACACTATATAAAGGCCACCCGCCAGGCCTTTTACAAAGGGTATTTCTCGGACATCCTATTAAAAATGTATATGTAGCAGGAGAGGGATACTGTGCTTCTAGTATAGCATTACAAGCACTGTAAGCCAAAATTTCCCCACTCCCCGCCCTACGTGTAGCCTTAACATCAGATCATTAATTATCACACTGACTTTTATTACATTCATGGGCACTTGAATAAGCAGAATCGGCCAGCTTTCGGGGGCCCCCAATCGTACTCAGGGTATCTAAATCAGATAGCCGCGTATTTATTTGAGCAGCCAACGTACACGCATACAAGCTTCGAGAGATTTTCCAGGCCGCGGTTCCGACAAGACGGTAAGCCCTACGCAGCCTCCTTCACCAATAGAACTACACGTGTCCCAACTTCTTCCTTGTCTGGTCCAGGGCAATGCTTGTATTAGGTAACAACATCTTCGAGAGTCTCTATCATCAGTGTTGGATAGTATCCACTCTATACTCGTTAGATTATGTCATTACGTCTGCAAACCCCGCGACTTACCAGCTCTGGCATGGACGGAAGCCAATTTTCCGATGGAGAAGAATTGAAGATATACCTTCAGCCGCTTCCCTTGACCCGTATCATAACGAATACATCCGAGTCACACTCAATACTGTACCGGGCAGCTTTTCTGATCAACATCTTCTTCAGCTTACTTCTCTGTTGGGTTTTGGCTTTAGAGCTTTCCGATCGACGCCGCTTCTTGAAGGGAGCGATCCGAGACATGAGGTCTCTATTCAGAAATTGATAAAAGTGGGAGCAAAGATTGTTGAACATGCAATGGGATTAGTGACCTGATTATATATGGTTTCTTGTTACGTCTGATGGGTCCCGGGGTCAAGGAAGTCTGACTGTTGATTCATTTCAACAGCGGGCCTTGATTCCCCTACTATAGCACGGTAGATACCTTTCACCTCTCTCATTGGTGACTGTGTCAGTGGGGACTTCAATTTTGTATTTTCAACCCATCTAAATCCAGCTGTGGTATATGATCCGGGTGAAATACTGCAAACCGCAATTTCGCACGGGAGCACAGAAGCCAAGAAATGGAGTTAAGTAGTTTTAGGCGGCAATGGACTCTGTGAATTATTTGACCACGGGCAAAGGAGGTTTCATATCCTGTAGATCTTGACGTACGAGATCAGCATACGTAAGGTACGGGAACGCTTCAGAGTAACCCGACACTTCACCACAGTAGTGTCAAGATCCAGCAGTGGATCCATGAGCAACAAGCTGTTCGCTCTTCCAAGTTATTGGCTTGTGATGTTTTCGATCGCACGTACATACTCTTGCTTCTCGTCCGAATACTCCGGGATTATGATCGGCGGTATCGATGTAATTCTGCGGCCGGACTTTGTCGTGCACCGCAATACGAACGGTTTATCCACATTGGTTAAAAACAGATTACTTTCACTACTCGCTACATACTAACACCGGTTACTTGAACTCTGAAATTCAAAATGAATTTTGCTTTACCTCCCGTATTTGACGGTCAATCTACAGTGTTTACTTTTCCCACGTGTCGGCTCTCATTCACCCATATGGGCCCCCCGTAGCAGCCATGGTCATGGCCAATATACCGCACTAGACTTATCTTTTAGCAATTTAGAACTTCCGGTATACTTTAATCACCTTGCCTCATACCAGCTGCCGCTGGTTTCCTACATAGGAACTTTGATCTATTATCGACAGATAGGGCACTGCTCCAATAGGGTTTCATTCTAAGCGAAGCTGGGGGGCCCGATCACGGGTTTTGACATTGCTGCTACACTCTTGCCCACTGTCACAATTGGAAAGTTCATATTTTCAACTTCCTCCTTCATATCGACACTATTAATCTAGTATGCCCACGTTGTTCATGACTACCCAGCCCTACTTCAGAGACGGACCTGAGCTTTACTAATGCTCTTTAAGGCATTATTATACTCTTTACGGCGCGGTTCACATAGGTCGCCTGTGTTACAGCTTCTTTTGCAATGCCGGTTTATGGTATTCTAAACAGAATTTGTCTCATAGGCGGATCACTTTTCTAATATATTAACATATGCTGGTTCTACGAGACATGTCAGATGTCATCGTCGGCTTTCAGGTGTGTACTGAAGTCTTGTTGAGTGGCACTGTACTTATATAAGAAGAACTCCCCTAGTTCTAGTAAAGTAGGATATAAGAGCTTATCAGAAGACAGTCTGGCAAAGGTAAACTTAATCTTTATATTAATAATCAATGCTAAGTAGTTTTAGTTGGCAGGGAGTCTGATTGAGATCCTGACAAAAGCATAAATACTAAGCTCTGCCCAGCTTGCCGATATACTTCAAAGGACTCACAGGATCAATGCTATTCAGTCATGGGCCGTAAGCAGAGGCGGTAAAGTGATTACATGCAGCCATCCCACGGGCGCAGGTGGGGACCTAACTCCCTGAGCCTCCTTACTATGCATGCTTCCGTTACTGAGGTTCTTAGAATAACCTGCTAATAGGTATTTATATAGACAACGACATTCCTGCCCTTACAAAGGAGAGTATCACGATCACAGGAGACCAGCTGACATCTCACGGAGATGCCCTTCCACGGAACAGAGCCCATCCAGATCGAATCGAGCCTCGCATTGACAATGCGGAAGGCCCGGGCGACTCTACCAGACAAAAGAAGAAGAGGAGGAGGAGGAGGAGGAGAGAAAAGAATAAAGATATTCAGGTCGCCAGCCACCCCTTTGATAGTCCAAACGCCAGGTGAGGGTTCCGAGGGGCCGGTCAACCATGGTACTCTGTTATATCTGATCCCAGATCGTACTATCGGCCTGTTGCGAAAGGCTTGCAGGGCTCCGGAAGACGGTTAATGGCTTAGAACAGCTAATTTTGAGTAAGTTTTGAGGCTCAGTGCATGTCTAATTGACCCTGCACCATGTACTGTTTTGGAGCCATTGTTGGTTTCCTGGAATTTAAATGTTTTCTAAGGCCTCCATGCATTGGGACTGCTATTAGAGTGGATGGGTGTTGAAGCCGCAGCTGCTTATGCTGTTATGCTCAAAAATAACATGATTCCAGATGCAGTGGGCCGGCGAGCCGCGCGGATGCTGCTGGTCCTGAATTATGAAGAAATGTGCCAATTCCCAGAGTGCTACTATCCATGATCCTGATGAGCAGCAGAGCAAAAGAAGGCATATATAATGAATTGTATTTTTCATACATGTGTTCTAGAGGATCCTTCCAAGAGTAACTGTGACTTGATATATAATTATCTCAGACAAGGTAGATGGTTGTGGGTTATTACTAGTATAGTTGGTCTGGGCTTCGCGCTGATATGTAGCGAGGAATTGATGTCTACCATATAGGTTCTGTAACTAGTTGATATGGTTCCACGCTAAACTGACATTAATTGCAGCAGAAACGTGAGTATAACTAATAATGGGGTCAATGCCCTTGCCACACACGCCTTCTACGCACGACCGGGAATGGTAGCCTTGCTTCATTCTCTGGAAACAGCGGTGGCAGATCTGATGTCCGGGAAAATACCCAGAAGCCTATGTGAGAACATTACAAATGAGCCTGGCATATTAGGTCAATTCAATTTGTCCCGAATGAACGAAATCGATCGAGTTCATCTGGCCTTGCAACATGACACAGGGAACTGGGAGCCGATTGATTTGGAAGCCGCCATCCACGATGTGAAGAAGAGGCTATTGCCAAACATCCTCGGGACACATCTTGCGGTAAAACATGACCCCCCGAGCGATGATCCGTCGTCTTTGAAGCAAACTACATCCAGAGGTGAAGCAGCCAATGTTCAGTGGCTGTCAGCTCTTGGTGATCGGACAATATTGGACCCTGGCATCGATGATAACCTCAACTATACCACTATGCCGGTAAACCACTTCCAGAACGACGATATAGCCCCGTTCACTGGCCCTTGACAATGGAAAATAAAATAGCGTATAATTCTGATATTGACCTATACTCGGTTGATGGGATAATCCTTCGGATTGGAAGAGATGATACTCATGTCGAAAGTGCGACTACGGATACAACTCCCGAGATCCACATAGCTAATGGAGCCCTATTTTGGTTACCCTCATCTTACTTCTGCTATTATTTAATCTTGGTCCGATTTGGCTATTCTGTTCCAATGTGGCCCGTTGTTTCCCCTCACTGACCCGTTGAGACTATGATCGAATAAAACCACTTGGTAGCGAATAATGCCAAACGACATGACCGGCGAGGAAGGTGTGGGAGATGTAGTAGCACGCGGAGAATTGTGTAGATACTTGAGATGAAAGAAGGAAAGGAAACAGAGCCAGATCGTCAGTGTCCGACGTCATGTATCTTCCTACCGATGGAATGCTCTCACAGCGATACCTCATGCCCGTGCCTGTGGTTCCCGCACTACACAATCTACCCCAAAGGCCTTTAACCCAGTAGTCTTCGCTTCCAGCGCCTTCAGCGCCTTCAGCGCCTTCAGCACCTTGGCCGCCCGCTGCTAGTAGGCCTTGCGTTCCTCGTTCGGCTCCGTTCCCACGCAGCCGTCGATATACCGCCGCCACCCTGCCTCAGACCCCGATTTCAGCTCTTTATGCACGCCCGTTGAGCACTGGGGCATGAGAAGCCACGCTTCGGAGCCAAAGACGTATTTCCCATCCGCGAGCAACAGATTAAACATCTTGACAGAATTATGCCCGATCTGGAAGAGCTGGTTTGGCCGGGATCGATGCGCCACATTTCATGTTGAACGCGGGGGACTGCATATTACGGGCTACACTGAGATTAACGTTGCGAGTGACAAGGGAACAGAGCCAGGACGTACTGCCTTACCTTGGCACGCCGGGGGAATGATTCTCGTTGTATCTAAAGTCGACGCTTTCAAAGGAGATGGGCCCGATCACAGCGGCATGTTCCGCGGGTGAGATGATCTTGTAAGTCTAGAAAGCCTCGGCAATGCTGACTGCAACCTGGTTAGACGTTGTGCACTCGTCCAAGCGGTCAGTGTCGAGTTTTGAAAGTTGGTCTTTCTTTCATTAAGCCCCTGATGGATTGAATCTTTCTTCTCGTTTCGGAAATGCGCATACAGGACATCCGTGCGAGGGAGCCCGCAAAGGCATTGGGGGCAAACGAGATCTAGTGGAAGATTATGCACTTCTTAGAAGAGTATCCAACGACGGAAAGAAAGTGCGTTCAGAAGGAAAGAAATGCAATTCTTTTTCGGCATCCTAGCTCCTCACCCAGTGAAACCACGTCATGTTCCTCCCGCTCACGATCGGAGCCATCATGAGGGTTCAAGAACCCGTACGGCAGCCTACAAGACACTCGTCAACAAAGATATAAATGCTAAACCCTTGCATGATCCAGTGACCTTCCAGCTGGCATAATGTGGCATACCTGCTGAGGGACAATGGTGGGCGGATATACTTGGTGTCGACTTCTAGTGTTCTCTCTGTAGTGTTCGACCACAAAGTTAACCTCAAAACGGTGGGAGTTTGGAGAGATGTCTTCGACAGCCATGGACATTCTGACGGATTGGCGGTAGCAGGTGAGAAATTTTTCCATAACCCATTGCTTCCTCGAAGTTCTTTTCGCCAGCCCTGCGTGCATTTCCGTCTCCCATTGTTCCTTTGCAGTTCTCTTCCCCGGCCGTGCAAGTGCATCTTCTCCTTGCTTCCGGAAGTGGTCGTTTAAAGGGTGGTCGGCGAAAGCTTTTAAGACATATGGGGTAGACAAAATCAATGGACGAGACTTGGCTGATCTTCTTCAGTGTCTCTACCTTCCTTTGCAGGCTAGCCATTGTGTGCGGAAGGAATGGTAATGTTCGACCACAAAGTCAACCGCAGAACAGTCTTGGGCTGGAGTGTCAAATGGTTGAAAAACCCTTGGGGAGCTTCTGATCTTCTAGACTGTTTGAAACAAAGAATTGAAACTCAATGAAACAGATTCAGATCACCCAGCACCACTTACCCTTGAATTTCATTACTCTGCATCAGGCTTTTTGATTGGGCCCTCGCTTTGCCCTCAGACTAAAGAAGAGAGCGACCCTTGACAAGAATGCAAATTCATCTCCGCCCTTTGCTGTGGACGAATGAGATGGCATTGTGTCGGGTGGGTGATTTCCCTGTCTCGCTGAACCGGGTCTAATGAGTAGATATTCCTCGGCAACGGTGACCGGCAGCTCAATTAAGGTTTGTTGGAGCTTTCTTAGTGCCAGCTCTACCACTGAGGTTTTCTTGCTCGCTATTCAGGGGCATGAGCCCCGTAGTGGGTTTTTCTTGTTTGATTCTCGCATATTCCCCGTTCTGAGGCGTTGACACAGGTCTTGTATGATTGCGCTGTTTGTGGTCCTGGAAACACTGCCCTGGGAATAGGAGTGAGGAAATTAGACACGCCATTCTGGATTACTCTACGGATGGAAGGGTCAATTTTCCGTCTTCAGGTGGGAAACCGCGGAATGTCTCCATGCAATCTGGCCGACCAGAAACAGCAGCCATGGTAAGCAGAGGGTAACGGTGGGCAACATACTGGCTGGTACCATGTACTCAAGATGGAATAATTCAGTCATTTAGAACTTGTCCGTTGAAGAACATAGAAAGTTGTCGCTGTGTTTTACCTTGGTGGAAACTGCCATCTAGAGGGCCAGGCGGTTGTACTCGCAGCAATGGAATTGCCCGACTCTGCACTCTCTAGGTTTCATCTCATACTATCATGAGTAGTCATGCTGCTTTCAGTTATGATAGTCCGTGCTGTTACAGCACCTATGTTATCAACTTCTACATGCCTCACCTGCGTTGGTTCTAATTCGGGTCATATTCATGATTTTGATAGTGAAGTTCATGCGTAGCTGGCTCGGTCAGATAAGAGAATGTTGCGTTGACTGTTGATGATTGATGGATTTTTAACCACACAAGACGCGAGCCCAGTCAACCTGACCTGCTGCAGCACTGAATTAGGTTAGCTCAGCTAGATGGCCGGGCGTTTGAGGAAAGCTCTCGTTGGAAGCCTTCGTGCTCCGAATCACCGTCAATTGTTGACCTCGGCTATATCAACGAGATTGATGCGCGGGTTTTCCATGGAGGTAATAATCAACCTCCCAAACTCTCCTCATCTCAAGTGACTTGGCAAAGTATAATGTTCAGTCGGAGGATGTGTCCATTCAACTGGGTGATGGCAGTGCACAATAGGCCCTTGAAGAGTGTCCGTGTGAAGAGTGCCCGTCTGGTAGCTGGGTGAAAGACCTCGCACCAACAAGGTACTCTACCCAGGTTCTGTGCAAGGCAGAGCCCGGTTGGGTCAGAAAAAGGTAGGTATATGGTTCGAACAAGGTGCAAATTCCTAAAGATGACCAGCCAGGGCTGTGTTTGACTGAAACCACGGCTTTCCTACTGGTACGCGAATGGTCAAGTTAAGAGACAAAGTTGCCCCTTCGTTTCGACGAATTCTTAGTGGGCACCGAATCTGGAACACCCCGATTCTATACCTTCATTTGGCCAGCATCATAATACGGCCTCAAGATTGGTAGGACGTATAGACGACCATCTGTTTCTCATTCAAAATGTGGTGGAAGCCTTTTGAGATGCCGGATCGCGGTCTATCAAGACCCGGAACCGGGGATCTGGATGTCCTGCAGACCAAGGGAAAGGACAGGTGGAGCCGGTGGAAAAGTGGTGAAAAAGTTCGCGGGGTGGGCATTTCAGGTATTGTATTGAACCATCTTTTTTGGAACGGGTATGTGCCATGAGAAGTTGCGGAACATTGATATCTGTAAAATTGCCCGGCTAGTATAGTATTTCTAATCAGGTATAGAGCATCACGCTTGGTATTAAAATGTGTGGTGTATAAACTTACCTTCATAGACCCATCAACGGCAGCCAGCTTTTGTGTGACAGTGTCCTGTCTTCTAACCATTCTCTCTCTCAAAGCACTGTAAGAGATTATTATAGATGTGACTTTCTATTTCCTATGCTTCCCTAGCCCTCTTACTGGAGTAAGAAGGCTGACCGGGTTTGACGCTGAGTTAATATCTCCAGGCCCAGTGAGGATAAGGTAATGTTGGGACAGGAGATATTTTAATAGTACACCCGAGTCTTTCTTACAGATACTAGTTTGCTTAAGTGGAAGTTGCAGCAAGCCTGTATACCCACTAAATGATAACAAGTGCCTGTTTTGACTTGTTGCCACGAGCTACGGTTTAGGAGGTGCTTCTGCAGGTAAGCGACCAATTTTTATAGATCTTTGGTTCTTTTTAAAGATTGGGCAGGATGCATCCTCCGCGATTCCGGCCGGGAACATATTCTGGTTCTTCTCCTGAGATTGGCCTACGGAATTCTTACTGCACAGCTTCTTCTCCACTGCTTCTAAAACGGCATGCACATGTTCTCTTCTGTAATCTGTGTATACCAGTCCGGACCTCTTCTTCCGTTGTCCAGGCGAATACGTGTGTTCGTCGGGATCTGATGCAATATGCCATTGAGTTATGAGTCCAGACACCCGCCCGAAGTAGGCAGAAAGTTTCGATTTTTCGGGTTCAGAGACGCCGACTTTAGAAGGACATCCAATTCAGAGTCGCCTCACTGCCTTCAGCTCGGCTCCGTCGTTTGACGGGAAGCGGGTGAGTGATATCGGATAAATGCAGGCCAGTATTTCTTCTAATGATCATGCATGATAGGTTGTGTCTCCCTTTCCGTGCGTGCACCTCAACTACGGTTCCAGTATGCAGACTTGCTATTATTTGAAGCTTGTTTGAGAAGGATATGGGCTGATTGTTTGCTCCATTGTTGTGCGCTCTGCCCTGGGACATGATCACGGCACTCATCCAGATGCTATGGGGATGGCCGTTGCACACAAGTAATCTGGTGAGCCAGGGAAACAAAATGATGATACGTTTTGCTCGTACGATGTCCAAGTGGGACTGCGGTTGTGGTTTGCTTGAGAAGCCAAAAACATCGCTGACCGCTCCTATAGGACGATTTCTGTACTGCCAAAGGTAATTCTAAACCTCTGCTGCACGGTACCGATAAGGTGGAACATCCTCTGCGAATATAGCCGATAGATGGACGATATAATCGGACGTCTACTCCGCTCAAGTTGGCAAGGGATGGGGCGAAACTGTTCCCCTGCGTCCAGAATGTTGTAATTCAAAGGAAGCTTGATTATTATTATTCAGAGGGAAACATGAGGCTATATATACAACGAGAAGATCAACTTGATTGGAAATCAAGTTGATTCTTCGTATACATACTTCGGGATTAATTCCGATGGTTCGGCTTGGTTCCTGATCTGCACCAGCCTCATATCACAACACAGAACACCCAGGACGTCCCTGGTGGCGGCTGCGTGAAGGACGTGCGATTTGTCCCTAGACAGCCATAGCCGAAGTCAGTTTCCATGTCAATGCGCCCTGGGCATAGGAGAGCGTTATCCAGCTGGTTGATGGCATTGGTGGTCATGACCAAGATGTGGCCTCCCCGTGCAGTTACGTCATGAATACTGTTAAGCAAAGCAGACAGAGCAGCCCCATTAAAGGATAGATTTAACTGTCCGCTTCTATTTCACTGTTCTGATCACCTTCGGAAGTCCCGTGGATATTATCAGGAACGTGATACCGACGTGCCTATGATAAAGTGACTCAAACACAGTGGCCAGACTATGTTTCTCAAGGCTTACTGCCAATGGCCTTTATCATGAGCAACGGGTAGGCGTTAGTCCCCACTTGATATTCATCCACTGATGAGAGATGCCCCACACTACTCAGGACCCCAAGCAATAGCATGGAATGAATTGGCTGCCAAGTGTAACAGCGAGCCAAATCTACAGCAAGAAGGCACCCTCACGGTGTAAAATAGATAAAGAATTACAGACTTTTCTTTACTTGTTAATAAGATTCAATGGGTAATGACTGTATGGCATTGAACCCTCAAAGGCTGGATTATACAGTAGCGCCATTACGCAAAATCAGCAGTCAATGAGAGAGATAAGCCAACTTACTGTATTTGGAAAGCGTATATACTTACTTACTAATTTCTTGGTTATATAATTTCATCTTAGTAAGATAATACAATAGAAGCATCTTCTACAGTACCTATATAAACAGATTATGAGTATCGGGAGTGATGTAACTGAAATAATTGACTCTACTAGTTAAAGATTAGAAGAGGTATTGAATTTTTCTAACTACTATTACAGTAAATTTAGGTATCATTGAACCAGCGCATTTTGCGGGGTTAACTGAGCCTAAACTGATATATATTACTGCCTGAGGCACCGATGGACTCCGGCCGAAGGGGTGAGTAAACTAGTGAATAACCTGACATACAATTCTCTTCTAACTTTATTTCCCATACCGGATAGAGCCTCCTCCGCTGTTGAGTTGCTTTTGCTCAATTATGGCCGAGCAACTCTTTCGAAATGGGATGGAGGAAACAATAACCGAATTATAATATCAGATTAAAGAATAACAAAAGCTACAAGAAGCAGCAGAGCGCTGTGAGGAGGAAGAGAGACAGATATAAGAAAATGAGAGACAAGCACAAGAAGCAGCAGAGTACTGTAAGGAGGAGGAGAGACAGGCGCGAGAAAACGAGAGGCAAGCACGAGAAGCAGCAGAGCGCCGTGAGGAGGAAGAGAGACAGGCGCGAGAAGATACTAAATATTAAATACAATCTAACCCCCTGTTTTGCCTTCTTAATTACTACTATAATTCTCTCTCAAAAATAATCTGAGTTGAAGCAGATGCTATCCTTACTACTCAGGGTGACACAGCCAACCTAGTGAACTAATTCTATCTTAAGTACATTATTCCTTAGCATGCCTTCCCCCAACTACAGGAACAGATCTGGGATAAATTTGACTGTAATAATATCTTTATTATACGCCTACTATTCTCCTCTGATACCCAAATTAATTATATTGTCACGAATATCCAGAATAGATTAATCTATTCAGAAGCGTCTCTTCGGAATTTTAAGCAAGACACGGTGGACAACTTTATTAAAAAGATTATTAAGATTTTATAAGATAATGAATTCCTTTGAGATGAGTTTGGAATCCAAGGCTGAGTTATTTTCTATGATCACGCAAACCCGTCAGAAACTTCGCTCGAGAACAGCCTAAAGTAAATGAATCTTGAGGACGCGCGGACACCCCAATGACCGGCGAACATGAGGCATGGAAGAGGCCGAGGACGAGGAAGAGAAGCCGCGTGGAGATAAATGAGGGATAGCACTGCGCGACGATGTAATCAGCATGCCGACCAGTTCTGCGTGTACCTTGTGGCGGATGAATGGCAAATACCTGTGTATGCAGTGGAGTTCAAAGCGCCACACAAAGTGACCATCCCCGAACTGGTGGCGGGTCTACACCTGATAGATCTGGATTGTGATGTCATTGACCAAGAGGGTGACATGTTTGAGTTTTATGCCATCCGCCTGGTCGCGGCCGTGGTCACTCAGATATTCTCATACATGATTGATAGTGGCGTTCGATACGGCTACATCTGCACCGGGGAGGTATTCGTGTTCCTTCATATCCCAAAGGATGATCCCACCATTATTCAATATTTCTTGTGTATCCCGAATCAGGATGCGCAGGCGGATGTGCAGGCGGACGATGAAGTGCGCCTCCACCGGACTGCCATCGGCCAGGTGCTTGCGTTCACGCTTCAAGCGCTGGCCGTCGAACCTCCGACTCAGAGATGGCACGATGTGGCACACAACCAGCTAATGACCTGGAAGGTCAAATATCTTGATATGTTGAGAGAAATCCCTGAGACTCTTTATAAAGACCTGCCGGTGTCTAATTATTAGCTCTCTCACTGGAAACCAGATCGGAAAATACACAACACACGCGCTCGCGCTCGCGCGTGTTGTCAACCGGGCGTATCGACACCGAAGTATTCGTCCACTGAAGGCAGCGGCAGTGATTAAGAATTGTATTTGCTATCCGCCGCAGCCGTGTCCCGCATCTGATCGAGCCGCGGCCAAGGCAACTACCATTAATCAACCCGGGAAGGTGAAAGGACACGAGCCGGCTGAGACTATAAACAGACCTCTCGGCAAGACAAACCTTCTACGTGACCATATTGCACCATGGCCTGCATCCGCGGCTTGGCTAACTGAGAACCACTGGATAAGAATTGTTCTAACTAGAAACTTCATGGTGGTCCAAGACACTCTATCAGACCACAGGAATTTATATATCAGCTTTATTATTAACTGGCCCGAGATTGGGAGCTTGGATTTGAACAGTTATATATATATAGTCAGATAGAATATCTTATCAAAGCTACTCTTCTTTCCCGCGGATACACAGTGATCATGAAAATAATAACTGTAGAGAAGCAGTATTACCTTTAAATAAAAATAGATAATTATTACCAGCTCCGGAACTTGCAGGGATAATATATCTCTGTCTGTCTCAGGGACTTTAGGCCTTGTGTTGTATATTAGTATTATAGCAGGTTAATGGTGTAAATAATAATCTTGAGCTAGTCTGGAATACAGCTTCAATATATTATTTATAATGGGAATTCCTGTTTCTTTTACTAAGAGCATGACAGAGCTCTGACTGTGTTCCAGTCACATAGGGTTATCTACTATAACAGTAAGTAGTATAATATACTGTGGAATAACTTGAGTAGCTGCTTAGTTATTATTAACTTAGAGAATATGAAATGGTTGAAGCATGTTATAGCTCTTGAATCTATCTCTATAAATACGTGGTGAACTCATTATATCAGAGTAATGAAATATAAACCCGGCTTGGAAAGGGTGGATATTCTGTAATATAGCAGTATCTTAAACTTATAACAGTATATTTAGAAATGTTGTAAAGTATACTGCTATAAGATGTCATGGCTTTAACTTATACTGAGTATTAAATATACATTTTGCAACATGAATCCTATATATTACAAGAGCGCGACTGCACAGCAGGCTTGGATAGTAGAATTATTTATATAATCTTTCCAGGCTTTACAGCTAGAGATATATTCTATTAATTATTTCCTGTTGACCGGACTTCTTCAAAAATCTTTATTTGATTTCACAGCTAGCTCAAGTACTTAAAGTTTACTTGGTTAGTATCCGCCTCAGTAAGAGCATGTGCGATGGCCATGATATTTTTAACTTAGCTTAAGTTAGTAAGTAAGAGATGAACAGCAGTACTTTAATATCCACCCCGCGTCTATTTAGAGCCAAAGACCACAATTATCAAAGATTATTGCTTACCATAACAGGTCCTTGCGTCATACATGTCCCGGATAGAAATGTTGACTAGAGATCTCTGTGAACTGAATTGTTGAATTCTCATAGTCAATAGTTAAATGGGTCCGGGCGAGAATTACATCTCTAAATTAGATACCCCAATTTAATATCAAGAAAATGCCTCCTACTATTGCAGCTTCCAGAAGAAAATGGTCACAAGGGGATTTTAAGTATTATAATAAAATATATATTATTTTATAAATATAGCAATCTCATCCAAGCAAAGCATACCACTAAAATATTTATTAATTTTAAATACTGCTTCAAGCTGTTGCTCAAGCGTATTCAAATTATTGTGGTCAACTTAGTGTTTCCATCAATTACGTTGTCGAACAGTACTGTCAGTATCAGACCCAGGGTGGTTTTCGCCAATAACAAGAGTAAGATCTTGATTTCTGGAGGGAACTATAAGCAGTTGAATGATTTAAGTATTCAATAAACAGGCGGAGTTGCCGATATAAGATTATATAGTCTTGGTTATTCATATTCTCCGCATATTGGTTGAGCTCTGCGAGAAACGAAGGATGATATATTATTTAATATAAAGATATTCCAGCCTCCAGCGGGACTACTAAATAAAGGCTTTCTGGAGGGCCTGGTATACTATCCTTATCTTCGCCTCTCCTGATAGTATCAAACTGTGCAATGGAAATCATCTTCCGGTAAGTGACTTCCATGATCGAATCCATGCTTCAGGCGTAGGCGATTATTGACAATGTTAGCAGGTACGTTAGCCAAGGTCCCGCATATAGGAAGTACTTGCTGACAGACTACTTCTCTAGTTTGCGAACTATTCGAGGCGGAATATCTACTGGCCAGGTTCTTTAACTCTGGATCACGTCGCCCAAGCGATAGCATCTGCATACAGCATGCAGAATCTGTGTCCGAAAGAGGCCGAGTGAGAGCGTGCTCGGGCTGTTAAAGCTCAACCATGGTCCTTGTGAACACGTACTGAAGCTGACATTGGTTTCAATAACATTTCCGCTATCCATTCCAGGATACACTTCTTTTCACGGACCTCGATGTCAAATTCGAGAGTAGCCAATTCGTCGTCTTTGTTAATCCATCCGGCTGCAGAAAGACAACTATGATATCTTACTAGAGAGATTCTACAACCCTTACCAACCGATAGTCCTTATCAACGAAACCACGACTCTTCGAAAGAACCATCCGCAACAATATAACCCTCGGACTCGGTAATTTTGAGTTTACCGAGATCAATCCGATTCAAGCGTGTGAGGACGCAGAGATTCACGATCCCATCACCTCCCTCCCGAATGGATATTCCACCTACTGGGTATCGAGGCTCAAACATTTCTGAGTGGAAGACAACAACAATGCCCCTGCACTACACAGGCGTTACTACGCAGACCATTCCTCTGCTTGATGAAGCGACATCGAATCTTCACTCGTAGTTCCAAAAGGCGGTACAAGCAGTACACAGGCGCTTGGCAGCGAAAAGATGTATGACGATTGTGGCATTCACGCATAAACTGCTACTATACCGAGAGCGGACACGGCATTTGTCTTTGGTGTAAGCCAGAGCAGACATGGGTTCAGGCCGTGGAGCAGGAAAGTCATCGGGAATTGCTATGGACGACGAGATGTATTGGCAGACGGTGAGTGTATTGACTTGATTTTTAGGCATTGTGGTTTACTGATTGATTTCCAGTGTCAGGACAATGCGCTCGATCGATAATTGTACACTACGTGATTCCACTCCGTATAGGTGTCAGTGTGTTTAGAGAATCTATTAGAAGTTGCTTCATCATACATACATACAATATCATGGATTGATAGGCAGATAAATGAACCACCATTCTCATCTACGCTCTCTCATTGTACTCCGGACGAGCCTTAGAGGCATACAGCACGTCTCATTAGTCCATCTGCTATCTAAAGCCAATCTCCTCTACTTCCCACAATTCCTAGCCAACTGCGCACAGTTTTTTCTTTTTGAAACACCACGAAACTCAGTGCTACTTGCTCGTTTTTTGCTGCTGCTAAAGTCTCGTCTTCTCACTAGCTCTGCGCCATTAGGGCCGGGGACGGATATTCCCCATATACCTATATAGGTCACCAGCATCAAGAACGGGAAAGAGGAGGCGAAAAGAGCCCCAAGATAGCCCATACCCTTCGATCCATTTTATTCCTGCTTGATCACCCTCGACTGTGAGACAGACCGGGTTTGTTGCAATGGCTCCATTATCATCGGCAGAACCGATAAAAGAGAGACTTTTCGCCGGCGCTCATGTTGTGATCGCGGAGGCACAATCCCAGAGGTGCTCCTGGTAATCCCCCTTCTTTGCCTTAAGCACTGGTCGGTGATTCTCCGCCGGTTATTCCGGCCACGAGCTTGCTGGGGCGCTCGCTGTTGTTGTTCCTCGTTCTGGCTCTCTTTTTCCTGCTTTATGGCTGGACGCTGCTGTTCCTGGTGCTGAAACCTTTCCGAAACGTCATTTGTTTGCGTCGATTGCGATCCACCATTGCTCGGTGTTGGCTGAATTGCTTGGTTCTGGTCTTCCTGATAGTGATTCTGAGGGGACGCTCGAATGTGGTTGGACTGTGACGATTCCGACGCCCTATGATGCGGCACTCGCTGACTGACTTGATTCTGTTCTCCTTCATTGTGAGCCTGACGCGCCCGCGGCACGTGTACCACATGGTCTGTTTGCGCCACGTCAGACACCCTATCATGCTGCACTGACTGAATAGCTGGTTTTCGCTGTTGGGAGACCGCTTGGCTCTGTCCAGAGTGATTGGAGTTCGCGCCCTGTGTTCCGCCGACGACATTTGGGCCACGACCTGGGATTGCCATTGCTCCAGACTTTACGCGTTACAGTAGAGCTCGTTGCTGATGGCACATAAGACCAGCCATTCGTCGCATTTCCGCTTGCAATAATGCTTCCTGCTGTTTTCCAGTCGCTGGGGAAAGCTGCTGTTGGGCGATTGCATTTTGAACAGCTATAGCTTGTCGTGGTGCCAAGGCTTGTTGTGACGTCCAAGGCCGCTGCGGCTCTAAAGCTTGCTGTTGTGGTAGCTGGCAAGGGTAGCCCCCCTGCGGCCGGAACTGCACGGTTAAAGACTGCGCTGGATGCGCAAGGTCAAATAGTCTTTGACATCTGGGACAAGCAGCCAGCTGGCCTCCGGGGACTTGAGGCAGAAGAGGAAAGTATTGACACCCGGGGCAAATGTATGCCGGGCGGTTGCTAGGCACTCGAGGATTGGCATACATTTCGCAGAAATTCAATGGAATGAAGAATGATTGCTAGAGAATCGATCTGAAATGATGGAGTAGTGATAGGACGGTTGGGACGACGCCTTTTATTTATAAGTGGTGTGGTCGTTCAATTGACTTGCATGCATTTGGAAGGTGGATACGATGCTTTCTCTAAAGTATTGAATTTGCTGAACGGACGCTTTGATCGGCCTATGATAGCCTGCTTAGTGGAGTCAGTGGAGTGGCTAAATTGAGCTGTTCCAAATGGCTTACCTGTTGCTAGAACTGACCCACCCTAATAGCATTTGAAGTCTGTTCAGCACATCTGCTCAAGAAGAGCAGTTTGAATCTACCAGCTAGTTTAGAATTTCGATATGAGCTGGAGCTGCCATTTTCGGCCGCAAATTATTCCATAACAGGCCGCTCAAGCCCATCCGCTGACTCAATCGGTGTGCGTATAAATGGTTAACGTAATTAACAGTTGAACGGCCCGTACGTTTGTGCGCCCCATCTCGTAGAATGCGTGAGATCCTTCTCAGAAACTGTCCTTGCACAAGTGTGTTTGACAACATTCAAGTCGTGTTCCAAGAGTTCTGGACCTCGTTCATGTTGCCATAGACGCCAAGACGAGTGCGTCATCCAAACATACTCGGATCATCTTTGATAATAGGCGTAAAACTCCACGATCTACCAGCCGTAAGTATGAAAAAGAGAAAAATGACTCTATAGCTCCATAGATCTTCCCTATTCCCGTCCTTGTTTCTCTACGCCCTGCTGACGGGCTCGATATCGCCTCCGTAAGTCCGTACAACCCTGTGTTTACCATGATTTGGTAGTGGGTAAGGCGTTTCCCGCTCACTGATTAGACGATCTTTCCACACCCACTTGGCTACCTCGATCTAGAGGCGCCGTTCGTGCAGGGCTCTGGGACACGAATCAGATATGGCACACCTGACCTGCATTTGACCCGATTGCTACTTTCAACCCTTGTTCTTCCGACCTCCAGGACATTGCCATGGTGGCCCAGAGTTGCCAAGAACAATACACTGTTTCTGGGTCAGTCAACGCAGTCTATAATGATGAAGATTTTCAAGCTAAATCATGGACCGGTCAGCAATCACTCACATCAGCCAAGGTCTGGCTGTCCTCAAATGATAGGTGGGTCAGAGTTTTCTGCCTCAGCATGTTATGTCCGACCCACCAAAAAGACTACAAGCTGTGATTATTCTCGGCAATTCTTTATGTTTGCTAGCATCAAAATTCATATGCCACCCGAGACTCTGCACTCCATTTGACCATGAATACTTGAGCCAGGCGAATACACCTAATTATGTTGAAAGTACTAGCTCAAAACTACCCAGTTCAGCAGGCAGTGTGAGCTCTTCGAGGAACACCAATACCGAGCTGTCAATGTCTTTTACGGTCTCTACGTTTCTGGATGATCTTGTACCGAGGTCCGAGTCCGTGCCTGATGTCAGCCAAGGGGGAATTGCTGCTGCGCCGAGCTGGGCAGATAGAACTCGATACACCTCGAGCGAATTGATCGTGTCTCCAGGTCCCACCAACTTTATGGAATCCATAGTAATATAATCGTCGGACCAAAGACTGAAGGCATTCCGTCCCAAATCTGTCAAGCAACTCGGCAGGTAGATCATTCTCCGCGAGAATTGAGAAAGAATGACCATCCTGCGACCAGCACATCACATCGTTGAATTCTGGATCGTCGAGCACACTTGTTCTCCGTTAGAGGCAAATGTACAATGGGTATTCCAGATGAGGCTTACTCGCTAAGGCATTGAACAAAGGGCCCGGTATGTGAGGCAGGCTTTTGAAGGTCAGCCTCTCGGCCTACCGGTTCAATCCCGCTGAATCCCTCGCTCTCAGCAGAAGTCAGATTTGGTGCTTCCTGCGGGCCATCAGCAATCGGCTTCAGCTGAGCGGCTTGCTCAACCCCGTGCATCGTTCGAGCTACGAGCAACGGGGCTCCATTGTCTTGGGCAGAAGCTGAATCCCCAGTTGTCTCCTGAACCAGGGCCTCCAGGGTACTACCCTGGTCCATACCTCCTGTGCTCATGTAGACACAGCCTGGTCCTGCCCTCTGCCCATCGCGTGCTTGATCCTCGAGAAGTCGGGCAACAATGCTATGGCGACGGCCCAGCTTCCGATCTAGTGCGGATGTCGCGTCCAAAACTGTACCTAAAGGTTAGATATGGTAGATTGTCTGCTTCAGGACGTCTCTGACCTCTTCTTAATTTCTGCTCGATATTAGAGAGCTCCTCTCGCGTCTTCTCAATCGCCCCCAATTCCTTTTGACAATCATCACTTCCTGGCCATGGAGAAAGGAATCGCCATGGTCGGCCAGATCTTATTAATTGATAGTCAATTTCCGGAAGATCCACGTGTGAATCGCCTATCACCAGCTTGGCTGAACCATCATATGCGGGGCCTGCAGCCAGTACGAGTGCAGCCCAGGTGATTCGGGGTCCATCGACAACCACTGGTTCATTTGTCGTGAAGAGAGTCTCTAGACTTCTGCTCACCGCGTGCAATATAGCGTTTCCCCACGACCAAGAGCAATACTAGAACCAGTATTGAGCATGGAATGATATTCTTCCAGCATATTTGAGAATTCGTTTAAGGGGCTATCAGCGACTATCAGCGACTTCAAGAGAGCGTAACTCCTCTTTGCCTTGAGGGTCTGCAAAGTTAATCGCTTCACCGACCTGCAGAATTCGCTTAACGGTCTGTATAGATCCGTGGCTGGTAGATGTGGCTTCCCAATCCATGTTTGCACTTTTTTGTGCTCTTGAGAATATACTATGTGAGGCGAGGCGAGGTATTCCGCGACAAATGCACTTTCGGCAAACGCTGACGGAGTTTGGACAAGTCAGAAGCTGACCAAGATCGCTCTAGTTGACTGCTTACGTAAACAGGCGCGGCAAGTAACTAGTTAGTGAACGTTTTCAGCCACCGAGCCGCGCCCATTCCATCGGAATATCTTCTGAGCTTTCTTTCCATTAAAACCAACGCCATTATATTTAATCAAACAAAGTATCTGAAAAGATAGATACTTACTAGGGCAGTCTCGAATTGTATATCCCACTATCCCATGGCCACTGCAGCGTTGCGGAGCTCGTCGACGAGGCTATTGAGCAGTTACAATAAATTCCGAGTCTGTTGTCGGTTCTGTTTCCGATACGGTATCACTCATCCGATATTATACTGTGGACGCGTTGAAGCATATGTGTAGATGTATACATGGTTATGATTTTAAGTTACAGGATCTGCGCGCGCTTGGGCCGCTGTTCTACACTCAGAAGTCGGTATAAACCAGGAATGCCGTCCAGGATTGACGATCCTTCAATTTCCTCAAAACCTTGGCTCCTGCTCATTTTTTCACGGCCGGCTCTAAGGACCTGCTAAACTGTCATTTTAATTTGTTCAATTTAAAGAGAGGATAACTCTCACCTCCTTGAGGGATCTCACCCAGACCGTGATGCTGGCAATTTCGTTCCGGGCCCTTGTTTCCTGGATCTCTCTGATGATGCTGTTTACACGGCTCGCCAACATGCGATCGAATTGACGTAACGCCGCGGAATTGGTGCGAATCTCTCTCAATAGTATTGATTCGAGAAAAGCTCAACGACGAGTTGTAGTGTAGCGACCGGCCGAGATATTGCGCAAATCGGTAGCGCTGGACATCGCTGCGAAGGTTTTTCTCGCGTTCAAGCCATTCTCGGTAAAGATCATCCCAGCCCACGACAGCTGCGTTCATCATGGCTTCCAGACATGATAAATTTTCCATCCCATGAATTTGGGCGATCGCTTCGCTGTGTTACCTGAATCCAAACTTCACCGAAAGTATGAGCCAGTTTTTCGCCGCGTCGCTAAATTGATTTTCTTTGAAGTTTTATCGCCATCTCTTTGGTTGTGCCTTTCACGTAAGACATCAAACAGTTTAAGGGCAGTTCTGGACGTTGAAGACAATATCTTCGAAATCAGCAACGCCGACACTCTTAAGTGCAGCTAGTTCAAGAGAACCGCCTGCTTCAACACAGTGGTGCCAAGTCTGGCAGTCTCTTTGCGTAAACAGCTTCCCACAAATTATGGTAGAAACGTCGTAATGGAGACAAGCGCGATTATTACTCTTCTTCTTGTTCTTGTTAGGGTTCATTATCATTTTCAGGAAGTCTTCCGAAGAAAACAAAATCGGCACGCTTCTTTAAACAGTCGCGATGACATTGTACGATTGGCACCTATTGCTTCATTTTTGTAAGCCCAGCGCCCAGTTAGATATCGGGTTTACAATTGAAATGCTCAGGGAGCGCGCTTAGATGAGAAACAACTAATGAGGTTCAATACATATAACGAGTTCCATGAGGTCCACCCGATCATAACTTGTAGTGCCCCACCCGGGTTATCTCGGATCAGTAGTATTACTCCCGACTGTTAAAACCAATCGTAGTCGTTCAAGATGGGCAATTACTCTCAGAGACAGGTTACTTGATTATCGTAACCTATGAACGAGGCGCGTGCTCGTAATGGTTGAGAATCAATCCAGTGGAGTAGTGTGCTTGCAATCATTCGCGGTATTTTCGTTACAAACAAATCCGTACAGATGCAGGAGGTACTATTTGGTATGTGGTCAATTATGCGAACAAGATGGTATAACATGCCGCTACTGTACAAGGAGGGCCTCCGTTGTCGAGGAGCTCACGAGACCCAGGTCAGCGAGACAAAGGAAGATCACCCAGCCGAACAATGACACCTGACTCGTCCACAGCAACGTCTCACATGAAACCTCGATGCTATCTAGAAGGTCACGCTCGTTCTCGCGTCACGGTGATCTGGGGCGCGATAGTCATTCTGGGCGCTTGAATGCGCATTCCCGTTGGGCGTCGGTCTCTTCTTGCCTGTTTTGACAATAAGGCGTGGTTCTAATTGAAACTGTCTGATACCAACCTCAAGGATACAAGGTTCAGTGGTACTTCACAATCCGAATTTGCCCCAATGAGTCCAACGGGGGGCATTGTCCATTTTGAAGGTCTGGAACGTGAGAAGCTTCCAAAGGTGAATTTCGGTCAATTCCTATTCCAGTACAGTATCCGGGAAATGACGTCTTGGGCAATGAACCGACTCGACAGCGGTGAGGCACTGGGCAGAGGTGCTGTAGAAACCGGGTACTCGACACGCTGATGGACCAGTGGTGCTGTCCTACGAGTCGCGCGCATCTGTCACTCTACCCATGTCCATGCCGATCTTTTTTCCCTAGTCGGCCCCGTCTTTGATTGAGGACCTGACGTCTTGGGGCCGATACCATGCGAGGGCATGGTCATTTCGGGACGTAGAGTCGGGTTTTGCTCTTCGTATATGGTCACCATGTGGCCCTGGACATTTAGGAGGGAGCACACGCAGAGATGACCGGATACCGCACCTGGCACTTTGACGACTCCTGAAGTTCCTCTGCACCACATGATGGTCCTGGACTTGAATCTGGCGAGGCTGGATGCTAGTGCTACACAGTTGGTCTTGCCAGGCGACTGGAGCGCTTGGAGATATAAGGCCGGCGTCTCCTAGTCTTGTTCATTCCAGGACCAGGCTTCCTGTCCTCACTCACTGGGATGTGTAAGCGCAACAGTGTGCACCTTCACAGGAATGGCGGGCCTGTGTCGTACGATCTTCTCGGAGATATCCCCTGACAGGAGTGGTGGGCCTGTTTAGTATTATTCTCCTTCGGAGATATCCCCTGACAGGAGTGGTGGGCCTGTTTAGTATTATTCTCTTCGGAGATATCCTCTGATAGGAGTGGTGGGCCTGTTTAGTATCATTCTCCTCCGGAGATATCCCCTGACAGGAGTGGTGGGCTTGTTGAGTATCAATCTCTCCGGAGATATCTTCTTTATAGCCATGGGCTCCATGTCATATCACCTGTGCCCTGGACCGTTCCCAGATGAACAGGTTTGTTTGTTCTTGGGACCCTGTTCTGAGATACTTCAGCTATGGGCAGCTATCTCTACGCAGTGCTGGGGACTAGTACTTGCCAGAGTATATTTACTTGTTATGATGCAAGGAAGCCAAGATCTGCTCGCGCCATGCTGTCGGTTCTTTCCAGCATTGGTGTAACATCGTGCATCACAGGCGGAATAGAGGCCCGTATGGAACAGAGGTCTGTATCTGTCAATGCCTGCTGCCAGTCATGTACAATAGTTAGCTTAGATTTTGTGGTATAATGTATACAGTAATTACTCGGAATCAATTCCATCTGTATAGTAGTATATCCTGATCCTGAATAATAATATAGACGACGTCGCGAGTCCTGGGTAACTTCCTCCGGTTCATTTTGGACAAGCAGTCTGCGAGTCGGTGTATGTCTGGCAAATAGATTGCTTGTTACATACTGTACTCTAAGTTCAGATATGTTTGAATGCTTTCAGATGGTCCGCTCGACAGATATCAACCTTGGTGACAGGTCGTGCATAACAGAACCTCGTAGATTGCCCGTCTTGTCACTGTATAAGGCAGAGATCTTGTAATAATGAGGCAGCCTAGCCACACCTGGACAAACCCATAATCTGGGAATCCGGGAGCCCGATATTTCAGAAACGGGCAAATCATCTGATAAGACTACTGTTCTGGCTCTCGTGATAAGCCATATAATAGTGACCAGTGGGGTTGTGTTTGTGTGCAGCTGAAGACCCAGAATGCCCCGCTTATAGCTGGAGATTAATTTATAATACATATAATGCCCTATCATGTCAACATCTTTTCACTGCATATCAAGATCTGAATTCCCTAATCCTGCGTTAGCTTTGGCGCAGCATGAATCAGCTCCATGCTCAAGAGAAATTAACCGGGCTGAATATGATTATATATTTCTAATAATATGATGGTAATCCTTTTTAAAATGCCTAGCCATGTCTTATAAGACCACCCAGTGGAGGAGCTACATGACCTGCAAACCAGGGGTGGGGGGATTAAACAAAGAATTGCTAAAAAATAATAAAAAAAAAAGGGAAACAGTGAGATGTTTTACTGAGTAGACATGATTAAGTGAAGTTAGTATACTATTATCTTTAGATATGTGAGTGTGCCACGGGGATCTGCTGGAGTATTAATCTGTTTAGAAAATACAAATTTACCCAGATAAGCATGTCTCTTCACCACTCTCTGGTCCAGCCCTCTGGTTGATTATTATTACCTTGGGCTAGTAATATTTGCTGGAGCTCAGGAAGGACCGAATTTAGTCCTTTTCAGGAAGTTATTTCAGGAATTCAACTGGATGCCCGCCTGGGAAATCCAAATACTCACCAAATAAATATTTTTATCCTCAGGTTTCGACCTCTGGACTTAGGGTGTAAAGCAAGAACTATTGGCTTCTATATATACTATTAGCCTATTACCATAGGCTACTACAAAAGTAAGTTTTGTCGGTTGTGATTGATGGTTATGCGCATCAATAGTTTTGTGTACGTGAACGGTCATATATACCTACATACAGGATATATACAAATACTACCAACTCAAGAGCATTGAGTAGAATCGACCTTTTTGACCGGCCAGGAGACATGTAGGAATCAACAGAACCGCCAATTCTAGATGTAACCGTGCTACTCCATGAGATGAGTAAATGGTATAGTAGAGGGGAGAAATGGGTTGCAGCATGAAGACTTGGAAGAGTAGAGGCACATGCCGCGTACTAAGAACGCCGTAACGCCCAATTTCTGCTGCTCTCTGTGCTCGATAAATTGTACCGACCAAACACAATGACATACTGGGTCCCAACTTCCTCAGCCAACATATCACCCTGCGCTACAGGGCAGCGTGGAGGGGGTTCTCACAGTAGGAAGATAAGCAATCTGCAGGAACCTTGCCGCAGACGGATAAAGGTTGTTTGGCTCGCCCTACAGCTAATAGGAAGGGCACCATGCGCGGCAGGCTGCCCCACCATTCGGAACAATTATCGCGGAGAGCTAATTTGCGGCCGCGTGTCTTGACTCGACTTGGGTTACTGCCTCGTGCGACCGGAGACGTGGTATATTAACTGCCACAGCAGATCGATTTTGGAGGGTGCATTCAACGACCGCGACGGTATTCCATTGTCTTTCTCATTGCCTGCAATAAAGAAGATTGTCAATACATCGGACTGCTTTAACCACTGTATGGGGTATGCTCTTACCGGAGTGATCCCGCAGACCTTTATGAACCCAATGTGTCTTAAACCCGCGACGGTGCGCACATTTAGCTAGGGACTGGACGGTTGATTTCGGACCCTGAATCAACTGTGCGGTCTGACCGTGGTTCTGCGGAAGGGCGACATATGTAGAGGTTAATAACCTTATCATCCGTATTCTTAGAGGGCTTGGATTGTCTGAACAATGCTCAGAAAAAGTGGGGGTGCTGATTGAGATAGGACTAGACTGAGTTTTATATCAGCCACAGCCCTATCTCCTGGAGATCCGACGTCTGAGCCGCGATGGTATCTTGCATATTGGATAGCAGTGCTGTCTTATGTCTTTCTCCAGAAGCTGGTATTTGGTCCACAGAGATTCTTTTATTCTGGGTTTATACTTGATTGAATATTTCCGAGCCCTCTCCGGCCAGGTTAGATGGAGATAGTATACTACCCATGATGGATAGTCCTGTTCCTTGCTGGGAGTCCAGGCCCGGTAGTGTCTCTTGGACATGGGGAGCGAAAGTGAAATTATAAAATATAATATAAATAGAAGAGCTGCGCATGCAGAGACCGGCATAAAAGACAAGATCCAGATACAGTATATATATTGCCTGCCATGCAGAAGACATCCAGCATTGCGGGGCCACAAGTAAGAGGAGGGGAGACTAGAAAATACTTAAATATGGAGGATTCATTGCCCTGGGATTATTCCCTGGTAAATTCTATTGCACTGATGTAATAATCCCCTGTAACTTAACCACATCACTCACCGGTCAACATGCCCCGTTACCCAGGGTTGTCCGAGTTCCACAGGTCAATGCTACTTTGTGTGATAGTGTCAATGAGGGAAGGGAGCCTTTAACCACAGGCCAGGTAGGTCAGTTTCAGAGACCACAGAAATGAACTCTGGTATAGATCAAAGTGAATAAGATTAACTTAGACATTTGACTGTTCTGGGTAAGCAAATACCCCATGGCGCTTGGACCTGTAGTAAAGCAGGTTGTCACAGACCTCAACCATTACTGTGTCCTACTTGGTCAACTATGGTGACACCGAGCCGTTGTGGGAAAAAGAACCAATGGGTGATTATCCCTAACCTGCTTTGGCTGACCTTGTTGCTTAAAACCCACCTGCCAAAGCCAACGGCGTTCCATTTCCTCTTGCCAGGCCAGACATTTCAATTTCTCCGGCTAATTCTCCCTTCAGCACGGTACATGCGCAGTTGTTTCTCTACGACTTCTGTTGTCATCGGGAAATGCCAAAGTCAGAGCCGCGGGCGGGCATCCGCGCAAGCACCCGGAAGACTGAGAGTCGCAGTACTGCTTCCGACCCACGATCCATCCAAAGACGGGAGCCTGTAATGCGTTCTCCCCAGCAGCCTCTGCGGTCCTGTCGACGCCCATCCACGGTAAGCCTTCACGTACGGTTGCTGGTCCCGGATCGTTCTGCTGACTCCATGCACCCACCAGCTAGCACAGGTACCTGGCTCTGGTCCTCGAGACCCTCCTTCTGCCCCATCATTGGAGAACCACGAGGCATGTTTAGCTACTATTAAAATCCTGAAGTGGGAAATTAAAGTATTGGAGAAGGATAAGGAGATCCTGTCAGAGTGCCTTTGAAGTAATAAAAGTGAGAAGCAGAAACTGGTGAATAATCAGTATTAATAAAGATAATAGCTTTCTGAGTGACAGGAAACTTAACAATTGGTACTTGAAATACAGTATACTGTCACGGATTAGCACCAGCGACTTTAGAGTCCTGCTGGTTTACTAGAAAATGCGGATCCTGCCGCCTTGAGAACTGCTCTACCGGCAATGACAGCGGCGCCGGATATGTAGACTATACAGGAGGATGGAGAGGTTCCATTTAATAATAACCATGATATTATACCCGGCTCTGATGACTTTACGCAGCTTCTTTAATTCTAATTTATCTGCTGTAGTAATCGATATTCTTTCTGGGGCGAATGCGCACACGTATACTGATCAATGATGGCGGTGCCTATCGTGGCAAGCAATGCATATTGACGCTCGCTGGAAGCGGCTTAGGAACATCTGATGTATAAAATTGCTTCCTGGATGTGCAGATGGACTGGGTGATGCTGGGGTGGGTAAACTGTCTCTTGTATAGCGGGCAGGCCTGCTCCACGGACAAACAATCGCGCTCGGCAGCAGTACTCGACACCTAATTTACGATCTTGTCCGCCTATCAGCAAACGGAGCATGGGCCAGGTTTCACGCGGTCGGATCCAGGAAAAGAATAACCAACGAACGTCTAACGTCCGAGCCCGATAAATGAGGGGTCCTCGGAGGTGCCAATGAAGGAAGACTCGTCCGAGTCGGTCTTCTGCGTGTCTGCACGCATACACTCAATCCAAATCTCACACCTTTTCCCCGGGCACCCCCGTATCCTCTAAATAAAAGTTGCATAAATTATACCAACCAATGGATAAAGGGCATCACCGTCGTAGCAGCTAGCACTGATGAATCTTGAGGACGCGCGGACACCCCAACCATCAGTGAACACGAGGCTTGGAAGAGGCTGAGGAAAGGGAAGAGGAGCTGCGAAGAAACAGAAGAGAGATAGCACTGTGCAATAATACAATCGGCGCGCTGACCAATTTTGCGTGCACCTTGCAGCAGAAACAGCAAGTACTCATGTATGCAGTGGAGTAAGAGTTCAAAGCGCTGTACAAAGTGATAATCCCCGAATTGGTAGCGAATATCTCAACATATTGAGACATTTCCGAAAATTTCTGTCAAGACCCGCGGGTATCTGTGTCAACTTGGGTGCAACTACACCCAAGCACTCATCCGCTGAAGGCAGTATCAGTGATCAAGAATCATATACACTATCTGCTTCTGCCGCACCCGTGTCGCGCAACCAATCGAGCTGCGGCATCGGCAACAACCGCCCGTCAACCATGGGAGGTGAAAGGACACGAGCCGGCCGAGACCATAAAAAGACTTCTCGGAAAGACTGACATTCTACGCGACCATACTATATTATTGCCTGCATCCACGGCTTGATCAACTGAGGACCTCTGGATTAAATATACTCCAGCTGGAAACCTTACAGTAGTCAGTAACATGCTATCAGACTGCAGGAGTTCACACGCCAGCTCCATCATTAATTTATCTAAGATTGAGATCTCAGATTCGAACAGCTGCACGTGTGTGGTCAGATAGAGTATCTTATTAAAGCTACTCTCATTTCCCGCATATAATTTAATTATAAATACTACGACTGTGAAGACCAGCATCGCCTTCAAGCGAAAGTAGGTATTTACTACCGGCTTAAGAACTTACAGGGACAACACATCCCTGTCTGTAGACTCTAAGCCTCGCATTGTATATTAATACCATGGAAAATTAATGACACAGATAATAATCTTAGAATAGTCTGGAATACAATTTTAGCATATCCTCCATGACGGGGACTCCTGCTTCTTTTATCAAAAGTATGATAAAGCTCTGACTGTACTCCAATAGCACGGACTTATTTGCTGAGACAGTGAACAGTATAATATACTGTAGGAGGACCTGATTAGCTATCTAATTATTAAAGACCTAGAGAATATGAAATAGTAAAAGTGCCTTGGAGCTTTTAATTACATTTCAGACAGTAAGCGGCGTACTCACTACATTAGAGTGATGAAATATAAGCCTGGCTTTGAAAAGATAGAAAATAAATAATATGGCAGGATCTTAAGCTTGTAATATTTGATTTAGAAATGTTGCAAAGCATGCTGCTACAAGACATCATGGTCTTTATCTTAGACTGGTTACTAAATACGCATTTTGCAACACGAATCGTACATATTACAAGAGCCCGACTGCACGGCAGGCTTGAGTAGCAGAACTATTATATAACTTTCTAGATAAGCTGCTAGAAATATATACTTCCCATCAACCAGCCCCCGTCAACCGAAATCCTTCGAAAATCATTTATTTAATTTCGCAGCTAGCTCTGAGTATTTGTAGCTCATATGGTTAACATCTATCTTTATAAGAGCATGTTCAGTTACTTAATAATAGTTCAGATTATCTTCTCTAATATTAGTATTCTAATAAGATTATTCAAAGTTTCTTTCCCTCCTTGGATACTAATAGAATCCCATAACTGCTTGCCACTGAATATAATGATACGATCACTGGCTTCACAGTCCGTGATCTCAAGGTGGTCTAAACAAAGTTCATCCTGAATAGTCTTAAGTAATAATTTCCAGGACTCTAGAGTTAGAAGTTTAATTAATTCCAGATACACGTCGTGCAAAGTTATTTTATGGATAAGAAGTAGCCTAGCTAAATAATTTTCTATATTACTGACCATATTAATCTCCAAGACGCGGAGATTCTTGAGGCAAATACCTTCACTTAATGCCTTAAGATCCCCTGTTTGAATATAAAAATCAAATCCTAGATGTAACACTTCAAGCCCAGAAAACTGCATAATAAATTATACTAGATATCTTATCCAGGATAACGCACTTTCCCTCTCTGGTAGGCCAACTGTGATATGTAAAATTATAAGTATCAAAGTAATAGGACTCATAATAAGACAGAGATCCAGAAGCTGTAGTATTCCTGGGTCTACTAGAATTCTAGATAATCCTATATGAAATTCAAACCGCTGCAGTGGGACATAACCTGCAGTAACAGTAGTGAAGATAATATAAATAATATAAATAAAGAATTTCCAGCTTTCTGAACTATTTAATATAAAATTTAGTTTAATACTAGTTAATTTCTTAAGAGAATGAGTCCTCCAAGAGTAGTAATTAATATTATTCTTAATAAAAATTATCCTGCAGTTTGTTGCCTTGGAAAGGGCTTGTATAAGACATACAATATCATAATCTAATGCTGCCAGATGGTCCTGCTCAGCTAAATATTATTTATAACTGATTTTGTCCATTACAGCAGCTTCTTTATTCTGGGGATTAGCTAGGTGATGTACTGTAAGGTAATCAGGATAGATTACACGAATATATAATATATTATTATAAGCAGGGTGAGTAGCTATATTTTAAAGGATCTTAAGATTATATTAACTTAAAATATAGTATTATATCTTAAAAAATTTCATAATAAAATCCTGGAATAACCTTGCTCGGAGACTTCTGTTGGCAAGGCGAAAATTAAGAAAATAACTATTTTCTAATTTTCTTATAATCATGCCTATAATCTCTGTCAGAAGTTTATTTATATAACTGGATTATAGCAGGTGCTCACTATTATTAAGTATTATAATAATTTAATAGAAACTAGTCAACAGGCTGTTGTATGGTTGGGATAACAAGAGTTATGGAGGCAATACAGAGCAGGACTAGTTTTAGATACAGCTGGTTTTACTCCTAAGATAGATAGAACACAGATCACCACTTAGTTTTCCTTAGAAATAGCGGCTCATACACTGTTCATATAATCTGTTATAGAGGATCTAAGAACACCAAAGCCCTCTCTCAATAATGGATTCTTCAGTATATGAAGAGTTGCGTTGAGCTCAATATGATAGAAATTAGAACCTTCAAAGTGTACAGGGACTTTATGTTACAGTAATTTATGATCACATGACTCGGGATTTGGGGGGACAAATAGATGTACGGTTGTGGCGTTGAATACACGGCCTGCTGCCTGGGTGAATTGTTACCTGGATTCACGTGAGCGGCTAGTGTACAGTAGACCCCGCCAAATCGCGGGTTGGGTCTCGAACCCAACCCAAAAGATAAACAACGGTAGTACATACATCAATTACATTAAGATACCTCTTAAAAAGATCCAACATTTCACATGAATTTCCATAATATATGAGGTCTTGGTGTTAAAGTGAGAATAGACTGGATTCTAGTTTAACTTGACTTAACATTAAGGAGAGTTGTCTTTTACATGGGCGGGATAGCACATATATATGTCTGGTCCCATCCCTGCCATAAGGTTCAGCCACCATGATATTCATCACAGCCACCGTGATATTCAACAGAACCCATGGGCGGGTTGGGGAACCCCGAAACCCAGCCTGGGTAACCCGTGGGCGGGTTCAAAAAATGAGAACCCAACCCAACCCGCGTTTTGGCGAGGTCTACTATCCAGTTATGATGTGTGTCTTGCATAGATCTGACAGGCTACCAGAGGTAGCCTGATCAGGATATGCAGTGAGGCTAAACAAGGCAACACTACAGCTATAAATAGCTGTACTTACTCCCATCGATAGTGAAAATATGATCACACTTGTACCTCAGTTCAGGTTTCCAATTTAGGCGAGGGCTCAGCGTATGAATCATCATCATCATCATCATCATCATCATCACTGTATCACTGCGGATATGAACGGGCAACGACACGCCGATTTGGGAGGGAAGACTAGGGAGAAGGTCGTTTGAAGAGAGAAATCCGGATATCAAACACTCGTCATTGAAGGAGATTGGCGTTGAATGCTCGGTTTTGTGGCACGGCGTTGGTGCGCGTGCTTCATAAAGGCAGGTTGACAGCGACGTCATTAGCCTCTTCCTATTAGCTTGTGCTCTATAGCTAATGAGACAGACGGCTCTGACGTAGCTGAAACTCTGTCAGAAAGTAATGGGTCAGCAAATGAAAGAATGTACGGCCTTATACAGTGGAAGTCACCTTATCGGGTAGGCGAATGGCCAGACACTTATGCATCACCTGCATGCCCTCGGCAAACACACAGTGTTTAGAAGAGACGGGCAGATAAGACTGAGAGGGTCCATCGATCATGAGTGATCGACGGCGCCTAATAGCTTAAACAACCAGGAAAGGGACAGCCTCCTGAATTAATAAAAAAAATATAAACAGTTCCCGGTAGACTCCTGAACCATTGCCACTATCAACAACACGCCAACCCCTAATGAACACGTGTCCAACCAAGTTGATGGGCAAGTTTATAATTGATGTATTCACCAATGCGAGAAGACCCGTCCGAGTACACTGGCTCCACCTTCAATTTTTCCATGTCCTGAATAACTCGATCGATATGTTCACCTGCTGCACTAAGATGAAGAATGCGTGCGATAGCACGATGTATTTCCAAAAGCTGACGAAGAGGCGGCTCGATGTTTCGGTCGGGAGTGATGAAGAGCTCGCGGGTAACAGGGAGATTGTAGGCTCGCCAGATGCGTTTAGTCTTCACGAAGTCAATCCTGTATGTGTGCTCTTGGTTCTGGACCGGTTCAAATGCAACTTCAAAATTACCAAACAAGCGGTGAAGATCATGAGTCAAAGTGAGTGCGTTGATTGGTCGGTCAATATCAGTTCCCTCGATCAAGTGGAAAGCTGTAGGGTTGAACATTTTGAGGATTTTGTGGGCGATATGCTTTCGCTCGGTCTAGAAAAAGATATGTCAGCAAAAGATCATATGTATAATTAGTAGTTGACACGCACCCCAATTTCCGATAGATGTGACGCTTAGACAGACTTGTGTTGACCTTATGGACTCTCCCCATCTATTAAGCTCCATAAGTATCAAGGACTATCTTATCCAACTGCCACATTCCCTGTTGATTCTAGATGGGTTTCATGGGTTTTTTGGGTCCGACTGGGTTTTGGATACCCGCCCATACCCATTCGTACGGCGACGAGGTCTGACGCGCCACTAATTCGATATATCCAGAATCCATAGTGAGGAAAAAGAAAAGAAAAAACCAAAGGCACGAGACAAGAACCAGCTCATCATACTCTAATACTGAAAATCTTTTTCTAAGCTATCCATATTCATTGAGATGGAACAGCAAAAACCGCCAGCCATTTATCATGACCTCATCCAGTTCTACTTCAGCGAGGCTTATATCCTTTCTATTTAACTCTCTGATACTAATTAAGGCGCCCTTAGATTCTATTCCTTTATCTAATTTTCCCTCCTTAATATATTATAACTCTATTATTCGAGCTTATCGATACCCTCAAGACCTTGGACATAGACTGACCTGGACCGAAGCCCTTTCTTAGTCCAAGACAGAGCCATATTTTCTCTCCGGGTGATCCTCCGACTAGCCTTAAGTACATCAGTCCTGACCAGAAAAAGAAATGGATTCTATACGACGCGGATTATGAGAGCAATTTTTTCTCATGGTAGTTGCAGACCGAGTACGGGAGACAGCTGAACAGAAATAGCAGATCTAAGATCAGGTAGTTAATTAAAACACACTTCGCTGATATTTAGAATTACTTTAATCAGATAGCGGAGATACATACAGGTCGTCCAAAGATTATCTGCAAGTCCTGTCTGACCTTACTGGATCATCCGTATCACAAGTCCCACGGCACAAGCGCTATAGGAAGACACCAGAAATCAAATAGCTGCTGAAAAGAGAAAAAACAGATAACCCAGCAGATATTTATTAAAAACTCCATCTAACAGCCTGCAGCAACTACAATAAGTAGGGTTCAGTTTACAAAGAATCAACTGGAAGAGCAGCTTTTAATAACCATAACAAGCCTGCGGCTCCCTTTCCAGGTGGTAGAGAATAGTATATTCTAATAACTATTATATCTGATCCACTCTGGTACTGATTGATTAGAGCTCCTGTCTGCGAAAACGCTTCGTCGCCGCTTGCATGATGCTGTGGCTGAACAACATACCTCCCCACTGAACGATTTACTTGAGGGCGCTAAAGTATCACTCGCTTTAGATTGTTGGACCAGCCCGTTTCAGCAGGCATTTATGGCAATTACAGCCTACTTATCGACAGTGATTGGAATTATCGAGAACTTCTTCTTGGCTTTGAGCCATTACACGGTCCCCATTCAGGGAGCACTGCACATGACCTGTAAAACGTCACGTGATGCTAGAATGCAGCCTTGCCTAGTAGGGAGTAGGTGCTCCAACAAGATGGGTACCCGTCCCGACACATCAAAGGACCGGAAATGAGGTCAGGCTTACCGCAACGTTCCACCACCTCAACTTCTTTTCTCTCTTAAGAGGGCTACTACTGGGAACCAGGCTGCATACATTCCACTTGGTCCGCCAGGCAGGATATCCGAGCTAAGGAGAGACGGGGAGAGGGATATCCGGACGTCTGGATTGCCGACGAACTGTTGGATCCCATGCACTCGGGGTGATATTAGTACACGAAAGAGATGGTCGGTAATTTTACTCTTATGATAGCTACCTGGTAGTCATAGTGACGTCGTAGTAGTAGTCAGCAGTTCTCTGTTGTAACTAGTGGTTGGTGGTATGATACCGAAGCCGTCAAGTACAGCCGTGTATCCACCTCGTATTATACGGACGTATTACGACAAGCTATTACTATATATCACACCCCCGGAAATTTCGCGTAATCCAGTCAGCCCCCCGAATATTCGTCTTATCCGGACAACCGCCCGCAAGCTGACCCCCAAAGAATGCCACATATTTGGGGATACCTTGAGCCCACGAAATCTTGGCACTTATTGGCTGGTTCCGTCGGTTGAGGAAAATTGACTGCATTATTATCCTATTACAATACTAAAATTTATGCAACTAGGCGTTGTGCAGCTTATTCATCAAGAGACAAACTTTAACTAACAGTTTTTGAACTATTAATAGGGTGGTACCTAGCTCCGTAAGACCAAACAAGGTAAAAAAAAAAAAAAAAGAAAAAATATTAAAGATTATCTGAATATTTTTAACACAGTTTCTGTTCAATGTAGCTCCTGCTACTGTAGAAAGATATATTTCTGTACTATTTCTGCTTTGCCCCCCTTTTATAAGATAGATTAGTCTTTCCTTTATGTATTTTCTTCTGCAGTATCTGAAAAAATATATAAAGATCTATCTTTCCTTGCTGGTGTACTAGCTCCATCTCTTCCACAGTCTTCAGAAGAGGAGTTCCCGTGGTGTGCTTTCTACAGATTTTATTAATAATTACTTTCCTACAGCAGAATTTGACCCGCTCGCGCTGTAAAGGATGCCAGGCGGCGCTATATGTATCTTTTAGGCTTTGAATAGAAGGCTTACCTCCCAGTCCAGATGTCTATTTCCTCCAGAGCTCCGGTACGGTGTGTACTGTCCGGAAAGACATATAGTAAGGGATCTCTTCTGCATGGTTTGGTGTGGATACGGACTTAAATGTCTCCTGCATAATTACTGCACTGCTACCATCAGCGGCGGCCGCAGTGACAGCAGAAGGGGCAGAAGGAGCAGATATAGATTCAGGAATAAGTTGTGGACTCTGGACAGCAGATATAAATGACTTGATTATGTCCGGGTCTACTGCTTGCAGGGTAAAGGCAACCTGATTATCTATAATATTATAAAGATAATTATTAATCTCTTGAAACTGAAGATATGTTTTACTGCCTTATTTCTTGATAGCGTGGCCCAGCTCTTGCTGGAGATCCTGTTAGACATGGTTCAGGTGCTTAACTAGGGCTGGGAGGGCCTGCTAGAGTTAGACTTCTTCAGGCTCTTCTATATCTTATATAGATTACTTGACCTCCGTAGCAAACGCCTCGTAATTGTCTCACAAAAAAATGGGGTTGCTTTAAATAGGATGCAATGGAAACTGCTTATAAAAGATAATAGAATCTTGTAGAAGAATTATACAGAGCTGGATAATAAGTTATAAGAATCCCTGGGCTGCTATATCTTGTTGATTATTCTTATTTATCTTTTCTATTTTATTATTACTTGTCTTCTTATTCTGCCGACTGGCGTCTCTATAAGATTTAAACTAGTCCAGCTATTCATTAACCCATGGCCATAGAGCATGAGTGAGAGACTTAGAAGATTAAATTTATACTTAGAATAAATAATAATTCTCTCTGATAGAAGGCTCGAAGCCCGCTATTGTCTGTATGAACTTTTGCGGAAGGTGAGTGAGATAGTAATTTCTTAGAATATTATTATTCCAGTGCCCAGCGCGGTAAATTTGGTTTTTTAATATTCTATTTAGTTCTGTCTATCTAGCTTTTTCGGATTGGCTGATATAGGTCTTTTTTACCAAGTTGAGGCCAACCTGGGCAAATACACGGTTGATCTAGTAAAGCTGGGTGTTATATAAAAGTGGTTTTTCTGCTGATTCTCCCTTAAGTAAATATAAGTTATACCACTGGGACCGCTGGCAAAACTGAGGCACGGGCTTGTATCTAATATTCTATTAGAAAAAAAGATAGAATACTGTGTGGGCCATTGTACAGACCATTGGGTTATGATGTTGTATTACTGAGTTATATTCTAGGCGGCCTATTGTATTTGTTTTACCATTATCTATAATCATAATTATTGGAAAACAAGGCGTGGGCCCTTTATTTTTTAAAGAAATGGTAAAAAGATCTGCGAACTGCAAGCTCCGGCGTGACTGGCCCCGTGTAATCATATGGTGCGAGAAAAGGAAGTCCACGACTGTATGTAGGTGGGATTCAATGCTCTGCGGCTTTCTGCTGCGGCTTCCTGCGCTGGGAGTTTTCGGGTAGATTTTGCGCCCAGCTGTTCCAGCAGTATTGAACAAAAGTCTTTATCCTTTTTTTATCATAGCCATCCAACAAAGTGCCTGCTGCCCAATCAAGATATTAATCCCGTTTTTATATATACTTATAGTGTGTATGGTCATCTAAGAGCGCGGTGACTGTCTCGCTGTGAAGGTTTAGATTTAGGTTAATTCCGCTGCTTTTCTGATATGATTAAAGATCTATAATTGCAGATATGTAGCTCTGTATAGAACTCTTTCTAAGAGTATGGATGATCGGCTCCCCTTCTTCAGTTGTACGGTACTTCTTATACTAACAGAATCAGACTTCACGGCTGAGGACTTTCTCTTTAAGAAACCAGACAAGCTTATGTTCCGTTACCAGTTCGCCGTCGGGAAAGCTGATTTGTTTGACCTAATTTATCTATTCTTTCTGCTTTGGATTGTACGCCTTTGACGTATTCTCAGGCTGGTTGATTTGAGATAGATTCAAGGTGTCTTCGCTATACGAAGCTAGCTGCCTAGCTATAGCCACATGACGCTCTGTTACAGCGGCCATGTCCGAGGACGTAGAGCTGCTGGCATCAAGGAGCCCATCCTATGAGGGGAATAAAGAAGGACACGGCCGTTTCTGAGATATAAATAATCTAGTGAAAGGAGGTTGATGAAGAGGACTTAACTTTCAGGTCTATTTAATATTGTAGAGGTCTCACCCGGAGGATTCTACTATAATAATCTGACAACAGTATTATAATACGTGGAAACACAAGCATAAATCGACGCGTGCAATAATGTTGAAGCGGTATGTGTAAATTGCTGTAGGTGGGTAAGTATGCGGAATGCTCGCGCCCCCCGCTGTATTTCAGCATATTCGGGAGATGGGTGGTTACGCCATAGTAACCTACGTAATCACCCGCCGCGCCGGACCCCCATATATCGCCTATATATCGGACTCACTTCCCCCCTCGCTTATCTGGACCTATACATACGAGCACCATCCTTGGGCCCCCGGGATAGCTTCGAGGCTCCGGGTCAGATAGCGCTTGGCGATCCGAATGCCGCATTTCCCCTCTTGCCGCCTCCCTGTCGTCTCCTGGTTTCGAGTCTCTACAGGTCATACAGTGCCTGACGAACAACAGAACGGAATAAGTCAAATGACTTGCCTCGGACACTGTTGACGATGTTCCGCAACAGGTATGGTTGACATACCGGATGCCGACGATTCGCCGGCCATTTTCATACTGATCGGGATGTCACCCTTGCAGAAAGAATTCCCAGAAGCCAGACGACCTCCTCATCCAGAAATTTCGAAAGACCTTCTCAGATATTGTTTTCCCAGTCGTCCACCGCAATGCCACGCGCTTCGGTCAGACGCCCATTGGACCTATCACTCTGACTAGGTAAAAATGCCTTTCTGCAGATGATAACCTGCTGCTACTTGTTGTCCGTTTCCCATTCTTATTCATCAGAGACAATAGCCTGAAAAACTACGATCTGGGCGACAGCTAACATGATATTACTGCGCCAGGCGGGAAATGAATAATGATACGAAGCTCAGTGATTCTACGCCCCGCACAACAGAAGACATGCGGTTTCCAGCTCCCTATACCGATCCGAACGCTGTCTCTTATGTAATCCCGCTACAACCACATAGGAGCTCCACGCCCAATTCAGGTAGACTGGGTGCCGTGTACCATAGTCAAGCGGGGGAATTGCATTTTCCTGTGATGGGTCTGAGTATGATTACTCCGCTCTCTCTCCCGCAGCAGGTTTCTGCAGCTCCTGTTAACCCCGAAACTGCAGCCTCAGATCTTGATAACTTTGACCAGTAATATATTCTCCCACACTTCCATTGTCCCCAGCTGTTTGCTCAGCAGCCAACCTTTGCACCCACGGCTTTCGTTCAGAGTGATGCAGGTTACGATACCATGGATGAGTCTGTTGAAGAACACTCTCTAAATAATATGGATGTGCAGAGTAACACGCCTTCTCACAATCTTGTATCATCAATTCAAGACGATCAAGCGAGCATTATGAACCCAGGTGAAACGTGAGTTATTAGAGTCTATCTCATTGCGTCTGTTTAATAGTGCTTAACTGTTCTGGATACTGCAGTCTTTGCTATCGCATCACTTTGTGCGTACCTACAGCAATGATCAATGACCAAGCCGAGATCCCAGTTACTTATCTTAACAAAGGCCAGGTGTACTCGGTGTCTGTGATTGATTGTATACCGCCCTCCATGACTATGCGATCGATCAAATATCGAATCTATATCCGTGTGTCATTCCAAGAAGAAGAGCAGAGGGCAAAGCCAGTTATTTGTTGGTGACTATGGAAAGAAGGTCGAGGTTCCGATGAAGTGTATTGATGAGGCGGCAAGCTCCAAGCAGTGGAGTATGTTGATCCTATACAGGGAGGTATCAAAGAGACAAAGAACCGGCAGGTCTAGCTCGAGAGCTTAGTATTTGATGGATTCTGCATTACATGGACTTGTAACCTGTTAACTGGGGCCTCAGAATATTTGATACCTGTCCGGTTTAACTTCTTATCAACAGATTTCAGTCTGTTGAAGGGTGTTGAAGGTATCCCAGTCAGATTGTGTGCGAAGACAGAAATGCTATCTCCGGATTATGCAAGCTCAACCCCGGGCAGGGAGGCAGAGGTATACTACTGCAAGGTCAAGCTTTTCCATGACCATGGGGCTGAGCGGAAGCTCTCCTGTGATGTCGCTCATGTTAAGAAGATAATCGAAAAGCTTTGACAACAGATCGCCCAAGCTGAGATGGGCTCCGGTAACTGCGGCAAGCGTAAGTATAGCAATGGCTTGGTTGTACTCAAGGGCGCTGATCCCCGCCCAGCCAAAATTACCAAGTATAAACGGGTACGGCCCATGGGCTTGCAGGACGGCCCTGGCAAAATGCGTTTGGAAGGTGATCTCCATGCGAAGCTTGCCTTAATGCAAGGTATGTTTATATTAATGCGGCTGGTAAGCGTCCTAGGATTGCGGGGTGAAGAGTAAGATGACCCGGAGTTGTACCCTGTCATGCTGCCCGAGTCGTGTGTTTTTGTTGAACAAGAGAACAGTCGCGGGTCTTGGCTCAGTATTAATGGTTTGTCTTTGCACGCTGTTTTACCTACCAGCAGTAGCATCTCCGTGAGCGCGCTATTCCTTCCTACTAATCTGCAGTCGAATATGTTCTATTGCTCAGGGTATCATTGATTATTGACCACCTCCCGAGGAAATTCACTACCATGCTCTGAAGTCCTGGGCGACATGGTCACGCTAAAGTATCCTGTCAAAGTACCGAAGTTCACTTTAACCGTCGGTAACGCCAACATGGGATACATAGAGGCAGTAGACATTGACCCAAATTATCATCCACCGGCGGAGCGACCAGTAATCTCAAGTTAAGTTACTGATTCAGTAACACCAAAGACAGGCGAACTGACATCATCCTAGTCGCTTATTTCTACGTACGATTTCCTTGTAACGATCGGCTTTCGGATGACTATTACCGGGCCGTCTATCTGACTGAGCGGACAGTTCGCGATCTGATCGAGAAGATTACCATAAAACAGCGCATTGATCCGCAGCGTGTAGTGCGTGTCCTCCATGTCAAGCAAAATGGCCTCGAAATAATGGTGGATGATGATGTGCGCGAGCTTCCTGACGGCCAGGACATGATTGTTGAAATGTCCGAGGTATCGTCATTCAAGAACGCCGCAGTTACGGGGCCAGGAAATCCTAGTTCAGCCCTCGAGCTCAAATTAAGCTACTAATCCTGCCACCGCATATTACAACGCTCTTTGTTTTCCTTTATCGCTCATAAGTCTTCGTTCCGATTGAGCCTTGCTTGACCAGAAACAGAAGTGAACTTTCCCTTTCGCAGTTGGCTTTCAATCTATGGGCGCCTGGTGCGTTGCGTGAGATACGCTTGGTCGCATACATTGCTCAAGCGGCATGCCTTATTTTGGGGATTTGCTTGCGTCAATCGGGGGCATTCCTTTGGGTACGGAATAATAGGAGTTCTCGGGAAATGACAACTTGTCGCCATATACGCGCTTTGTTGCCTTGCCCCCTTCTTTATAGTCATATCTTGGACGATATCCTAAATGTTTTGTCGGCAGCGTGGTCTGCGTTGTAGGGGTTACACGACCCCAACAATGTTCTTGGTTTTATGATATTATGTGGTTTGCATTTCCGAGGATCTGGCTGAGCTACGACGAACAGAAACTAGATATGCTGTCGATTCCTGTCGTAATTACTTCTGTCCTGCAGTTGTATCTTTCATAGTGGAAGGTCTCAGACAATCTCCCCTCTGGGATCGCTGATTGTTTCCGTTTTCGGATTTGCTGTGTCGGCTACCTACTCTTATGATCCAAGCACTACACCTTTCCGCAAGCGCTCTCAGCATTTGCGCAGCCCAGATTGCCCTTAGCTTGTTATGTGCGCCATTTTGGGTCTTGCGTGTTAACCCGCTTATACTTTGAACCCGATAAAAACGGAGGGGTTGAAGCTGCCATTCGCGTCACATCAAAATCACTAATTGGATACGCGAAGAACCCGCGCAAATAGGGAGGTTACAATATCCGGAACCGGCTTTCTGCTATATGATCTACCCTCAAGATAACAAGGATAATTGGAGCTCGCGGCGTCCTAGACAGTAATCTTTGTGGACCATCGAGCACCTCTTATTGCAACAACGTTCAGAGTAGGGAGGGTCAATGTCAAAACGCGTTGACCCCAAGCCCAGGCGACGAAAATCGATCCTACAGCGATTACATCATAATGGACAGTAGATACGTAGATAGATCAACTAGATAAGTGCCGCGTGCCTTTTCCTACAAGGGTCGCTAAGCTAGCGCCGTCATTTGCAGCAAACTTGTGCGCCTGACAGAAGACAGTCCAGGCCACGCAAAATTCGTCGACATAGGTCGAACTCTATGAGCTCTCGCCCACATCCAGCTGATGCGTACCTTTTGGCTCAAGTGTGTTTAGTCGTTACTACTGCGAAATTCTGAGATGAGGAGTCACAATATCAAAGTAGGTAGTCGACGGCTGTTCGACTCGCATAATAGCTAAACAATAGCTCCAATCCTCATTTTTCACTTTCCGTTCTATGGCACGTCAAGCGAAGGAAGCCCTCCCGGAATCCAAAAGTCCGCCGGCAAGACAACCCGATACGGTTTGAGGGCCCTCTACACCCTTCATCCGACTTACAGCATTTACGGTATGGACTCAATCAGCTTGTTTTGCCAGCAAGCCCTGATTCATCTCCTCTTGCTGGTCACCTCATACGTATGTCGACCTGGTGTTGCACGGTAGAAAATGACCGGGTAAATCATTGTAGCCGCGGCAGATAAATAACTTTCGATCATATGGTCCCACTAAAGTATGCTCTCTGAGGCCGGAACTGGTGCAACCGATCAGGCGAAGCGATGACTGCAAATGGCGACCACAATCAAATATGAATGCGGTGGAATAAGGGGGTCACGGTTGAATGAGGACTAAAACATCGACGGATCCATTTGGTCTCGGTCCACTATAGCCTCCCGAGGAGCTCATTGTGACTCCCAGAACACACAGAGTGCGGGTTGGGGGTTTGAGCGTCCTGTATAAGTTAGGTAGAGCGACGTTCCGCATTTGTCTTTCGTTGCTGCGATGTTCCATGGGGAAAGAAAAAACATTCTACAAGGGAATAAGGTAGGAGCGGTGGGTGAACTCAAAAACAAAATACTCCAGGGTAAATTAGATGTCAGCTACGCTCAGCTATGCATGTGGCGATAGTAAGCGAGCATGGCCCTTTCCAACCGCAGTCCCTGTCCCCAAAGCTGCTATTACGTATCTTCAGATACCCATGTTGCGTCACGGATCTGGACTTTCCGGTGCTATTTCATGCGCTTACTGTGGCAACAAAACATCGGGCGCTCTGGTCTGTCCAGGCTCGTATCGCCTTGCCGCTTCGCCCAGTACAGAACGGGCAGTCAAGCGATCCATTGTAAGTTATCCAAGGCCAGCACCCAACACCTGAGATCAGCCTCCGTCAACTGAAACTGATCCCGCTGAGGATTGTTTGGAGAGTGCCGCCTTTCCTCCTGGTCGTTACTAAAATGACTTCTGAAAGCTTCTGGTTTGGCTCACGCTGCCCAAAATGCCCCTCCATTGCACGGCACATTAACAGCAGACATGTAGTACGCCGCGCAAAACCAGAGCGTCTAGATGTTAGACTAGGCTGGTTGCAAAATGGCAGGCTGCCTAAGGGCCCAGGTAGTATAATGGGGAGGAGGTGGAGCAAAGAACCGGGAAGGGAGAGAGAGTTTGCCAGCCGTCTCGATGTCCGAATAGCGAATGATGACATCACCGACACGTCGACGCAAATATATAGAGAACGCTGCGATCGCTTGAACACTGTTGGTCACGCAATGAGAGCGTGTCGTCAATATGCCTGATCAAAACCTACAGACCACCAAATCCCAAGCCGAGCGCCGTCATTCGCGGCTCCCCCCAGAACTGCAGCGCCTTGTGGACGAGGAAGAAGACTACCTGTCTGCATGCGGGGACTTTGAGAATTCTTGGACGTCCACGTACGTTTTCGCCCAGAAATTCCTTGCTAATGGCTCTTTTAACTAACCTTTCTGAAGACGCCCCAAGGAAGAAGCCGCAAAGGCCGCTAGCAACGGACCTAGCAGTGTGGATGCAGGACGGCAGCAACAGAATGACGGAACCATGCAAAATATGCTCTTAAGCTTCCGAGAAACAGAAGAAGAATAGGTACCTTCGTATGAGCGGGGTCCGGGCATACGCTAGGCATTTCCTCTTTCGTATTTCTCACTGTTTGTTCGTACGGCTCCCCTCGACCGTATATTCAACTAGGTTCTCGACCAACTAACACTGCCGGAGTACCTATGGTAGTCTTCTATCATCCATGATAACACTTTAAATCTACAAGGGCCGAGTGCCTTGCTTCGGATCCTGTTAGAATTGTCACGAAACAAAGCAGGTCAACATTCCGCGCAAACTGTGCCTACCTCTACACCCCAGCGAGGTGTCAGAAAACGATCAGTTGGAATTCAAAATCTGGAATCTTTCCTAAGAGGAAGAAATAGGAAAGAAAGTCAAGCTGAAAGTCCGAAGAGCGCTTTATTGTCAATGGAGGTTTCATTTATGCGGGCATGCTTAGACTGACCTCTTCTTGGCTTAGTCTGTGTAGGTCCACTGCTGTGCAAAAGGCATGCCCCTAGATATACTCGTAAAACGTTTCACGAATGTAATGCCAAGATCACTGAAGCGCTCAAGCGAGCTTGCTTTCGGTGTGTCTCCTCTGTTGTAATTCAAAGGAAGCTTGAATATTATTATTATTCAGAGGGAAACATGAGGCTATATATACAACGAGAAGATCAACTTGATTGGAAATCAAGTTGATTCTTCGTATACATACTTCGGGATTAATTCCGATGGTTCGGCTTGGTTCCTGATCTGCACCAGCCTCATATTACAACAGAGATTAAAATTCTGTATGCTGTACTTTTACCAGCTGCTGTCCTCGATGGAATGGAGCAAGGAAGAATCGAGGAAGAAGCTCACACGTACTATCCATATATGTGTGTGTGTGTGTGTGTGTATTCATACTCTGACCCCTCGCAATTTAAAGCGATATGCAGGATCTCTTTATATACATTGAACCACTACTTTCCTGACGAATTTGGAGCCTCGCCGAGGCCTATGTTGGCCTAGTCGCCTAGTGTTTTGTTCTGCGGCCCTCGTGGCGCGCGATTTCGAAACCTCTGGGACGCTTCTGCAAAGTCCAGTACAGCCCCGAGGGTGCCGTGGTCTTGTTCAGCGTCTTGTGCCTTACATTCCTTACCTTGTTGCCCTCCTAGCATGTTTGAGATGCTGTTAAACGCAGCTCCAATCTTCCTCCGCAGTTGTTGTCGCAGGTATCTGAGTTCCGGGCAGTCCACCAGTACGTGGACTACCGTCTCACGAGCTCCACAGACACATCTGTCATCGTCCTGGAACCCATGTTGTTTCTGGTACGTTGCCAGCCAAGAATGACCCGTCCAAAGTTGTGTGAGTAGATATGCTCGATTCCGTGGGAGCGATCCGTACAGTCTTCGGGTACGGATTGCTGGCAGGGTTTTGTCGATCTGGCGGAGACGACCCCCCTTTGTAGATCTGGCCCACTCTTCCTTCCACTCGTTTAGAATTCTCTTCCGGATGAAGCCCTTTTCACGCGAGAGAAGGGGCTGGAAGGGGTGCATTTTCCTCGGGCCTACCGCTTCCTTTGCCAGCCGGTCGGCCTCGTCGTTTCCGGGATCGTTGCAATGCCCTGGGACCCATTGGAGGCGAATTGGGATTCCTCGCGCTTTCATTTCGGAGGCTGCCTGCAGTATGGCTCGGATGATTCGCTGGCCGGACCTGTTGGACGGGTTACGAATTGCTTGCAGCGCTGACATGCTGTCGCTTAGAATGGTTGCGGGATATTCCACTCTGTCTAACTGGCTTTGCCTTTTCTGAGTTACCTGAAGGACCAGGCTGATGGCGTAAAAGATTGCCATGAGCTCGGCTGCGTATACCGACCAATGTTCCATTGAACCAATGCTGACTTGTCGCCACTCCGAGGCTTGCAGGTCTCCGTTGAGAGCTACCGCTGCGGCCCCTAGGTGGTTCTGCTGGCCGGATGCATCAGAAAACACTGTAGTTCCGGGCATATCCCGTCTGGTCGCGGCATTATCCTTTGCCTGTTCCCGGTTTGGTTCGATCTCGATCTCAGCAAACGCTTGCGCTCGCCAGGGCGCTAGTGGGGTGGGGTCGATTGTCTCCAGGGCGCGCAGGCGGCGGAGGTCCATCGTTCGTAGTGTCTTAGCCAGCGGGAAGTAGCAGTGATGTCCGAGGTGTGTGCTGCGGGCCCTTGCTCGATCCATTACCTCATGGATTGGGTGATGTTCCGGCACTGTGCTTAGGCTGGCTGCGACGAGCTGGGCGCGTTGTTTCAGTCGTAAACGAGTTGATAGTATGTAGGATTCCACTTCGAGTGCCTGTGTAGATACGGTCCTAAAGGCAGAAAGATTCCGTATCAGGGCAGCTCGCTGGATGGTTGCCAGCTGCCGCAGGTGGGTCTTATCCTTTAGAGGATTATGCCACACGGTAGATGCATAATCTACCACTGGTACTACGCAGGCTTGATAGAGTTGTCTCATCTGTTCCGGCCATAGGTGTCGGAGTCCCCCTAGTGCAATATTGACTTTGGTTGCTCGTTTGAGCACTTGCTGGACATGCTCCTTCCATCGCAGTTCTCTGTCGAAGATCACTCCAAGGAGCTTTACCACTGCGGTGGGCTTGATGACCTTGCCGTTCATAGTAATTTCTCCCTGATTTTGTTCCTTCTTGTTTCTTGTCAGGTGAATCAGCTCTGTCTTCTCCGCTGCAAAGCATGAGCCAGTCCGTCGGGCCCACGCTTCGATGCGTGGGATACCTTCTTCCTGCAGCTTCCGGAGGTTTTCCTCCGCCGACGGACCCACTCGCCAACGGAAGTAGTCGTCAATAAAGGCGGATGCTCCTCCTTTGGCATCCACTGGTTGATCTACCAGATCCGAGTTGAAGAAGGTAAAGAGGATCGGTGACAGAGGCGAGCCTTGGGCTAAGCCCGCATTTTCTACCAGTGATAGTTGTGTTTCAAAGTCGTCGAAGGCAATGCTCGCATGTCGGTTCTCCATGAAGCTATGGATCCACTGTCTGGCTATAGTCGGTATGCCTTTGGCCCGCAGGTGCGCTTCTAGGCTACGCTTATTGACTCCGTTGAAGGCCCCCTTGAGATCGAAGGCGATAAGTGTTACTACCCTTGTTCGCACCTGTAGCCACGCTCGATCAACCGCATTCGCGAGGACCAGTAGCGCTTGCTCCGTGTTTCGGCCAGGGCGTCCTCCGAACTGCGTTCCCGGCAACAGCCTATGTGATTCGGCCCAGTATAACAGCCGCCTGGCCATTACTGCCTCTAATATTTTCCCGAGGGTGTTCAGCAGCGAAATCGGTCGGTATGCTCCAGGGATTGTATAGTCGGCCTTTCCAGGTTTTCGCAGGACCACAATCTTTGCCCTTTTCCATCGGCCGGGATAGTAACCTAGTTCAACTGACTTGACAAAAAGGTGGGTGATTGTCGTCCCCAGATAGGACCACAGATTCTTCCACACCAAGGTCGGGATCCCATCTTCGCCGGGAGCGGTGGTTGCTTTGGCGGCCTTGACTGATCTGTAGACCTCCAGCTCGGTGATTGGTTCCCACTGTATCTCTTCCGCTGGCGATCCTGGGCACTCTAATTCTGCGTCTGCGTCTGCGTCTGCATCTGCATCTACCATCTTGGGGAAGAATGAATCAAGAAAGGCTTTTGCTTTTGCCTCGTTATCTACTACTTCCTCAGAACCGATGGTCAATGCGGGAATGGTGGCGTAGTCCTCCCGCGGGCGCATATAAGTCGCCGCTTTCCACAGGTGTCCTTCTCCGGCTTTGTCTAGGTATCCCTTCCAGTGTGCGGCTTTGGCTTTTTCGATGGTCCGCGTCCACTGTCGACGCTTCCCTTGCATGTCCGCAAAGAGGGCCTTGGAACTGGAATGATGCGGTCCCAGGTCTGCACAGCTACTCTGCCATCTTCGGCGGGCTTGGTTGACTCCAACCTGTTGGACCTTGAGTGCAGGGCTAAACCACCGTTTGGAGTATGGCGATGGCCGGTGGCTCGGGATGTGTCGATCAAGGGCGGCGATGGTCGAGCTAATCAGCTTCTCCACCGCTTGGTCCAGGTCTGCGGTAGTGACAGTGGTAGATAGGGTGGTAGATAGCGTAGTCGTCTGGGACTGAATATCTTGGCCAATCTTCTCCTAGTTTGCCCGGTCGTACGCCCTCTTTGGATTTGACGGCTTATTTCGCCTAGGCTGCAGGTCCCATTCTGAGAGGGTTCCACGGTGGTCAGACCCGTAGTTGTCGTGATATAATTGGCAACGGATGAGTCTCGTAGGATCGTCAGTTACGGTGAGACCTATGGTGGATGATTGTCCTGGCCTATGTATGGCCCAGTATGTCGGTATGCCCCGCGGTAGACACCACTGGAGTCGATGCATCTGGAAGAAGTTGATGAGCTCGTCGGCATGTTCGATCAGGCGGGGAGCGAGCGGCTGGTGGTTCCATGCCGGATGGTGGCGATTAAAGTCCCCAGCCAGGATTAGCTTCGTTGTTCTGTTCGTGCTATTTGAATGTTCCTCAATAGTCCTCTGAATTGGGTCTAGTAGTTGCTGGGCGCTAGATTCGCGGGTTGGTTGGAGGAGCGTGACAGGCGGGATGTAGAGTGAGAAGACAAGATATTGGATGTCTGCCGTCCAGATTTTGACCGCAACCACATCGGGATGATTGCAGCGAATTTGTCGATGTGATGATGTTGACAGCCGCTTATTGACGTACAACAGACTGCGGAACCGCGTAGCTTCCTCGGTGTAAGTAGGGCGGTAGAGCCGCCATGCGCTATGGTTGACGTAGGTGGGATACGCGGAAATAGGGGGTTCCTGGATTATGAGGAGGTCGAGGTTGATCGTTTGGTGGTCGTTTATGAGGGCTTCCATTCCTGCCCTAGATTTCATGATGTTCAACTGTAGGATACGGAGATTGTGCGAGGTCATTGGGAGGACCGGGGGTGGAGGGGCTTCTGGCACCTCCGATCTCCAGTGGGATGTTCCTCATTGCAGTCTCAGCACCGGGGTCTCACCCCGGGAAAACAGTGGCGTTGGTCATGGGAACCCGCGCAGTATCCGCAGCGGACCCGCTCCGTGCATGACCAGGCAAGGTGGCCAAATCGCTGGCAGCGGCGGCACCTCTTTCGTTCAACCCGATAGGGTTCCACGCTCCCGATGTATCTCTGTCCCACCAGAAGCCCATTGTTGAGGATAGAATCAGCGGCTTCTGGGGTACTTAGCCAGATTCCCATCGTTGCGGAGCGTCCTAAGGGGATTTCTTTTCTTTTCAGCCACGTGATATCTTCGATCTGGTATCCTTTTCCCGCCAGGTCATTCTCCTGCATGATCTTGTCGATGCTGTCTCCTTTATTTCGGTCCAGATCGAAATCCTCAGTCGGGACGCGGTGTACCACCACTCCGAAGCGAGGTTTTACGAGTTTTGTTTCATTGCCTAGCTCTCCCAGCCACTCGGGGTTGTTTCGGGCTGTGGTTGCCGACTGTTCGTCTTTGAATCGAACGACGTAGCCTGTTTTGGTGGTCCCTATTCCCGCAACCACGGTGTCCTTGGTGGCTTCCGCATGCGACAGAGCTGCACGGATACGCGTGTTGGCAATATCGGTGGGCAAGTACCTCGTGAATACCTCGTGGTCTCCGTTGTCTGCGTCTTCTGTCGGGCGTGCTGTGCTGATCCGAATACAGTTCGGCTCTTTGCGGGGTCGGGGTATTCTCTGTTCAGCCTCTCCGCCTGCCGCCTCGGCTGCGACCGCGGCCCATGTTCTGGGTTGGGGGGAGGCTGCCCAGGTGTCAAACCGTGCTCGCAGATCACGGACTTCCTTAATTAGCTGGAGATTCTGGTTTTGGAGGATTTGCTGTTCGTTCCGAAGTTGCTGTAGCTCTCGTTGGGTCGATTCGATGATCGTGCTTTGGTGCTGGATGATGTCCTTCAAATTGTTGATCAGGCTTCCCACTACTTGGGTTGTGATTCTTGTTTTTCCATCCTCAAGGGACGGGAACTCGACTGCCGGGATGGTCACATTCTTAGTTTGTGCCCGCGTTGCTCGTCCCTTTCTCACTGGTAGGGGGCCAGCTTCATCCCTGTCCCTTGCAGAGTTTTCCGGAGTCCTCGGGGTGTTCTCGGGACCACCCGCCGGCGGAACCGCCATCGGGCCGCGATTAGTTTCCGCTCGCCACACACAACACAACCACGATTTCGATTGACGACGGTCGATTTGATATCAACCCTCTTTTTCCTCTCAGGGGCCGTTTTTTCGATATCCTAGCTGTCCGGTCCTGGAGATACAGAATTTCCCGTCCGGGAGCTACAGAGTAGTAGTAGTAGTATATTCATACGCTGACCCCTCGCCGGAGCGATATGCAGGTATCCACTATATAGTTATCTCTCTAAATACATGTCTTTCGCTGTAAACTATTTCTTTCCTGACGACTTTGGAGCCTCGCCGAGGCCTGTGACTGTTTCTCTTCCTCGCCACCTTGCCATAAGGGGGAGGGTTGGGTACTATTATGGGAACGAATTCCATTGTTGTGGTAATTGTGGTGCCGGCGATGGGAATCGAACCCACCACCTCCAAAAAGCAAGGTGACCAATCCCGCATTTTCTTGGAGGTTGCCTCGGAGCGCTTACCACTACGCCACCGCTACCGGCACGGGGGAGCTACAGAGCCGCCCGAAATTGCCTTCAATATTCTGTATAGAAAAAGATGCCTCGGAGCCCTAAATGCCAATCCATTCTATACTATCTACGGCTAGCGTCATATGTAAAATTCGTTTTGTCATTCAGAGTCTCTGTCTGAAACGGCCATACAGATGAGTAATCTGTACCATAGCTGTATTATTACGATCCTACCCGCGCATGGTCTCTTGGCTCGACGCTGTCAGCAGATGACTGGCCTATCAGATGCGTCCCCTTGAATTATGTCAAGGATCCTGAGCGAAGTCATGTGATAAATTGGTCGCCATCCCAACTTCGACTTCCTGGCCCGACAGGCAACCTGGTGAGGAAGGGGTAAACGTTCCAAATACAGCATCATACCTTTAATCATCCAATTACTTTTTTTTTTTTTTAAACACTTGAAACCATATACAGTATGATATCTTGGCCAGAACAGTGGCTATACTCGCAAGATGAAGCTCTCTTTCAAACAATGCTCAGCTGACGGATGCAACGTCACTTCCGCGACGGGAGAGTACGACTCGATGATGCTCAGGATCGGTTTTTCTAAGTGCTGCAAGCATCTCGACTGCAACGATGCCGAAGTCGTCTCGCGGATTTATCCCGGTCCTCGGCATCTGGACGTGGAAATGATTACAGTGATCTTTTATAACATCGGTTTGAGCAAGGACGGTCAGATCGAGCATTTGTCGGCATTTTCTACCACCGGCGATAACTTTTCTTCAATCATAAACACAACCCCTAGGGCAAATACAAGTATAATCTTGAGGAACTTCTCTTCCGATGTCTACAACGCATTGTCATTGGAGCCTAGTGATGCGATGGAGAGATTCATCAACTGGATAAACATGACGCACTCTACGAAAACAGGAAACACGGACCCAAAAAACATCGTGCTTACAGCGCATTTTGGCTCCTGCCATGACCATATATACCTGCTAAGGACAATGATTGGCTATGGTATCGGGCCACTCGACTTTAGGCTCGCGGACTCCCTTGCGCTCTTTAAGACAATCAAAGGACCAGCCGAGCACTCAAAAATTGCCTTGCTCGTTGCTAAATACGCTGAATGGTCGCCCTACATGCCCGATGGTGCGGACAGTAAAGCACGGGCTCTCAGGGCCGTGGTCATGGCTGCGTTTCAGGAAGTACGTTCGGCTTGCTACGCGTTCAGTATCAGCTGCGAACGTTTCAAGGAGAGGACAGGCTTAAACGCGCTCGAATTTGGTCATCTGAAGTACATTCATCACAGTCCAATGCACAATAGGGCCATAATTTGCGGAGAGAGTGGCAAAATAATCGGTTACGAAGCTCACCAACCCCAGAGATGAAGATGGATCTGAAAGTGATGTACAATGACATGAGCTGCGTTCTTGAATACTGCCGGGGATAAGTGTATGCACCATGACCTGTGTTTAAATTCTAGCTTTCTAATAAGTAGAGACTTTTATCCGCAGACAGGTGGGTATGAAGCGTTGAGGGACGTAGTGTTTCAGAGGACTTTGGTGTCCACTTTATACATATCAGCAGAGTTACAAAAACTTTCAGAAATCTTCTAGACTGCTCATTTATAGTACATAATCACAGCCTTTATTCAAATAACTATGGTGCCAGTTCGGAGGCGGTCTCGCTTAGTTGATTCCAGGCCTTTGTCTCCTAGATACCATCTATCTTACCCTAATGCGTAATATTTCCAGTAAGATACCAAACATATGACTTACGGCCTATCCAGATTAAGGCTAGCATATCATGTGATTAGGATTTGATGTGGGAAGCGACCAATTGTTCTCCTATTGGGTGGCCGGTAGGCCAGCTATACAGGTGTAACTGCTTACTAAGTGATGACTAAGCGAGAAACCCAGGGCAGGCGGAAGGGGACGTCCGTATGTTCCGACACATGTTAACTATCATGTTAACTCTACGCTTCGGCGGCCGTAGCCAAGATAAGGTCAATACGATCACTCTTTTTACTCTACTTCCTTGAGCCAGTGCATACATTCCGCTGGTCATCGCACTGTGTCTAATCATAACAAATAGTTATGGGTCTTCTCATTGTTCTCCCCCTTTGACGTCTTCGGCTGCAGCTGAGTCATCATCAGTTGTAGGATTGGAGTCAAAATCCTTCTCCGTTTTCTGAGTCGGCCGTGGATAGTATATTTCCCTATTTAGTGTTAGTTTACATACCGACAGCAAGCATGCTGAAAACGTACTAGTTGCGAGGAAAGGTCTGACCAGAATCCTGTCGAATCGGAGAGAAATGTAGTGACTTGGCCAGACTCTCGAATGCGAATACCCAGGCAGACGTCAGCATCACACAGCTTGCTGTATTCGTAGGCCTTTCGTAAGAGGCTCTTTTTGCGCCGGTCTCGTTTCTGTCGCATCATCTTCTTGGGTGAGGTTGGGGACTTGGGTGACTTCTGCTCGTTTGGTTCCTTTGGCATTGTATAGAGTTCCGCGAGTTACTGTAATCTGCAGGTAGTCCTCTTCTTATCTCCACATCTCAAATCACGGACCCTCGCAGTGTTTATTTTGACTACAGAATTAAAGAGTTTAGGTGGTCTACTGGGTTTTGACCATCATCAAGGGATATCCTGAGTGGTTCAACATGTTCAAGTACATATGGCACCAGATACACAGTTATTCTGTCGCGAGAGCGTTGCTTGTGTTGAACACGGCTACAGTGCAACAGAAGTTGAACCCAAAGAATATGTTACTGTAGTATTATTAGTGAAGAGTTGAGCAAGGACTCAATGGAGGACTGTGTTCAACTGGTCTTGTTCGACCATAAGAGCCTTCGGCGAATCACTAGTCGAAGAAGGTTCTCAATGCTCTAGGCAGACGTGCTGGTGCGCAGCGCATGGTTAGGTATTTTGGAGGCTCGGCAACTTGGCGCCGAACATTCTCCAGATCTAGGGCCCACGCTCCTAGATCCGAGATGTCTCCAGAACTATTGCCTAAGGCCATTATGGCCAGCCCAAGCCCTACAGCTTGACCGACCCCACGAGCCCCGGTTGCCGTTCTGCCGTTTTTGTTCCTGTTGAAGATAAGTAGACTTTTGGATAACCAAATAGAGCCTTTTCCTAAATTTTTATAACCAGTATAGCAGCCATCGCTTGTGGCTCTGCTACCCTTGTGAACTGGCATCCCGTGCGCCGGCGTTTGAGACCGACACTAGTGAGGTACTTCATCCCTGACCTCCACTCATTGGTGCCGTGTTAGCCGAAGCTGAGAGCACCCTTATATCCCATCATTGTAAGAGATGGGCTATGATATCTATTTAGATTATCTGTCTGCTACTCCGTTTCTCCTTTCACATACAGATTGGATCGCTGTCATCCAATATCATTATCCTAGCTCACCCCAGCTCACCCTCTCCGCGCGACCTCTCAGCCGACCGGTCAGCTATAAGAGAAATAGAAACTGCACATATCTGTCTCGCGTCTTCACAGGCTTGGATCCCCCATTGTCTAGCAGTGCAAGACAAGACTGATATCCTCTATGGCAGCACGACCGCGAAGAATACAGAAACGTCTTTCAGATAGTCTAAAATCGAAGCACTAATAATAGAGTTGCTGAAAAGATAACTTGTCCTTCAAATTCTTCGAGTACTGTCACGAGTGTGATGCGGATATATTTATCATAGTCTGAAATAAGAAAACTGGCTAAATTCTATTCTTTAATTCCAACAGCAACTGGCCCCATTACTAGAGGAGCTGGTACAATATTCTTCTATGATAATATTGAGAACTATTCTGACAAGATGATTTATAGGCTTTGTATTATCCAGAGCCGAAACAGATCACGTGGAACGAACTAGCTGCCAAATACGCGATCAAAGAGTCACAGAACGTACTGAGTGACCAGCCACAAGCCCAGGCAATTGAAAAAGTTCATAGTGCTGTAGCGGGGTCGAGAAATGAGAGTGAGGTTGTGGCATATAGAATAGATTGCGAAGGCCCCGGAACCGCGAATGACACTAGAGTTTGCAGTTGAGCCCAACTGGTACAGTAAAGCAGACAGTATATACCATGATTTATCATGTTACCTAGGTCTTTGTCGCGAGGGTTTGGATTGCTTCGTTTCTACTAAATGGAATAGCACTTATGCTTATTGAGCTCCGAGCCTACTCCAGCATTTCCGCTGTATTATTATATTGCTCAGTATAGACCTTATTGACCAGATAGTCAAGGCCATGCTGCCTAGTATTTAGCTGGAGATCTTTATAGAGCGTGTCAATTATTCCAGTCCAGCTGTGCTCCGTTTCCTACCTCATACTCTACTCTAAACTTGTCCAGGTCTTCGGGCTATATTTGCTACACCAGCAAATATTCTGACCAGACTACTTTGTCAGGTCTGAAGATTAATCTGGAATGTGTTTTTGTCTGAAAAGATATATAGCTAGTCTACAGAGACTCTACATTTCTGGAAGGGCTATGGTAGTCTGCTAAGACTTCATTGGTCCGGGAAGATAATTCAGTCCTTTTGGACCAGAATAGTCTAGGCAGATGTACCTTATCTGATGGGAATATCCGAGTCTGCTAATAGTTATATTAGTATGAGAGGATAGCCCAGTCTTTCTGGGCCCCAGGGGATACTGACCTGGATCCTTGGGGAGATTGGAACTGTACGCAAAAGAAATAGAATTCGACCAGGCAGAACACTGAGCTCATTGGTTGATTTGGGTAACAAAAGAGCATTGGGGATTCGGGGCGCCCCAGAATACATGTCTGAGCGGAGCTAAGCCTTAGCGGACACCATGGATGTGAAACAAGCGATTGCAGGTCCTGATAGGAGGCTGTGGGTAATTGAAGACTGCGGGTAACCAAAGACTGCGGGTAACCAAAGACTGCGGGTAATTAAAGACTGGAGGCAATTAAAGACTGCGGGTAATTAAAGACTACGGTCAAGAACAAGCTAGCTCAACTTCCAGGAACCAAATTAACAGTTTCTGTGATCTTACCCAGCCTTAATCTAAAACTTTCAGCCGGCGGTCGTACAGTACCGGCTACTTGCCAGATTTCCGACCTTACGTCATGTTTCCCAAGCAGAAAGCTAGTTCTGGTAGGTTCTTATATTTAGTCACGTGATAGATCCCTTACGTAGACAAACTTAGATCATAAGGAGTTTGTTGGCCGACCGAGAGGGAGCAGTGTGTCACGCGTGATACGCTATACCAACTTACGTTTTGACCTTGTTTATGTGTAATAATTGTAATCCGAATGAAAAATTAATGCTACCGTACCTTGTTGTTCGATGGCGCACTTTCCAGGAGTTGTTCATGGAGCGATAAGCAGCGGCAAGAACGACTGAAAGAACCTCAAAACCAACGAGTGACTTCGATAATGGGTTGCAGATGGGTTTTCAGACAGTACTTCGGTATATGTTCGACGTTGCTAAGGCAGGGGATGAGAAAGCAGGTGGTGGAGAGTGTCAACTAACATTGAAGGGAAAATGGTCAGGCCTACCGATTTGCAGCAATGATCGTGAACTGATTTTATTGCCAGGACTTATGGTTACGGTGGGGATGATCTCATTTCGTTACCATGCTGGTAGATCTAATAGTTTCTACTGTAGGCAGGGTGGTAGTGCAATGCACAATGACTTCTTTTGAAAAGAAGTACTATAAGGGCTACTATGAGCAATTATTGACCAGAGATAGAACATATCAAGATGGTGCAGTACGCACCACGGCTGCCCCTCAATGTTTGCCTTAACATTATCAAACGCTTCATGCGTCTTATCTTTGCTCCTTGTATTCAGAATCGCAGCATAGTTTGTGCGACTGGGATGAATCTAGAGCCTCAAGCGTACAGGTTGTTTCCTCATGAATTGAAAAAGAGGGATATAACACGTATTGTGATCATTACTGTAAGTCTTACTCAAAATCACATAACTTCTCACTATATGCCAAGCGACTTTGCTATCATACTAACCGGTTATGAACTAGCGCAATAAGCATGGTATTAAGGTGACATTCTTAAAGGAGACTAAGTTAGCGTTAAGGTGACAAAAGAAAGGAGCCAAATTTCGAATGCGGGCCTATAAAAGTAGCATCCCATATTGCTGTAACTGTCATTCATCACTTCCCAGTTGCCTTTTTAGTACCATTTGAGTGTCCGTCTGGCTGGTTTGCACCTTTGGGGTTGGCAGATTTGCTCCGTAAAGTCTTTGCCATGACTCGAACCACGCTAGAATTGGATGTCGCCTTTGGTAATTCACTGGACGCTGCGCAGAAGAGAGGTGATGATTTGCTAAGCTGGATCACAACGGTGTGTAATGTCATACGATCGTTCTCTATGACTGAAAGGCGCGGAAATATTGTTAGAGCATTCTCATCCTGGATATTCTGTGCAGTTTGTGCCTCCGGTCGGCTGTTGTCGTCTAGAGTAAAGGGAAGCCAATACTCGTCATGGCCTGGCTGTTCAAAATCTGGCTCATATCTTCGCTTGGCACGTCGTATGGGTTGCCAAACTCCTGCGGCTTTCCGCACGATCTTTTCCAAACTAGAGCGCATTGACGTACGTTGTGCCTCTGTCAGTAAATCGTCAAAGTATGACAGCACGCGACCAACGACAGTCTGGATAGCCGACGAAAGAGCTTTTTCTTGGGCTTGCATATTTATTGACTGCAGGACAGACCGGCAAAATGATTCCTTCTCACTGTCTGTCATGGCAAGATCACCAAGAATTTTCCGAATACGGGCGTCTTCAGGGATGATGTAACATGGCTGGAAGATATATCTGTCGATCTCCCTGGCGAGGATAGCAAGAATAATTGCTAAGCGTATTTGTTTCGCTGGCGGGGTATTCGAACAAGGTAGGGGAATGTGGTGGTTACGAACAAGATCGCAGCGTTTTAGATTGGTCCACGCTGAGCCGTTCTGAGGAAATAAATTAGTCAGCTATAATTGATATCTTGCTGTCAAGACGTACCGAGATAGCTTCTGTAGTGAAATCGACCTTGAACTGGGAGTACAGCTCTGTTTTGGCAAAGTGCCACAGGCCAGTGAAATCATCTATTCTGTTAAGCAATTAGTATGCTGTAGGTTCTATTGTGTTACCAGATGTCACTTACAAGGAGCCCTCGTCCCCTTCATAAAACCCAGAGGCAAATCCTTCGATCGTGTTGAGTCTGGCATGAGAGTTATCCAGCAGTTGTTGAAGGTTTGAATTCTTCTCCTCAAGTGCTTTTGCATTCTCCTTAGTCGTAGAAAGGCTATGTTTTAGTCCCGATTCTGCTGCCTTTAGTTGGTCGATGATCGTGTCCTTCGCCCTGAGTTTACCCTGTAGAGCACTGATTTCCTGTTGCACCTGCACCAAAGTCTCCGTTTGTTTCCTGAACTCGGTCTTTGCTTTTCTTATCTGTGTTTCTTTGGTCTCCAGGGCTGCATTTTGTGCATTGATGAGGTCGTCTTTCTCTTGCAGGGTCTTTAGAAGCTCTTGCACACGACTTTGGGTATCTTGATGGCACCGCCTTTCTTTCTCGTTCATCAGGAACATTTCGTTGATGGCTGTCTCCTTCTTCGAATCACAGTCTCTTATCTTTTTCTCAAGATCGATGACTCGCTCTTCTTTGCACTTCAGATGACTTCGCAATGTCATGTTTTCGTCATGGACTGTCAGAATCATATTGAAGCCCACTGTGGGAGATAAGTCCTTGAGTTGGGCAAAGAAGCCGAAAAATGCCTGAACATCAGGGGCCTGAGCCTCGGCCTCAGATTTCACTGATAAGGCGGTTGTAGTTGCGGAAGGCATTGCTGACAGGAAAGCTTCGATTGGTTCCTTGCTAAGATAACAGAGTGAATCGGTGATAGTACATCATTTTCAAAATCCATGCCCTGGGCAGTTTGCGACCTTGGTTCTTATAGTGAGCCGCGGACCCTGTCCATTCTCTGTCATAGTTGGAGTTCAGCTCTTCGATGCTACTAGCTCTCAAGTGGAAAGTAGATTGGCGACTGAACTGCCCATTTGATAGAAAGCCATAGGTAGTGTTGTTGTGGCATGGTCTGTATGGTTACCACATCTGTGGTACTGTCACTGCGCATCTACGCACTCTTGCTTACAGGGTTGCAGGTTATAAGGTTCTCGGAAGTATTCTGCTTTTGATCTGCTAGAATCCACTCATATCTGACCAAAATCAGAGTGAGGCAGTCGGGTTGGAAAGATTTACGCACGTTTGACTCACTAAGACTTACAGCTCAGCAAAGACAAAGAGGGGTTGTGCAACGTGTCGCTTATCCTGGCGGCGCTTTGACCCTGCCAACTAGGCCGAGTACTCCAGCAGTCTTATTGAAAATATTTTTCTGGGATCACTGACCCAGCGCATCTAATCGGAGCGCCCGGATATGTCGGGCTCCATTATCCAAGGCCATGCAGCACATTAAAGTCTACGCTCTGTTAATCATAGGCATGATTGAGACAACCACAAAGTAGAATCCCCTCCCAGTAGAAGGGGAGCAATATCTAGCCTATAACTTTGCAACAACAGTATGACAGACGCTGGCCCCGCACGGAAAAAAACCCGGTCGCCGGTGTAGTGGGATTGCGCATAGGTCCGATTAAAGCAATTAATGTTAGGCCAGAAATGAAGATGTCCTTGGAACAAATCTTGCCTTGTACACCATACAGCAATGAGGCAACGGGATATTTAGGTCTACGCCACGCTTCTTAGATCATCCTTATGGTGCATCGATTTGGTGGAACGGTGCATCTGTGTCCTGTGTATGTTGCATTGGGATGACTGCAGGCGCAAAGATAAGGAAGTAATCGTATATTTTGCACTATAAGAAATGCACAGCAAGAAAGGATGTATTAGCTACTGTAGACTGCGAGCCATGAATTGTTCCAGTTTAGCCAGACAACCATGTCCACTGACAAGAGACGAGCACATTTGGACATCCTCAGCATGTTGGTACAGCGCAGATAGTTTTGAAAACTCCTTATCACAGCTTGGACACTTGTATAGCCACCCTCCATCCTCAGAAATTCTGTACTTCCAGCTTTGGTAAAATTCGCGGGCTATATTGTCAATCTCCTCCTCAGTAGTACCTGACGGGCAATTCTCAGCCTCCAAGTGGATTAACATTCCGGAAAGTGATCTGAAAGTCCGGTAACAGCCGTAGCATTCCATGGTTCGGGCCTGGTGACTCTGCTGGTGCTGAAGAGACTATACTATTAGCACTATTCATACTAGGCTCACACTAGTAAAGGTGCACGTACCATTCGTAAATTGTTCTCATTACTAAAGTAGCGATCGCATAATGTGCAAAGGTGGTGTTGGGCAACGTGTTCTTGGAGTTGCCCAGCGGAACCATGATTTATATTGCAATCGAGGCAAACGTGATGATTGTCCACTAAATGGTCTTCGAGCTCTTTGCTAGACTCGAAGTCTCTTGGTTGAGGGCAAGATGGACAAAAGTAATGTCTGTTGGACGTTTGAAGGTGTGCGATTTTAGATGGTTTCGAGATGAATACTCGGCGGCACTTCCCACACCATTCATGCCGTAAAGTCTGTCTGCAATGGTCATAGAGCGCATCAAGAGAAACAAAAGACCTTTCACAGATCAAACATTCGTAGTCTATACCATTATAGGTGAGATTTGGACCTAAGCCCATTGTTAATTTTGCCATAGTGCAGGGTGTCCGACAACGAACGGCGACAGCCGGTAGTGGGGCTTGCACTCTTTTCAGAGGAAGGGGAGGGAACCTTGGGTTGCGGGCTACCCACAAGTAAAAAGGGGCGATTCAGCTATGGGTAGGCTGGAGAGTAAAGGTTGTTCTTATTGGACAGAGTCTTCTACTACAAGACCGGCGGCTACACACAACTTCTCAGGGCCCGTTCCGGACCTTTCAGCCAGTAGAACAGCTCGATTCGACTTACTAAAGACCCACTGAACTCGTAGCTTAGAAGTCTCTTGTTTAGGTAATGCTTGTAACTGCATCTTCTTCTCTGATGGTATTAATCGCATAGGCTATCTCATCTACCCTCCAATTGTTACTGTATCTAGCCATATTCATGCCCTAGGCTTTAATTGTCACAGAAAGCATGACTTCCCATAAGAGGCCAGCAATTTCTCATCTGGAGATATTTCGCTCCGAATGATCCCTGCGACGAAGTGGCTAATGAGTGGGAGCAGATATGACTAGACTCAGTCAAGCGAATCGCATCTGCAAGAAAATGTACCGATAATATCTTTTCTGATTTCATTGCAATGAATTGGTATTATGTGTTGATTCTAGCCAGCCTAATATTTGCCACTAACCCATGGTGAGGCTTTGACTCACCTAGCTTGCGTCATCATCGACACTCCTTTGAGCAGGTTTATAAAGGGACAGGCTGGAGAATAGGTAAGAATAAATGAATATCTTGAGAAGCTCGCTCTGGTATGGCATGAGTTATGGGATTTTCTGCTGGGAAATATTCCAAGTAATACTTTTCAGGATCTCCGACCGTAGTACTTGTGCGACCATAAGAGCTTTCACAATTATTAGTTGAAGAAGATTTTCAATGCTCTAGGCAGACGTGCCGGTGCGCAGCACATGGTTGGACATTTTAGAGTCTCAGCCACTTGGCGCCGAATATTCTCCGGATCTAGATTAACGCTTCTAGATCAAGATGTCTCCATAACCATTGTCTAAGGCCATTATAGCCAGGCTACACTGCCTGAGCCTTACAGCTTGACGGACCCACAAGCCCCGGTTACCATTCTGCCGTATTTGTTCCGGTTGAAAATGATTAGTCTTTTAGATAATCAAATAGAGTCTTTTTCCAAATCTTCTTAGCCAGTGTTGCAGCCATCGCTTGTGGCCCTGCTACCCTTGGATGGGAGGGGCTACTACTATGAAGGCGGCCTAATAGATATATACTCATACTGCATACTCACCCTTGGTGAAAAGAATGGGTGATTATGAACTGGCATTCTGTACGCCGGCATTTGAGACTAATACTAATATAGTACTTCATCCCTGACCTCCACTCATTTATACTGTATTAGCTGAAGCAGAGAGCACCCTTATATTCCATTATTATAAGAGATGGGCTATAATATCTATTTAAATTATCTGTCTATTATCCTGTTTCTTCTTTCCTCAGCTAAATTAGATTACTGTTATCTAATATTATTATCCTAGCTTATCCCAGCTCACTCTCTCTGCGTGTTCTCTCAGCTGATCGGCTGTTATAAAAGAAATGGAAATTATACATATCTATTTCGTGTCTTTACAAGCTTGGATCTTTTATTGCCTGGCAGTGTAAGACAAGACTGATATCCTCTATGGCAGTACGACCGCGAAGAATATAGAAATGTTTTTCAGATAGCCTGAAATCAAAGCGCTAATAACAAAGTTGCTGAAAAGATAAGTTGTTCTTCAAATTCTTTGAGTACTGTCACGAGTGTGATACAGATATATTTATCATGGTCTGAAATAAGAAAACTGGCTAAATCCTATTCTTTAAGTCCGACAGCAATTGGCTTTTATCACTGGAGGAGCTGGTACAATATTCTCCTATAAAGATATTGAGAGTACTATTCTGATAAGATGATATATAGGCTTCGTATTATCCAAAGCCGAAACAGGTCACATGGAAAGAGTTAGCTGCCAGATACGCTACCGTAGAGTCACAGAATGTTCCCAGTGACCAGTCACAAGCCCGGGCAACAGAAAAAAATCACAAGTAGCGGGATCATAGACAGAATTTTCTTTCCAGACTAGGATATTCTTTTCAGATGACATCAGCTACCTAAAACATTTAAGTCCATAAAAGCTGAATATTCTTCCCGGACTGATAAGATCTCATCGTTTATGGATGGTTGCAAATACGGCACAAATGCTTATCCTCTAAATCCTCAATACTGGAAGTTCAACCACATAATCAATCGCTTCCATCAGCAGAAAGCCTACCATCTGTTGTGCCTTCTAGATACAGTGTAATTCTAGCAGATTCCCAAAATTATTTCCAGATAATTTGCCAGAAATCGACGACAAAATCCCCACCCTCCGACAGCAGCTTCTGGAACCCGGTATTTCCACCTATTTGCCCAAGAACAGATACAATATAGGTTGTAACCAATGTCCTAAGAGCATCATTCGGCATTGTATCTTGATAAGAAGCCCGAACCAACTCAGCTACTACATCTATATCATCTTCACACAGTGTGAAGCATGATAAGGTCATCGCCAGCTTACCCAGAACCAAGTCCGCAAGCGAAACAATACCATACTTATCAGCCAAAATATATAGCTTCGTATGTCCAAGAAAGACAGGCGTGAAATCATTTTTAGGATCACAATTGCCCCTTGGGGCAAACTTTTCTTTTGTTTTTGATAAGACATTGCCATGTGATTATGTATATTGCATGCTGAGATTTTTGAACCTGTCCCGCAGATGGCGGCTCCAGATACTTTTTTCTCTGTAGGGTAATGCATACCCGTAGAAGAGATCAGGAGTCTGCACCACTTCTTCTTCTGCCTCCGCTTCTAAGGCCATTGGTTCGTCGGCGTAATTCTCACAAGGGGTTTCTGCTGGTGGCTGGTCAGATGATGGTTCGAGGCTCGAGCGGTAGCCTTTTTATTCTTCCGCTTGCTCTTCTTTGTTATTGATAGGGAGGAGTGCCCACCCCATTCACTAGCCTCAGTTTGTTTCTCTGCCATCCCTGATGCTGATACAAGTGTCTGGTAAGACCTTTCCGTGCACGACGGTGGCGTGTAATCGCGCACGTAAGCATACTCACACAACCGAATGAATGTATCCTCATCGATCACCTCCGACCAGTCGACACGATGAGTCTTTGCCTCTAGCATTGGGCCGTTTAGGAGACAGTGTAGTGTCGATGATAGGCTGGCTAGGGGATCGGAGTGTACAGTGATTTTCTTCCTTGTAGGGCCGACGATGAAGGTGACGAGAGGAGACGAGATGTAACTGCTATGCCAATAATATAAGGTTTCCCTCCTTCATGGTTCATTTGGAGAACTCTAATTGTTTGGGTGACTTACATGCCAAAGTTGCTGTCCATTGTTGTGGTTATAGCGAGACTGAGTAGTGTAGCTTTGGGGGTTGTTGGATGAGGGAAGGAAGCGATGGTGGGGCTCCTATTTAGATAGTAACTATATTTTAACATTACTTGCAGGAAGCGTGACTAGGCTGACACGTCACAGTCGGCAGTGCGGGGTTGTTGAATTACTAAGTGCCAATAATTTATATATTGCCTATACACAAGCGCGAGAGCGGGTATTCTTCGTGTGTATTGGTTTTATTTCTTGACTGGATTGATTTTATGTGACTGCCTGAAATTGTAACAAAGGTTCGGCTGAGTGGAATTAAGCCCCCTTGGCGGACACCATGATTAGGTAATCACAAGCAAGACTCCAGGTAATCAAAGACTGCGGGAAAGTGAAGACTGCGGGCAAGAGAGGACTGCGGGCAAGAGAGGATTGCGGGCAAGAGAGGATTGCGGGCAAGAGAAAACCTAGGCTTGTCGACCTAGATCCGGAGTGGTTTCGGAGCTAACTAGCTGAGCTCCGGAAATGCCTAAGCAAGCACTGGGCGCCGGCCTGCGCGTGCATGTCTGCCCAGCGTGTTGAGAATCAAACCCGAGTACTACAATTGCGTGCAGGTGGCCAAGAAACGAAGAGGATAGTTCTCACATGTATGTATAGAGGTGCAGTATTTCCATAGATTCTTGCGACACATGAAAGGGACTGCGTCGTATCACATGCTGGCATGGAGTGACCAATGAAAAAAGAAAAACGGGCGATTGGTGGGGTCACACACGTAGCCGGTCAGCTCGGGACTACTCACAATAGCCGCGGTATAAATCGCCCTTTTTTGCAAGGAAACCCAGTTGGCTATTAACATATTATAGACTAGAGAACAATAAAAATTCCACTCTCTTCTTGTTTCGACTGCTACAACAGGCTTCATGCCCCAAATGAGCAGCATACTATGGATCCTGAGCGGATTCGGGGTCGGTATTCGTAGAGCAACCGGGTACTATTCCATGGTCTTTCTGACCTTACTATGTATGCCATTACTATTGGCACAATCTGGTGGCGATGGCTGATGCATGGCCACGTCATGCGTGACCTACATATGCCATCCCACCGGGCAAAGCATCGTACCAGCAAGAAGCTGATGACCGAATAAATTCCTGGGCTCCCACATAGCAGCTCGCATTCGCTTGTTCATAAATAGCGGCAATGATGATCTTTTCTTCTATTTTCTATAGAATCTATCTTCTCCTATCTGAATAGATCCACGAGCCCTTGATGGCGAAAGGAAGAAGAAAACAAGGAAGATCAGCAGTATCCAAACCCGCTGATACAGCTGTTGTACCTACGGAGCCGGTTTCTGCAAATGAACAAATTATCAGAAAAATGAAAGACCTGGTCCTTAGGTTAGATACCACGGTTAGTAATCTTATCTCGTACAATTACTGATATCCAAATTAGTCAATTTCTCAATCCGAAGTACAGCGATTTGTCCATTAGTTGTGGTGATGAAGTCTATCCAGCCCATCGGAACATTCTCTGTCCCCAATCAAAGTATTTTGAGGTCGCTTGTAGTAGTCGCTTTAAGGTGAGATACTTGTCATACTCCAGTTCTTTTCGGGTGCAATCATGAAATTGATATAGAAACTCGTAGGAAAGGAACGGCGAGATCATCATCGAGAATTGCAATCCTGTGCTCATCAAAAAGACACTCGAATTCTTGTACACGGGCGACTATACTTATGACGGTGCTCCAATTACCCAAGCCCACCTGAACTCGAAGAATAGTTCTGAATGTTCACCCGAAACATGGGCAGAAAATAATTTTGAGCTAGATGCAGACACTGAACAATATCCAAACCCATCACGAAAAACCAATACTACTGATTCCCAAAATTGTCAGGCCTTCTTCCACGCTCAAATGTACGCACAAGGTGATTATTTTCAGATCAACGAGCTTAAGAAGAAAGCAAAGGATTACTTTATGAAATCTTTCTTGGAACATCCCGACCAAGATTCATTCAGCTCCTCCGTCGTTGAAGTTTACAGTTCAACAGGGGAGCACGACCGTGGGCTCAGAGATCTTGTTGTCCAGCTCACGACGGATAACCTCAAGATTCTGAGGAATGGAGATAATCCTATACTCTGTGACGGACTTTTAGAATCTGTTCCCAAATTCATGCTGGAGGTCTGTCTTTCGACCTTGGACAAGTGTGCCGAAAATTAGAGGCAGCGGTATGGATACTACTAGAATGTTCATTGGAATGCACGGAAGGGTCTCGAATAATGTGCAGTTGCTCAACTTTTTGTTTGATATTCTACTTTATCTGTTTATAGTGAGACAATGCAGGGCTTCAAGTACCAAAGAGGAGTGAGTAACGGTGGTATTTCAAATTAGGAAACCTTGACTTATAGCCATTGCGATCGTACACCGTCGCGTATAGAAGCATAAAGCACGAGGTGTGGCGGCTGCATTTGTCTTAGACTCAACAGAGGACACCTCGTCAGCAAGACTCTGTTATTTTCTCCTAGCTAATGCCGTAGCTCAATTTATCACCGCAGCGCTGACATCATGGTTCAGTAGTGGGCCTTCTCTTGGGGGCTTAGTGGGGCGGATTCTCATTGGTTACGAAACAGCCCTCCGCAGTCGGCTTTGCACCCCAGTCGGTTTTGCCATACCAAGGATTTGCTGATTGGCCTCCTCACTTGACAAAATGGATCACTGCGTACATCCCGCAGTGCCCTCACTATTCCTCGGTCTCTACCGCTGCGGTCCGACGGCAAAGTCCATGTGGCGCTAGTACTGTAACATTCGCAGGGAAACGGGGCAGGGTGGACTACGCAGGGATGAATGGCCCTTCTACGAAGGAGGGAGAAGATGGGGGGAGAAATGGGGGAGAAATAGAGACAGAGCCCTATTACTCGATCGCATATGATCCCTAATATCTTGGTACCTCCAATTCTACCGCAGGAAATTCTTACTAATGTCAAATGGAAGAAGCCAATCGACGATTACATTCACTTTGATCTCCATGATCGATTCGAAGAGATATCTCATTATTAGCCCTCTGCAAGTTTTTAGAACTGAACAAGTACCACTTCCCGAAGACCCTCGCAGCTGCCGGACAAGTGAAGTTCTTGCCTCTGTCATTGACGTGTAACACTTGGACGGTGTAGTTGAAAAGCCAAAGCGCCGGCATAGACAAAAGGTTTGGCAAAACGAGAGCTATAGTTGATAATGCTTGAGAATAGATGTCTCTTTACAAACATTAGAACGAAGTGGGAAAATTGGAATTCGAAAGGCTTTAACGCTTTTCGGCAAAGACACAGGCCATTATTCTATGTCAATTTGCAGGCGAACGGCAAACACTGGTTTCGCTTCTATCAGTATATATTCGAAGGGAAATAGACGAATAAAGGCAATATCGTCAGGTAACATAGCAGAATACACGAAGATGCGTGTTAAGTCAAATAGCACCACCGAGAAGTATATGATAACAATTAAAACTGATCAATAGCAATCAAGTGCGTATGAAACCGGATCTTAAAGTGAAGGTTCGAAAGGTGATCATTAGATTGGGCCAAGAGCAGCCAATGGCCGACGTGAGACAATTCCGTGCACTGTCTGCGCATGGTTCATTACATGTTTCTTATGCTCCAGCTCTTTGTTACAGATATTGCACGTGAGACGCATGTCCTTGGGGAAGCGCTTGACGTGCTTGTCAACAAAGTGCCTGCTGAGAGATCCCGGAGTAGTATGTTTTCTGAATCGTTCGATTATGGGGAGCTTGGAATTTGTAACACATAGAAAGCAGATAGTTGGTCTTTCATCCGGAGATTTGACGCAGACTGACGAAATCGCTGATTGAAGCTCTGTTTCGTGCTCAACCACCGCACACGGTTCTTGTCGCTTTGGAGGGGGCGTAGATGGCGGTGTATTGTCAGCACGCCGTTTCTGGGAAACGTTTGGTCGTCTGGTAGGCGACCCCTCTTCCACGTCACAGAAAGCGATAATCGCATTGATCGCGGAGATTCGACGCTGATATTCCTTCTCGACAGTAGAGCCGGGCATGGTGAGAATCGTATCGATCAAGAGCATATGCTGGGGAGTCATATACCCGGTTCGTTCCAGCGCGCACATTACCTCTTCGTCCACCAATTTTCCGGAGAGTTGCCGCTCGCTGTCGATTACTGGTCGCTCGTTCTTGTATCGTTCCAGATTCTCGCGCACCAGGCGATTGCGCTGCCGCTGCCACTCATTTCGAAACTCACGCTGTGCCCGCTGGTATCGCTGGTTTGCCTTCTTGCTCTGTTTCTCACAAGCCTTGACATGTTTCTGTGCCTGGTGACCCGCGCGCGGCAGCTCGTCTGCTGCCCGTCGGAAATTGGAACCGAATATTTGCAGAAGTTCTCCTTTCGCTGTTTCATAGGCTCGGTTCTTCTCGTCCCGAATCTGTTTACGTCTGCGAACGTGTTCCTGCAAAACACGCACACGAGGTACTTCGTTGACACAGCTGGTGTCGTCGAGCTTGTACGGTCGTCGGGGGTCAATCGACCGGCTCATAGAAGCGGCAAAGTTTTCCTACCATCGAGGCTGGCACAGACTGGCCAAACTGCGTTCCCAAAACCGACCCGAGTTGTTACTTATTGTTCGACAGGCGAAGACCCGCAACCATACCTGTCTCGAGCAATCCGTGTGCTAGGTAAAACAAGAATGATTTGAACGGAAGCACGACTGGACCAGACTCTAGGATCGCAAATGTAGGGAAATACCCGCCACACTTAGGATGAACGCCATACGCTATGTATACTGCGAAAATCTTCTGCCAGACGGGTTCATTGTGCGCCATGCCCCGTGATCCATGTCCCGTGATCCATGTCCCTGTACCAGTCTCCAAGCATAGCTCCCGCAATAGGGTAGAATACTATATTACCAATGAGCCATTTGCTTCGGGCTGTATTGATACCATACAACAGAAGATCCAGCATGTTTTTCTTGTCATGATGATATAATCTCTGTAAATTAAAAATATCAAATCTTTTCTATTCTGATCAATACTCCTCCTCTTGTACATTCCATTCCCAAGAGGGGGGAGCAGGAACAGGTAGCTTAAGAATTTACTTATCCACCCACGCAGTAATGTTATCTATTGCCTCAGCAATCTCTCTTCGTCTCCTTTTAAGTTAATTTCCGTCAGATACCATATACTCCTGTATATTCTCCTCGGTCAATATGGCCTGAACTCTTTTCCATAGGTACCTCAGATGCCAGAGATAAAGACTTGGCTCTGCGGACACCGTGTGATAATCCAGGCTGTGGATAACAAATCTACGCTCTTTCAATCCATTGAAGAAGTTGTTGATGATCATTTTGTCACATGGCAGCGAAATTTGTCTTGGGTTGTGATTCGGGATGGTCACAACTACCTCCAGATTGCCTATAGGCATTTAAGTGATCCCATTCCGCAGTCCTACATTGCCACAGACCAGTCGATCGGACTGCTTATTTGTAGAATCTGAGAGAAACTTGGCGATGGCATGTGATGCTCCAACTCGTCATTCAACATCTCTTGATCTACCGCTGCGGTTCCATCGGTCGCTGCAGATTCGCGGGCGGCGTTCGTGGCCTGATTGATTCCAGTTCCCTTGTCCAGGCGCAAACTCGGCTATAGCCGGGATCTGAAAGCCTTGCTGGTCAGCCAGCCAGAAGAAGTGGCGCCACAACGCCATTCGGTCAACTGATGTCGAGCAATTCGGGACAGGATAGGAGCTACATGATTTCTTCCTCATATGCGGCTGACGGCGTGCCACTTTGGTCATGTCCAGCCTGTATTGTAAGCTGAAGCGCCAGAGCTCGTGCAATCCCTGCTGTACTTGCAGTCTTGTTTTTCTCAATGACACGCTGGCATCGGTCCGATGCTGCGTACTGAGTTTACAGTTAATAGTGATCTTCTTAGTTTTCTTCGAGCCCAGGTCCTCTGGGGGAAGAAGAAGAATCTTCATTATTTTACTAGTAATACCTAAGAAACAGAGGTCCTGGAAGAATATCCTTAAAATAGAAATAGAGATATTAATCTGCTTCAGTCACTTCTATAATGCCGCCCGTGTGTCGGACTCGTTAATCGATAGAAACAATGTCCAGTTGTCTATTATCCGAGATCGCAGATATTCCCGGTCCGGTTCCGAGAGCTTTGGGACTAGAAATTCTAGTGTGAGAACAGTCTCTGCATCCGCGTGAACAGGAAGGGTATTGTTCCTGTCGAAAATATAATCTATCCAGACAGTACGGATGGTTTCAAGATAGGACAGGATGGGCTAAAGATAACAGGTTCTTAGAAGAGTCTTTTATTTTATAGACACTCGGGCCACTCACCTCGTCATATTACAGTGATACCATGGTATACAGCACACCCAGTTGTATTTTAGCCCAAAGTCCTGGAATAAGGAGCAGGGCATCAAATGCTGGTAGGAAACTAAGATATTGGAGAAAAACCTAGAGATATATATACTTTTTATTCTTAGGATTATATCAGAGAACGGCCCACCAAAGTATCTCTATTTTTTTATCTGGCGGATAGCTTAGCTTTTCTTGATAGAACTGAATTCTTTCATAGATTAATTTGTTCAGTAGTCAGTATTAGTTTGGAAAATGCTCTCGGAGCAAGTGGACAAGATAGGAATAGAAAATTTTATCTTTGTAGTTACTTATCTGGCGACTCATACTTAGCAGGTAAACAGGAAGGGGCATATATACTGAGACTCAGAATAATTTCAAAGACAACTTATTAGAATTCTCTATATATATATTAACTATCTACCATCAGTTCTCGCTATAGAGCTTTTTTTGTGCTGCGGCGATGACATTCTCATGGTCTAAGACACACAGCAACATGTTCAAGAGCATGATTAGCTCAGGAAATAGCTCTGTATTGCATGGTAATAGCCTGATATAGGAGCCCCAGTCTGTGGCTTGGATTAAGACGGGCACATGGTACTCTTAATTGATACAGAGGTACTTTTGTATCTCAAGGATCTGCTTCATTCGGAGTGCATTTCAGCTGTCGTCCATCAAGCGGCCAAAGCCATTCTCGAAGGTCAGACAATCTAGACGGACTCGGGCGCTACTCTGGTAATACTTCTGATAGTAGGCTTCCAATGCCTTCTCCTCGGTTTCAATATAAGCTTGGTATATTGGCCGCATGCTTGATAATAATCCTGGGAATCATGGCAACCTGGCTGTTGATATTTAAAGAATAATATTATACTAAGTACAGTTTAACACTGAATAGCTTATCTTCCCTCATTATAATTGAGCCATGAGGAAGTCAGCAGACTAGGCCCTAAACATAAATCCACAGACTGCATATTATTATTGCAGGTGAGATATGGTGACCTTCAGGGAAAGAGCCCAGGTAATATCAGAATAACTAGTTAAATTATATAGATTTAATGTGATGGTCAATTACATTCTTCCCAATTATTCTATATAAATACATCCGTGGTGAGGTCTTTTGAAAGAAGTTAAGGAATAGTGGCGGGTAGAGAACAGTACAGACAAAATAAACAGAGACAGGAAAAAGAATACATCTATTATTATAAATTAATTAATACATATCATTAACAGGGCCCTTGACTTATAATTATAATACATAATCAGATCTTATCTAGCGGGCTATAAACTCTTTAATACTAGTAATCCAGATAGCCCTAATCAGCACTGTTTTAGGGGGCGAGTGCTTTAAAACTGGCACAGTATTAATAAATATCTAGAACCCTCTCATTATTCCCCAGATACTGTAACTAGTAACAAATTAGAAACTCATTCCATTGCAGGTGATTACTGTATCATCCTGAATCCAGTACATTCCTCTGGAGGCCAGCATGCTATTAGAGAAGATGACTTCTGTTCTATACAGCAGATCAGAATATAAAGATTCCTGGTCAACTAACAGTCCTCTTCTTTCTGAAAACACTAAAAACTGTGAATTTATCATATCCAACTCTGAGACACTGTCAGACCATGGTGATGAACTTTACAAAAAAAGCAAGAATTATATTCCTATAAGTAATAAAATAGCACAAGTACCTGAGATACTTTCTATCCATTTACTGGTAATCAACAAGTTTCTGAGACTGGATTAGAACATATCAAAAGGCCGGATAAACCTGATTCAAGTAATTACCAAGCAGAAGATGGTCTCTGATAGTAGTTTCTCTAATAAGTATCTAATGCTGTAGTATTCCTGGGAGGCTGGAAAGGCAGCATTGGAATTAGTTAAAGGACTAAGCTAGTCAGCTATATCATTCACCAATGATCCCCCTATCTGTGATGGTCCACTTGGAGGTGTAAAGTTGGTTGACCGCTACTGGGCCAGCTCGTGCTGGACGGGCTCAGCGATGCGCTTCATGCCGGCAAGAGCACTATCGCCTCAATATGATCTCATTTTTGTCTTTCGGAACTTATTTCAGTCAAGGGAAACACGCCTAGATCAACAACATTCCTCAATTACCAAGTAGACACAACGGGTAGGACATAGTTGTAGGTAATCTGCATATCGCTATGGAGGGCGTTTACATAAATATAATCATCCTCCTTCCATCTGATTGTACAATAGTATAACGCTGTTCCTTTCAGTCATGAGAAGTGCATCCTTTTATATACGGCATGTAAAGTAGTAAGAATTGTAAATAAATAGATTTTGAAAGGAAAAAAAAAAAAAAGAAAAAAAAAAGTAAGATTGTAATATTGTAATCACTTCGAGTTGTCGCTGGTTTACACCCTCCGTTTCTTCCGGGACGGGGCTGGCTCGGCAAAGCAAACCCGTTTAACACCTCGCGGACAGTAACACATCCTCTGCGGCGGCCACTGGTCAATTTAGTGATCGGATCGCCCAAATACAGCATCCGATTGCTGGAGGTGGAGAAACTGCCGTACAGTGGCTGGAAACCCGCCGATTGGCTGCTGACCCGATGACCCCTTGAACATGATCGATATTTCTTCATCTAGACTGGCCACGTGGAACCGAACACTTTTTGCGGTAGTATCCACAGACCATACATCCATCATCGTCGTCCAACCGACCCAAGTGCTCCCCGCGGCCCGTCTGCAGCTCTGCGACCGGAAATTCCACCAACACGCGCTCGAGAATCCGCCGTGGCTCGCGGCGCGCACATAGGAGCCTTCATCTGACAGGCCAAGTAGAATGATTACTAACAGCAAGAATTTTGTTAACTCGGCTTGTCCTGTTCAAATCATCAGCCTTTGTATAGCGCTTCAGACAGTTCAGCAGCAGCGTTGATTTACAGTACACATGGTAAAGTGAAGACGTTCGATGTTAACACACTGCCCCATCTGTCTGGCACGTGCCTTGATCACCATTGACCGAAGCTTCTGGAATTTTGTATGGGCTTTACAGTACTTGTCAGGTTATGCGTAATACTATCGAAATTACAAGACAGATAGGTACCTGCCAAGAGTATTTGCATACAGACTAACCTGATATGGATTAGTACAGGCGAGTTAGGTTTTGGGAAAAGAGCAGGAAGAGTAATGCGGTAGGCATGGTAGTTGTGCAAAGTACCTATAATAAAAACTCTTCAAGCTAATCTTGAGTGCAAGGTACCTCATTCGATAGATGAATGTATTTTCACATGTCCGACTGACCCCGCCATAATCTGAGCGATTTCTCATGTGTAATAGTAGTAAGTCTTTCAACAATAACTGTTTAGAGCAATACTCATGGCGATATGAACAATAGTCACAAGGAGGACCTCTCCAGGTGTACTCGCGTTTCTTAAAAGCATTTCTATAAAATCATATCCGGCTTTAGTGTCTATTCCTCGGATGGCGCTAATCAATCTTGTACCTTACGTTATCGCTTCGTTGACGTAATTTTTGCACGTGGATTAAGAGATTCCTTCACTCATCAACCTTGGGGAGGAAATGGGAGGGTGGCAGAGCGGGGGCGGAGGTGGTGAAGCTGCAAAGAGCAACAAGGGACCGTTTAGACCGGATCGTCAACCGTTCAAGCAAGGTCATTCATCACGTCTAATGCGCCATCATTTGTCAGATGGTGGTTTTTGGCAAGTGGATGCGGCCATGATAAGAGACGAAGTGCGATGAGAGCACGACGTGCTCCGTGTTCTTGTCGTTCGTTCGTTGAGAGCTCTATACAAATTAAGATACGTCATAGGTTGAACTTATTCGACAGTTTTGAATGTGGAGCTGTTGATTCTATCCGAAATTGTAGTCGCCCCGGACCATGATGCTCTAGCGAAGGCAAGTGCCTTGTCACCAGAGAACGCGGCAGTTGCTCAACCTAACTGGCTTCACCGTCCTTGCTCAAACCTGCTACATATCACAGAGTCGCAGTTATTATACATGCGGTTGACTCCTCGAACCAGAGCCATAACGGATATTGGAAAGTTCATGCTCAAGGCATTCACAGCATTGCAAGTTATGGTACAGATTTACCACCAATTCTGGTAACTCGGAATCGTCCAACTTCGACAGGAGTACGGCTTTCACAGCTAACTTGAACGCGCATAAGCCATCCATCGAACTGGTACTGTACGAACTTGACAGACGTAGTAAAATACGATGCTGTGGATCAGTTAGTTCGTTAAGTAATCGTCCGCTAAGTCATCGTCCCTAGCGGTGATATGCAGACGACGACCGTACTATCGCTATCTGTCAAAATCAGCCATGTCCCCGTGTTCTTTTCAGCGGGCTGCCATGCTTATCGGTCCGCAACCCCTTGGGCTACTCTTACTTTACCACTCGAGGATACGAACTGTTATCTCATTTTAGAATACAGGATGTTTGAAGCAAGCAGTCAAGGAAATGAGGGATTTGCTCACAGCACAGTACTGTAAGACTACTGTATCACCGTAGATTTTGGGACCCAAGGCAAGAATGTGGCAGTATGGCTGATTACAACGCCACTGCCGGTCAGCCCTCGCGGCAGCAATATCTCCATGCCGCCGCTTTGGTGTTTTGTCCACTTACCATATGCTGCTTTCAACTGTAATATGGGAAGGTATACTCCAAAGGTATTTAAGATACAGTGATGCCGGGTATGACATATCAGAGCAGCTAACAATTCTCACAGCCATGAACTCCTGCACAGCTTCTCCGGCAAACTCAGTCACAGTGTCCGCCTCGAGTCCGGCGTCCATTGCCGGGTACACTCGCTATATAGAGATACTATTAGAAGTCGACCATATACCGTGGATCTATAATATTATTACCAGCATCGCACACTGGGTGCTCCTTGCAGAATATCTAGTAATTCCTGAAATATTGATTTTCTTACAAAAGTCAGAAAAACTCGAGCAGACTCTCATTAACAACAGTACTAATAAGATTATATTAAATAAAATTCAAAACCTACTTCTTCTTACAATTACCTATGTCTTCTTCACAGTAAGGACTACACTTCTGACATAGCTTTACTGGATATAGCACAGCAATTAGATTTGGCTCGTCAATCAGATATTTATATACACAGACCCAGTTATATATCTGTACACCCATTGTTCCATATGAAAGCTGATTAGAGTTTAGGCCAGTTATAATAAATACAGCTGCAGGCCTTGCTACAACATTAATCAATATATATACTACATAATCAGCCACTTAGTCTATCATGGCTCTAGTCACCACGGTAATGGTCGGAAGTGTCTTTTTAGTTTCATTATCACTGACAGTTCTGTATAAATATGTCTTGTTAAAGAAGGTCGAGGAGGAGCACAAGATAGAAATATATATTAGAATATTTATATTAACTGACAATCATTCTTGAACACGGGGGAATAATCCCTTATCAGAAAGTGTTGATCACTTAGGTGCTGGCAGGGTTTGTGTAGAACTGGAAATCATTGTACTCTTATACACGTGGCTAACCTACAGACACAGTTGGATGATTAATTATAATTAATCATGCGCTTCCTGCTTGTACGTAGTATGTGAGCTTGAATAAATGAAACAAGATTTTAATAGCGGCTGTTTTAAAGTCCATGTAATTGCATCTGCGGTCTTTGTGCGGAATGTATGACCATGATTTAGGTCCCATGCTAATATTGAAGACTCAAGGACAGGCACAACCTTGTTCCTCTCGCCAGTGGTCCGATCTGCATAGCGGATAATGATGATCTAACTTATATCAAACTGCTTTCCTCTTCACGTGTTCAAATATGTGACACGACACGTTCGCGTTGCACTCCGTGTCAAGCAGTACAATATTATCGGTCAGTGACAGTCATTTTTTCCCAATAGATGCATCATTGTACATGTACTAGTTGTTGTCTGAGTTCATTATACTTGTTAATATTCTGCCAGCCATCAGGCCTACAAGACACCTACTTTTTTTCAGAGTGCCCCCGGTACTTCTAGCTACTTGTCACAGAATCTTCTCTACACCTCCCATATCCCTGCCTGTGAGTTTGAATAGCATGTCTGATAAATAGAAGCTCTATTAGTATTATGGCTCTAACTACTATACTCCACATTTACTGAAAACAGAATCCCAGCCGTCGTACTGGCGTCCTAGGATATTGAACGTGGGTGGGTGTGGAATCACCACGTTAGCCATCAGTTGTGTAGTATACTCAGCAGGAGTTCTATGAGTGACTGGTTAGAGCCAGTCCTCCTGGACTTGTCAGAGCCCAAGGCAAATATTTAGAACAACACAGCTTACCAATTCCTCAGCAGTCGGTGCGGGAAGATGAGGATAGGACTGATAAATGTAAATCCAGCAGTTCAGTATTTCCAGAATGATCCAGCTGCAGATGGCGTACAGCCGCCAAAAATCATTAATCTGCTGTAGCAGGTTATTACAGTATTTTTGAAGTTATTCCTGCTTAACACGGCTTTGAGAAGGAGCCATCTACACAAAGTCAAGAAATAGCTGGTAATGCAATCTTGATTGGCAAGTGCCAACTGACGCTGGGAATACAGATTATGCAATACTATAGGAAATAGGACACAGGTCATTATTTATATGCCAGCATAGAAGCATTATATAAGTAACACCAGAACATTTCTGGAGGGATATCTCGCGGGCATTTAGGATTTAATATTAAAACAGACTTTCTTATGCAACTACGAGCCTCCTGCTAATTAGTGCCTTCCGGTTAAATACAGTTTATATAAGGATTGACCAGTGTAGCTGGCTCTGCTGTAATTCACTATCTGCCATCCACTGTAAAGTAATACAAATATCCCTGTAATCCGCGGGTCAAGAATAGAAATACTAGAATACCAAGTATCTGCTATCATGAAAGTAAGATAAGCTACTATTTAGTACATAGTTAATCTCAGAAGAAACCATATCATTACTTAATAATTTACAGTCTGGGGAATATATAACAGCCGCGGGTGGTTTCCTGGTAGTCACTAAACTAACCGCTCAGAGATAAGAAAAGATACATTATATATACTAATTACCAGCCCTATTACCCAGCCCCCCAACCCCTTAGAGTACTACAAGTGGGAATTTACATCTAGCCTGTATATTATCACATTAAATGATACATGGTTCTATTAAAAACGCCCATTTCCCGGCATTTGCCAATCATGATAATTAGTCAGTGACAAAGTTTTCTTTCCTTGCCTGCTGGTACTTGTTCTACTGTACATAACTATCGTCCAGACGCGAGTGTCGTGCAAACTGCTTTATAATACAACAGTCCGTGACAATAGATGAAATCCTCGAGCTTGTCAGACTGATCAGTCAATAACAAGGCCAAAACACATACTACCGCTCGTGCTACTTTTTCCTGAAAAATCTGCAGGATCTGATTCCACACATACTCCACAGGCTGAACAACCTACACAGGAGACAGTGTATACCAGATCAGGGCGTGGACACAGCCATAATAATTATAACTGACCTGCGTGCCGCTGTCGACTCGCTCAAGATGAGAAAGTACAAGAGTACCTTAAGATAGAAGGAGTTTCTCTAGGTAGCAAGCCATTTCTAGAGCCATTCCGCTGGCAGAGCCACATATTGACGACACACTTGTTTGCAATACAGTAGGTTGTTCCTGAGTCTGCGACTCTGTCGGCGGTGCTTTCTCTGTTTACGCTTCTGTCAGGGGTCGACCAATGACATTCAATGCACATGGACAAAGCCAAGCGAGGAAACAGTAGCTTACACTCTAAAATAAATCTGCTCGATACTTTGGGAAATTGTGAAGGACATAAAAAGCAAAGGAATCTATTATATAGTAAAACTGTACAGTACCCTTGCAATGTATGGATAAGAACATATACTGCGCGCTCTCAGATTTAAAACTCATATACTTATTTCAGTAGACACATCAGAAAACAAGAGCTATCTAGCGCCGCTGACGGTTTGTTGGTGAAGGGAGACAAGATTAGATAGCAATAATCCAAATATAATCACACAGTGGACCGAGTAACCGCACGACTGACAGTCCCAGAACAAGTAATAAACCAAGTATTAGCTTCAACAAAGACCCCCCGCTGGTACAATTCTATAAAAGGAAGGTTTCTGGCAGGGCCCTAAAGACTCTAACTCCTAGTCCTTAAATTATAGGGGGCACCGCCCGTCCAGTTACTGTATCACATAGAGCAATAAGTCCGAATCAGCCGAGCAACATCAAAACGATAATAACTACTCACAGCATGCATAGTATCTACCCCGTCGTTATCCATCACATCAATTAGAACCCAGTCGTCCTCCAGCAGCCGCTGCACGATTCGCGCCTGACCCGCCCGGACTGCCCACCATAACGCAGTGCGTCCCCACCTGTCGGTGCCATTCCGGTCAGTCTACCAGATTTCTAACAGACGCGCAACCACGTCTGTATATCCTTGGTGGGCAGCCAGGAAGAGAGCGGAATCCCCTAGGTAGATCCAGACATTAACATCCAGCCGCGGGACGCAATTCAGCAACCGCATGACTACATCGGAATGACCGCGCGTAATTGCGGCCAGGAGCGGAGACAAATAAGGCCCCCATCCCTGATTAGCATCAATATCTCCACACTGCAGCAGGCGCTCGACGACCTGGATATGTCCTTGCAAAGCAGCTGACCACAGCGGTGGCTGTTCGTTTTGATCTGCTGCATTCACCTGCACGTCAGATCGACCCAGCAGGAGCTCCACCATTGGCAAGCTACCTGCGTGCGACGCACTACCCAATGGACTGCGGCCGTAGTGGTCGGTTATGTTGGGGGTCAGAGCTGTCTGGGCCAACAACCGCTGCACGAGCTGCGTTGATCCGCAGTCAACCACATGATGGAGCGAGGTTGATTTCTCAGGCTGAGTCTGAAATCGACACACAGCATTGACGATGACGCTTGACTCTTCCAGTAACCTCAAAGCCACGTTGTGGTGACCGTGTCGCGTGGCATACCACAGCGGGGTGCAGCCGTACCTATCCTCGACGTTGATATCAATGTTGGGCCTAGTCAGGAGTAGATCGGCCACTGCCAAATGCCCTTTCCAGGCGGCTTCGTGCGAGGCGGTCGACTTCCGGTGGTCTCGTGCGTTTACGTCGAGCTGCTCGTTCGTCAGTAGTACTTGGACGACTGGGTCGTGTCCATTCTCTGCGGCGCAGTGTAATGGCGTTCGCCCTTCTACATCCACTTCATTCACGTACCAGCCACATTCCACGAGCAAGCGCACCATCTCTATGCTTCCCCGATCAGCCGCCATGCACAGGGGTGGCAGCACGTTGTTCACCGCATGCAGCGCGAACACAGGGGCCCATACTGTAGGATCTCTCAGCAACAACGAGGTTGTGGACAGATTTCCGTCCTTAATGGACTTATGGGGTGGGGTCTCTCCATAGTCGTCTAGGACAGCGATATCCGCGCCGCTGTCCAAGAGAAGCTGGATAATGTCTGTGTTTCCTTGTTGTACGGCGTACCAAAGAGCTGTCCGACCGTGGAAATCCCGAGGCTCGGTGCGGGATGTCGGATGGCGCAAGAGCATCACCGTGAGGCTTGCTTCGTTATGCTGCACCGCATATATAAGTGGTGTACGGCCTTCTTCATCCTGATGCAAAAGATCCGCGTTTGGCCTTGTCAGAATCATCTCTAAGATGCTCCGGTCCCCGTAGGAAATGGCACGGGAGAGAGCATGAAAAACCGGAGTCCAGCCACGCCGGTCCCTTATGTTAACATTGACTCGCCGAATTGTCAAGAGAGACTCCACAGTCTCAGCATGTCCCCGTATTACAGCCACTGCCAGAGGCGTTGTCCCCTGAGTTCGATCAGCGATATTGAGTTTGATGTTGTCTTGCTTCAATAATCGCTTTACAATGTCGGTATATCCGTACCGTGCCGCACGCCAGAGGGCAGAATGACCCTTTGCATTCCGCCAGTTAACTTGGATCTGCCGGCTGGCGAGGAGAGCATCAACAACCTTGATTGAGCCATCCGAGGCGGCGTACAGAAGCGGAGTGTTGCCGTCATGGACAGCGTTCACATTGGCATGGTACTCTCGAACAAGTCGTTCTGCCAACGGCGAGTGATCATGCTGGGCTGCCCAGCATAACGCCGAGCTGTGTTGCTTTTCAATGTTGAATTTGTAGAGAACCGGGAGTAGCAGGCGAGACGTTCGTTTGGTAACTTGGACAAACGCCAAGATGTCGCGGGACAGGTCAAAACTTTCAGCAATGCACAAAAGAATCTCATTGGGAAGGTCGAGTAGCATGATATGGTGTCAGAGAAACTCGGATTTGAAGCACAGAAAAATTGGTAGGCGTGGTATGTCAGTGCGTGTGGGTTTCTATGGCGACTAGGGCAGATGATCAAGTCAATGTGAAGGACGTTTTGAAACTGCGCACGGAACGATCGTATGAAAAGGCTCCGGCACAGACGGCATTTTTTATAATAACTCAGTGGTGGGGAAAGTTCTTAGCAAACCGCCTCTCCTGACAAAAGAGGTAAAACGTGGGAGAGACCGTGCTCCGAGGACTGCCAAACGGTGTCTCCGGAGCGCAGCAAATGTTCCCAGGAGTCTTGTCCGTCATCCTGGGGTGAGTGGCCGTCCCGGGAACGATTGCGCGGTTCGCCAGTCCCTCAAGGCCAAACACCGGTTAGGGCCTGAGCCAGTCCGCTTTACGCGTGCTACTAGCAAAAGAATTCTCGGCCGTATGGGATGAAGAGCCAAATTACCCCTGGAAAAATGTCATAGGTCAGCCAAGTCGAAGTGCTACGGGGACTTTACCCACAGGCATCATTCCCAGCCGGCATTGGCTCCCTGTGAAGCAGATTCAGCAATATCTCTCCAGTCTAAGACTAACTTGAAGTATTGGCAGACATATAAAGCCTGCCCGGTCCCCCAACTCAACCTACAACTTATACGCTGCATATGGGATAGTCTTCTTCCTTAATCTGTTTGACCATCTCTCTCTATTATTCACTGTCACTTTGAACCACATATGCCCCCTTTCTCGAGCCCGGCCGTTCCTGTCCCTAGAGACCTCCGGACTTTGCCCGTCAGCCACCCTCAGAGTGCCGCAGAACTAGGATTGCTGCTAACATCCCCAAACCCTACCCCTTTAACAAGTGACAACGAGGATAAGAATAGTATTTCCTCAGCATATCTACAAAGCCCTTCTGCAGGGAATCCTATTGAAATTAATATTTTCAATAATATAGAGAAGAACTCTAATAGTTTCTTATATAGCTTATACTATTCAGGTAATAATATCAGTAAGTTTCAGCTCCACTATAATTTTAATAACTGCTTTAATTCTAAATGAGACAACCCGAGTGTCCTCGATACTATAATAATAGTAGCCAGCCATACAACAAATATTATAAATACTGTTTCGAACAGCCGCCAGCAAAAAGAGTGCGGTACCAGCAGTAAGCAATAAGTTTTCCATCTTCACTAGTATATACTATTACTGAAAGAGTACAGGCCGTTCACTTTAGAAGCATTATAAATACAAGATATACTATTATAAAGTAGTAGATCTCATATTAAGCTGTGATTATATTTATTACTATAATTATTTTAACAAATTCTTTCATAATTCTGTGCTCTCCAAAGCCCTGAGAGATTCTAAATTAGCCTTTGAGTATCCAAGAAAATGATATTATAAACCATATTATCCAGTTTACAAGAAGACTCTTCCCGGCTGTTTTACTTATCCAAATAATCATAATTATCTTATCAGCTTCTATATTCCTATGCGCTGCCCAGATTTAGAATCCTCTCACTATTTTGTTGATAACTACATGGTGCAAGGTATCAAATTGAGGATGTTGTGATGTCATATAGAATTCTGGAGAACATTTTATATAGTATTTACTTCGTACATCTATCATGCGATGTCCCAAGCACATCGAGTATCAGATATTACACAATAACTCCAGTTATTCCTTAGTAGACGAGTAATATAACTCTCATATTAGAAATTAGTATCTGTCAATCCAGGTAGCACAGAATAATACCAATTATAATATAGTTATAAATCAGCTCAGTTAGTTAAGTCTTGATTTAAACCCCAAACCCGCCTCAGTCAGCGAAGAATGGGAACTACCGAAAACCTTACTGAATATCACAGGACATCATCATAAACAAAAAGCAATAAAAAATAAATATATAAATAAAGACACAGTATATGTCATACAACATCTCTTAAAAAATATATGATAGTATACAGTCTTCTGGAATTCTGTACTAAATTAATTACCAAGTCCACATTAGCCCATGAAGAGTCAGAATCAGAAGAGCCCAGTCAAGTATAGCCCAGACTTTACTTTATAGAAAAGTAGGTCAGAGCTCTCATCTCAGGGAGCATATCAAAGTAATATAGGATTATAATTACTCTTACGTCCATATTTAATTCAACAATATAGTAAGGGTATGTATTACCAATATAAAGAAAGATATTTATACATATATATAATTCAGGAACTGAGCAATTAATTACAGATTATAAAGAGTCATAGGTCACAGTACAAGACACAACACATACCATCCAATACTTTATTATCCATGAGATATATATTACTATCATTATCACCACAGTAACAACTCTTGGATCAGGAAGGATTCTGGGGCGTAGCCAAATCACTAGATTAACAAGACCCGTAACAATATAAAGCTTGGCAAGCACTACACTATCTAAGCAAGACAGCAGCAACTGGTTAATACAACAGTCATCATGGAGAAGGTAGAGAACCAGACATAGACTAATCCCAAAGAGGATCCCGTTTCAAACCAGAACAGGATACCGCGGATCAAAAAACAACAGGAGGTCTTTCACCACAAGAACAAAACACATGAACTGATTCAAACAAATGCCCAGAAGTAAGAGGGCTTCCGCGGATTTAGATCTTAGATACTAGAGCAGGTGAGTATGGCACTCAAAATCAGACCTACATGCCTAACATACCTAAACCCGCGTGGTATCCATGATACTATGCGTTCTGCATTAAATAACGTAGTTGTGCAGGGGTCAAATGGCCTTCTGTTATAACCTGGCTGGGCGGTTGAAGTATGCTCTTCAGCGTACTCCTAGTTAGCAGATGGTCCAAACCACGGCATCAGACATAGGTCTGGTCTAGTAGCTTAACTATAGAAATATGTATCCATGGGTGAAAAGGCAGATTCTACAGCATTAATTTTTAAAAATATATTAGAACAAAAAGCCTCGGGGCGTAAAATAGCTTATAGAAGAAATAAGTAATTAAAAAAACAATAAGCAGATCTACCTAGATTAGACTCAGAATAAATATTTCATAGTATAAAAAACCTCATAATTAATCAGGTTATTATAAATTATCTATCACCAAAGAACCTATTCAGTCGATTTGGTAGGAGCACCGCATCTAATAATAATTAATATATAAATAAGCAACAGTGTGTTGATCCTGTTAATAAGCAATGATTTTCTGACCATAGTACAATCATAAACCACCATGCTTCTATAGCTTAACCTACTATAATACTGAATCTAGGTTAGCTAAGCTAGATAACTGGACTTTTAAGAGAAAGTCCTTATTAAAAGCTCCTGTACTCAGGGACCAGTCAAATATCAACCTCAGTCATATCAATGAGACTGAATACATATTTTTTTTAAAAGCAATAATTAACATCCCAAGCTTCCCTCATCTATCATTCAAGCAGGATACAGGTTCCAAAACTAACCAGCCTGGGCTATATTCAACTGAAACCACAATTTCCCTCCCAATTACGCGAAGGGTCAAGTTGAGAGATAAGATTGCCCGTTCATTTCGACGGGTTTCCATTCTGCCTTGACTAGCATCATCATACGGCGTCACGCTGAATAGGGTCCGACAAAATTATAGGCGATCGTCTGTTACTCCTCCAAATGTGGTGGAAGCCCCTTAAGATGCCGGGTCGCGGTCTATTATGAGTCCCACCCGGGGAGGTGGATGTTCTACTAACCAAGGGCAGGGCAACCGGGATCACTAACAAGCTGGTAGGAAGAATTTGCCGGGTGGACATGGTCAATTAATCAACTATACCGTCTTGAGAACGCGTACGTACCGTGAGAATCTGCAGGAACATTGATTGGTACCTGTTTGCAGAGCAAAATTCTCCGGGCGGCTAGTATATTATTCCTAATCAGATAAAGTGCCTCACTGCTGGTTAGTATTGAAGTACCCGGTCTATATAAAATCACCTTCATAAATCCATTAAGGACAGCCAGCTTTCATTCTACAATATTCTATAATATTCTCTGTCTCAAAGCCATATAACAGATTACTATTTAATATGACTTTTCATATCCTACACTTCGCTAGTTCTCTAACTGGAGTGAGAAGGCTGATCTCCTAATATAAAACTAAGTTAATACCTCCAGGTCTAGTGAGATAAGACATTATTAAGCCAGAAAATATTTTAATAGTACCCTCGAGTCTTTCTTGCAGATACAGATCTGCTGAAGTGGGAGTTGCAGCAAGCCTGCATACCCACCAAATGTCAATAAGTGCTTGTTTTGACTTGTTGCCACAGAAAAAAAAAAAACTCACTACGATTTAGGATGTGCAGCTACAGGTAAGCGACCAAGTTTTATAGATTTTTATTTTTTTTAAGATTAGGCAGAATACATCCTCCATGATTCAGGCCAGAACATATTCTGTTTCTTCTACTAAAAGTAACTAATAGAATTCCTGCTACACAGCTTCTTTTCCTTCACTTCTACAGTAATATACTAATAGCTCTCTTCTAAAACCTGTCTTTTCCAGTCCAGACCTCTTTTTCTGTTATCCAGGTGAATTCATATATTCATTATAATTCAATATAATCTACTGTTATATTATGAGTACAGACACCTGCCCAAAATAAACTAAAAATTTTAACTTATCAAAATCAGAGACACTGATTTTAGAAAGAAATCTATCTCAATACTATCTTTTACTATTATCTAATCAGCTCCATTGTTTGACGGGAAGCGGGTGAGTAATTATATAAATATAAACTAGTATTTTTTCTAATAATAACACGTGTTAGGTAGCATCTCCACTTTCCATGCATTTATTTAAATTACTGTTCCAATATCCAGACTTGCTCTCCTGTAAAGTATAGAAAAGAATATAAAGTTAATTATTTATCTTATTATTATTTACTCTGTGCCTGGAGAAGATCACGGTACTCCCCCAAATATTATAGATTTTACTATTGAATATAAGTTATCTAATAAGCTGAGGAAATAAAATGATATACCTCTTCCTCATAATTAATATTAGAATAGAAGTGCACTTGCAGTCTACCTAACAAGCAAAAACATCATTGACCGCTTCCAGAGAATCATTCCTGTACTGTCAAAGATAATTCTGCTGCACAGTACCGACAGAGAGGGGCGTCCTTGGCGAATACAGCTGATAATCAGACAATATAATTCAACATCTCTGCGTAAGCTAGTAAGAAATATGGGCGAATCTATCCTCCAGCACCCAGAACACCCATGACATGCCTGACAGCAGCTGCATGAAGAACAATATATAAATTAATCTTAGACAGTTCTAGTTGAAGTAAATCTCTATATCAATATATCCTGGGCAAAGGAGAGCATTATCCAGTTGCTTAATAATATTAATAATTATGATCAAGAATGGCCTCCCCGCGTAAATACATCATTACTACTATTAAGCAAGGCAGGCAGAGGATAATTTTATTATCAGCTTCTATTTTACTATTTCTTGAATACTGTCAAGGATGTGATGCTGATATATTCATAATAAAATAACAAACAAAATAGCCAGATCATGTATTATAATTCTAATCACCAATAGTCTCTATCACAAGAATAATTAGTAAATATCTCTGTATCTGTCCCTATTTAATAGCTCCACTAATAAGAAATAGGCCTCACACTACTTGAGACCCCAAGTAATAACATAGAATAGATTAATTACCAGGTATATTAGTAAGAGAAAGTACTTACTATAATCTATAATAAGAAGACAGCCTGGAGAGTATTTAAAATAGACAAAAAAATACACACTTTTCTTTACTTATTAATAAACTTTAATAAATAATAATTACATGGTATTAACTTCTCAAAGCCTAGGCTCTATAGTAATACTATTATATATATAAACAGACAGTCTATAAGAGGGGTAAGCCTATTCTCTCTATTTAAAAAAGTCTTTACTGACTGATTACTTGGTTAGTATAATCTATCTCAGCAAGATTATACCACAGAACCATCCTTACAGTGCTTATATTAATAGAGTATAAGTATTAAAAGTGACACAATTAGAATAATTAGTTTACTACAGTGATTCTATTTCATAAGAGTCAGAATAAGGATCAAACTTTTGTAACTACTACATAACAAATTTAAGCATCATCGAGCCGGCGCATTTTGCGAGGATAAATAAGCCTGAAACTAACACATATTTCCGCCTGAGGCACCAATGGGCTGCGGCCGAAGAGATGAGTCAGCTGGTAAACAACCCGACACGTGTCCCTTGACATGACTTTCCCCAACTACTGGAAATAAGTTTAAAGGAAATTCAACCACACTGCTGTCTTTAACTCACACCCACTATCCCCTTCTGATACCCAAATTAATTAAATTCTCATGAATATCTAGAATAAACTAATCTATTTAAAAACATGTCTTCAGAGTTTCAAGCAAGACACAGTAAGCAACTTTATTATAAAGATTATTGAAGCTTTGTAAGATGATGAAACTCTTTAATATAAGTTTAGAATCCAAGGCCGAGTCACCTTCTATGATCACACAAACCCATCAGAACTTTGCTGGAGCACAGCCTGAAGAAATTAAATCTTGAGAACATGCAGATACCCTAACCACCAGCAAACACGAGGCTTGGAAGAGGCTGAGGAAAAGAAAGAGAAACTATAAAAAAATAAAAAAAAAATAATACTATATAATAATATAATCAGCAGGCTGACCAATTTTACATACACCTTGCAGCAGAAACAGCAAGTACTCGTATATACAGTGAAGTAAGAATTCAAAGCACCATACAAAGTAATGATCCCTGAATTAATAGCAAATATCTCAACATGTTAAGACATTTCCAAAAATTTCTGTCAAGACCCGCGGGCATCTGTATCAACTCAGGCACAGCTACACCCAAGCACTCGTCCGCTGAAGGCAGTGTCAGTAATTAAGAATCACATACACTATCTGCTTCTGCCGCACCCGCATCGCGCAACTAATTAAGCCGCAGCATCAGCAACAACCGCCCATCAACCATGAGAGGCAAAAGGACACAAGCCGGCTAAGACTATAAAGAGACTTCTCAGAAAGACTAATATTCTACATAACCATACTACACCATTGCCTGTATCCGCGGCTTGATTAACCAAGGACCTCTGGATTAAATATACTCCAGCTAGAAATCTTACAATAATCAGTAATATATTATTAGACTACAGAAGTTCATACACTAGCTCTATTATTAACTTATCTGAGATTAAGATCTCAGATTTAAACAGCTGTATATATATAGTTAAACAGGATATTTTATTAAAGCCACTCTCATTTCCTGTACATAGTCTGATCATAAATACTATAACTGTGAAGACCAGCATTGCCTTTAAATAAAAGTAGATATTTACTACCAGCTTAGGAACTTACAGAGATAATATATCCCTGTCTGTAAACTCTAAGCCTCGTATTATATATTAGTACCATGGAAAATTAATGGCGCAGATAATAATCTTGGAATAGTCCAGGACATAGTTTTAATATATTTTCTATGACAGAGACTCCTGCTTTTTTTATTAAGAACACAACAAAGCTCTGACCGTGCTCTAACAGTACAAATTTATTTACTGAGACAGTAAACAGTATAATATACTGCAGGAAAACCTGATTAGCTATCTAATTATTAAAAACCTAAAGAATATAAAATAATAAAAGTACCTTGGGACTTTTAATTACATTTTAAACAGTAAGCGGCGTACTCACTGTGTCAGAGTAATAAAATATAAGCCCAGTTTTGAAAAGATAGAAAATAAATAATATAACAGGATCTCAAGCTTATGATATTTAATTTAGAAATATTACAAAGTATACTGCTACAAGACATCATGGTCTTTATCTTAGACCGGTTACTAAATACGCATTTTGCAACACAAATTATACATATTGCAAGAGCCTGACTGCACGGCAGGCTTGAGCAGCAGAACTATTATATAATTTTCTAGATAAGCTATTAAAAATATATACTTCCTATTAATCAGCCCCCGTCAACTGAAATCCTTCAAAAATCATTTATTTAATTTCACAGCTAGCTCTGAGTATTTATAGTTTATATAATTAGCATCTGTCTTTATAAGAATATATTCAATTACCTAATAATGGCTCAGATTATCTTCCCCAATATTAATATTCTAATAAGATTATTCAAAGTTTCTTTCTCTTCTTAGATACTAATAGAATCCTATAACTGCTTATTACTAAATATAATAATACGATCACTGGCTTCACAGTCCGTGATCTCAAGACAGTCTAAACAAAGTTCATCCCGAATAGTCTTAAGTAATAATTTCCAGGACTCTAGAGTTGGAAGTTTGATTAATTCTAGATATATATCACGCAAAGTCATTTTATGGGCAAGAAGTAGCCTAGCTAAATAGTCTTCTATATTACTGACTATATTAATCTCCAAGATACAGAGATTCTTGAGACAAATGCCTTTGCTTAACACCTTAAGATCCCCTGTTTAAATACAAGAATCAAACCCTAGATGTAGTATTTCAAGCCCGGAAAACTACATGATAAATTATACTAGATACCTTGCTTAAGATAACACACTTTCCCTCTCTGGTAGGCCAACTGTGATACATAAGATTATAAATATTAAAGTAATAAGACTTATAATAAGACAGAGATCTGGAAGCTGTAATATTCCTGGATCTACTGGAACTCTAGATAATCCTATATAAAGTTCAAACTACTGCAGTGGAACACAACCTGCAGTAACAGTAGTAAAGATAATATAAATAACACAAACAAAGAATTTCCAGCTTTCTGAATTATCTAATATAGAATTTGATTCAATACTAATCAATTTCTCGAAAGAACAAGCCCTCCAAGGGTAATAGTTAATATTATTTTTAATAAAAATTATCCTATAGTTTATTGCCTTGGAAAGGGCTTGTATAAAACATGCAGTATTATAATCTAATACTACCAGATAATCCTGCTCAGCTAAATATTATTTATAACTAATTTTGTCCACTGCAGCAGCTTCTTTATTCCGGGGATTAGCTAGGTGATATACTGTAAAGTAATTAAGATAAATCATATAAATATATAATATACTATTATAAGCAGGGTGAGTAGCCATATTTCAAAGAATCTTAAAGCTATGTCAGCTTAAAATATAATATTATATTTTAAAAAATTTCATAGTAAAATCCTGGAATAACCTTACTCAGAGACTTCTGTTGGCAAGGCAAAAATTAAGAAAATAATTACTTTCTAATTTTCTTATAATCATACTCACAATCTCTATTAAAAATTTATCCATATAGCTGGATTATAGCAGATGCTCACTATTATTAAGCATTACAGTGGTTTAACAGAAACTAGTCAACAGGCTGTTACATGGTTAGGATAACGAGAGTTATAGAGGCGATACAGAGCAGGACTGGTTTTGGATACAACTGGCCTTGCTCCCAAGACAGATAGGATACAGATCACTACTTAGTTTTCCTTGGAAGTGGCAGCTCATATACTGTTTATATAATCTGTAATAAAGGATCTAAGAATAACAAAGCCCTCTCTTAATAATGGATTCTTCGGTGTATGAAAAGTTGCGTTGATCTCGATGTGATAGAAGTTAGAACCTTCAAAGCGTACAGGGACTTTATGTTACAGTAATTTATGATCACATGACTCGGGATTTGGGGGGACAAATAGATGTACGGTTGTGGCGTTGAATACACGGCCTGCTGCCTGGGTGTATTGTTACCAATATTGCTTCGGATGAAGATCCCAAGATCAGAGCTGATTAGCTCGAAGCCGAGGTTCCGAAGGAAACTTGTAAGGGCCTGATACCAAATCTGAGGAGCTTGTCTGAGGCCATACAGTGCCTTTCGAAGTTTGCAGACCTTAGATGTGCCGTCGCTCATGTGGTGAGGCTGTTCGACGTAGATTTCCTGGTCTATGTACCCGTACAGGAATGCCGTTTTGACATCCATCTGCTCGATCTCGAGATCTAGGGCCGCCGCGATTGCGAATAGAGCTTTATAGCTCATTGGCTTGACCACTGAGGCAAATGTTTCGTCATAGTCGATCCCCTCTTCTTGCGTAAAGCCTCTCACTACCCATCGGCACTTGTAGCGGATGACTTCGCCATGCGGTCCTCGTTTGACTTTGAAGACCCATTTTCCACTGAGAATCCGCCGATCTGTGGGAGGATTAACGAGCTCCCACGTTTTGTTTTGGTGGAGTGAGTTCACCTCTTCAAGCATTGCTCTTTCCCATTCGAGCCAGCTCGCGTCATTTTTTAATCGAGCAATGGATGGGAGCAGCGGGCCGGCTGATGTAAGCCTGTCGGGATCACGGTCGCCGCGCGGACCGCCCCCCCTCCTTGGGATTGTTTTATACGGTCGAAAAGAAGCCTTTGATTCAAGAAAATCATAGTTTGACATTATGTGATTCAAATTAAGGGGTTAAGGGTACTGCGTACAACCTGTGGCCAATATTGAAGCAATTGCTGCAGCATGGAGGTGTTCAAGATGGGGTCTCCGCAGGCTGAGTTTCGGATCGAGGAATCACTTCAGCTTTCAGTATACTGATCATTCTGGACCTTCTTTTCTTGCTGTATAACCTTCTGGACTTTCTCAACTATAGTATGTTCCTTGTCAGCTATCTGCTTCTTTGGGTGCTTTCTCTTTCGAAGTTACTTCTCATGGCTAGACCGTAATGCATCATCCTATTTAGCTATAATAATTCTGTTTGTTATAGCAAGCTCGCAGACTTTGAAGACCGTTGTATCGTAGATTTAGTAGGTAAGATTAGACTTAACCCTTCCGAAGTAGTCACTCAGTAGAAATTTCATGTTTCAAAAGTTGTCGTATATCATGTGGTGTTTGAAGCACTGAACCACTTGACCGGTTATCTAGAGTAGGCGGTACTGTAAGGTCTACAATCGGTTGTTGAAGCACTTGTTTGGGATACGAGGACTAATCCTGTTGCTTTAAATTCAGTAGCAAATACTTGACTTTGTTAAAGCCTGCCGGTGAATTTTATGATAGCTATCTAGGAAGTCCAGCTTGTTAATATGATTTGTGTCATAGCATGCTTGCTCTTTGAATCAATCCCCTGTACGCATGTTTACGGATGCTAAAATAGCTAACATCATGAGCTTGAAGTAGATGGGTTGGATGAGTAGGTATGTAGATAAGAATAACCCGGTTCTTAGTACAGGTTTAGTCGAACTCAGGTGTAAAATGATTCTTATAGCTATCTAGAACTAGAAGGCCGACCTGATCTCTCTCATTTCGTCATGACTATAGGAGCGTAGATCATGCCTATTGCAAAGCCTGTTAAATTAAATTAATCGATATCCTCTGATGAGACCCCGTACTCTGTAACAATTTTAAGAACCCGATTGAACCAGTCTTCTATAACTTCAAGATCTTCCATTCAAGCCATTCAGTAGTTGTATCGTCTAGCAAATTGGGTTATGAAGGATTCAAGGCATTTAATAAAGTTCGAAGCCCATTTAGGGCCCCCTTCGTCGGAAGTTCAACAACTCAAGTATGATTGTAACATATTACATAGGCACATGTAGCCCTTAATAGCTGAGGTATCTTAGCTCGGAAACACATCTTTTGTATGGTATTACCGGGTGGCCCGCCCGATCGTTGTTTAACGTTAAGTTATCTATGACAGACTCATATTACTAAGAAACCCCAAGGACCCATCAAAACTTTGGATACCTATACAAACTTTGGTATGTTGCGTAATATGTGGGTACTCCACCTACAGCAAATGTGCTGATAATTTTTGTGCGCTTCTTAGGGAACATCTGCCAGTGCTGGGAATACTTTATAAAGACGGACCTGGCTGCGCTCTGAAGTATCCTGCTATATCAACAGCACTTATATCTTCCCCAACACTATTTCTGAGCCTAACTATATATTATAATCAATCCTTGCTTCTTTCCTACTCTGCATTGACAGGCTCGGGTCATTTACAGGCTGGAGGTAAATTGTCTCCAGCTTCATAATATATAATAAAGAAGGACAAATGGTAATAATAATATTAAAGATAAATACTTCCGTCAATCCATGAGATTCTATGGAATGGCAATAATTTACTATATCCTGTACTGACTCTGACCCCTCCACGGCAAGCTCATTATGCACTGTCTTATGATCTGCCTTTGAGTATTGTTGGATAATTAAATATTAAGGGGTCTTCCGGGCCATTAAATCCTTTTTTAAGTATATTAACTGGTTCTCCTATGCAAACTTACGGTTATCCTCCTCAGCCTCAGTTGCGAGCGGAGACAATAACATCTGACTTAGCATTAATTAACACTCAACACGTGATAAATATATCATTATAATCACTCAATTTTGGAAAATCGCCTACTCAGATTGCGAAGACAGGCATTACTTCAATTTCCGGATGCCAGGTTAAATCTGTCTACAAGTACAGCGCGCCTAGCTCGCCTCCTACCGGCAGTCTGGTTCCGCTTGATTATGGTACGTTCTCGCAACCATTCTCTTTTCAGTCGCAGCCACAAATAAATGGGCCAGCCTATTCCTCAGCTTCCTATGACGCTAGACCCTATGCGGGAGTGTTATGGAAATCCGGTATGGATAATATAAAAGCAAATATTACAGCCCGTCCTGCTGTTATGGGACAGCCACAAAGCGACTCTATTAAATGTTACCTGGATATTAATGAAGTGGAGACATTTCTGCATGAGGTATGTTATTATCTACTTGAAACCAGGTGGACCATAATCGGTACTTCAATTGATCCTCTGATATAAAGTATAGAGTCACTAAAATTACCAGATTGCCGCGATAAGCACGGGAGTCATGGATTTTGCAAGACACTATATAATAAGGGTGTACCAAGTTTAGTGTTCTGGCCCTGTATTGGGTCGTCTATCCATGATATACGAGATTAAGAAGGTATTTAACTTATAGTGCTGTAATCAAGATACCTTACTTCATATACAAAGAGTGCTTCTAAAAGAGCATGCTTTTACTGAGCAGATAATACAGAAGAATGCTTTCAAAGCAGGTGGTGTACATGATGATATCTATATAGTAATATACCAGAAACAATCCACGCGTAGTAGGAAATTTGCTAGTGCGGATTTGAGAAAGCGACAAGGGGTATATTTACTACAGAAACTTCTTACCTTATACTACTATCATTTCTTCTTTGCCTTCTGATTCTTGTTTACTGTGGGATTGCCCGTTGTTATATATTTTGCCATCGCTAACAGCGGTGCTCCTGCAGAACGCTGCTACTACCGGTCGTTGCCACGGCTGTGGCCGAACCAAAACACCGGAATGGCGCCGTGGGCCTGATGGTGCCCGTACTTTATGTAATGCCTGCGGCTTGCACTATGCAAAATCAACTCGAAAGGTGGTCGTGGACAAGGCATCCCTTTGCTTCGACCCTGAACTTAAGACTGGCCCTTGAGTCAGCGTCATCGAAAAGCCAATAATATTGGCCTGTTCATTTATATCGGGTTGGACACGGCATACAGGTTGGAAATGTTTGATCATCACCTATTCTTAGTTTCGTTATTGTCTTACGCTGGATCATATTCCAATAAATGGCTATTTGGTTAATTTCATTTACCCTGACCCCTCGCCGCCATTGGAGAAGATTGATCTTAGTCCATAACCCACTAGATTAGGTGCGAATTCGTATTTTAGTCTAGTAGGGAAACAACAGAAAAAGCGATATGCAGGCTATAACAACAATTTCCATCCGCATACGTACATGTAGAATAATCAACTCCCTGAAAACGAACTTAAGAGCCTTGTCAAGGCCTGTCAGGGCCTAATCGCCGTTCCCAATATGAGGCTGCTCTCATGGCGCGCGACCCCCAAACCGCTTAGACGCCTCGGCGAGGTCTGGCACGGCCTTGACCGTTCTAGGTCTAGTCGCGAGACGGTGTCCGAGTTACCTTTCTTTCATTTGAACCTCCCAGCAGACTCGAGGTACTATTGAAACCGTCCTCCACTTCTTTCCTCAATTTTTCTATTTTTTCTTTTCTTTTCTTTTCTCTTCTTTTTTTTTTTTTTTTTTTTTTTTTTTTTTTTTTTTTTTTTTTTTTTTTACTTTTGCAACATCGTCAATATTTGAACAGTTATCAGCACGTGGATTACTGTTTGCTATGCGCCGCATGCGCAGTGATCGTCGCGAAATTGATGGGCATTGCAATACGTAGGTGGACAACCAATTGTAGCCCGTGCGCAGCTGCGCCCGATTCCTCGCCAAGTTGCCGTACAACTTTCTAATGTAGATGCCCGGTAGTGTGCTGTCTACTTCTTCGCAGGAGACTACCTTTTGTCATAGGCCTCGATTCTTGGCCCCACTGGGTTAGGATCTGGTTTCGGATCGATGCCCTCGTCCTTGTGAGGAATGGGCAGAAGGGTGCGTTTTGCATGGGCACGCGGCGTTCTTGGCCAGACGATCTGTTAGCGGGTATTGCTGAGAGAAAATTCCCCTTTGTATTTGGCTATGTAGGTCTCCCAAATGTCGATGCGCTTTTGGAAGTAAATTCATTGGCTGGGTTCAACTGGGGGGTTTCAATATCACTTATACGCACAAAGATGGCCGGCTCGGGTTAAATGGAGGCTCTTTTGTGGATTACGTTACGAGGTCGTCATAGCAACTCTAGCAACGCTCGGCATTCTTGAAACTTTCGGGACAAGCCATTACAAAATACTTCACAATCCGACGACTACGGCTGCGAAGCTCTACTAACAACACATGCAAGATCTCACGACAAGACAAACTCGCAGCGATTTCGCTATGGGAAGCCTGTTGAAAGTGCCTACAGAAATATTGATTTCAATCTGCAGCTACCTGGACGACATCGACGATATATTTCACTTAGCACGTAGCTGCAAACGTGTTCTCAATATAATTGAAAACCCAGATAATCAATTATATGTCCTCCGTTCTGTAATAGTATGAACATTCTCTGTTGATGCCAACGTATGTTGCTCTGGTTACTGATAGATGAGCAGCGGAACGCTTCTCACCACCACTACGACACCCAGTTATCCTACCTGTTAGCTTTATCTGAAAGGTATTCGCCAGACTATGCCGCATCCAAAGACGAGCCATTTCTCTTACCGCGGCCTAATCAAACGATCTCTCGAGCGCACTGGCCGCGGAACATGAGCTGTTACCGGCAGATGCAGTTTGGGCAATTGTGTCCCGATGGCGAGGCCTGCGGGTCCTGTACGATCTCTATTGCCACCCACTGCTACGTGCGGTGTATCTCGGCTCACATTTGCCGGATTGGTTGGATAACGAGTGCTACGAGGAAGAATTCGTCCATTCGCCTAGCGATCTTCCCCCATTGCCTTCTGTTACTCATTATGGCGGCAGTGCACAGGGAGCGGGTGCTGCATTCTCGGGACGCAGCCGTCAAGCCTACCGGCGTTTTTACAAGGCTTTAACTGCCCACTGGACGGCTGTTGAAACTTTGTCGTTGGCCAGGGTAACAGTTTACAGTACGCCGGAAGATCGTGATCGCCGCTTCTCCCAAATTTGGAAAATATGGGCCGAAAACCGAGATCGAACACTGCAAGAAAAATTAGATCTGATAGAAGCGTTTGATTTCGTGTGGGGTTTCCTATTACGTAAGATTCTAGCAAGCGCCCCCAGCCTTTACGATTGGCTGGGCGAGGAAACGATACGACTATGCCCGGGCGGTGAGGCTTCTGACTGGGCCTTCTTCGTTCGCACAGCTATCCAGTATCTACGACCTCCAAACATTATCGAAATGTTGCTTTGCCCACCGTGGGTACGTTCTCAATCGTCTGTAGATGCAAGTCGGTTTGGCTACCTCCGCGCATTGGGTTTGTTCGACCAGAAAAATGGCATCTGTCAGCAAATGGAGCATGATTGGACAAGGAATTGGCAGTGGTGTTGGTATTGCCCCGTGACTGTTCTCGAATATGATGTGCTTGTTGAGATACGGAACATACTACAGAAAGCAGACGGTGTCCGAGGCACGGCACGATTTTGGGAGTATGTATGGTGGACGTACAGGCGCAAGGCCTGGGTTTCTGATGCTAGAGGAGTCTTGTTTTTCCGGGAAGAGAGTGCCGAGCGAATACTTTCTAGGATGAAAACTGGGATAGGAATCTAATGTCGCAGCTATATTGATATGGCTGCCTATCGTATGCCGGCTAGCACTCGGGATGACCACATTCACAAAGACTAGTCTCATTCAGGGTGCCACCTTAGGATGCGCCAACGGTGTCAAATTTCTGGCCATAATTGCCGCTTTACATAATTTCATTGTTCCCTGGCATCACAAATTTTGCAACCAGTCGCAGGATCCCCTAACAATGTTCTAAGCCCTATAAATCATCTTCGTCGCTCAAGACCATAAGAATTCGTTTCCTCGAAGCTACTCATACGGATAGTTGAATCAGTGTCACTGAGAACAAAAACACGACGAGCCCACTTGAACAGCTGCAATGGTTACGGAGATATACGACTTTCAATAACTCTCCTGGCTTACGTCGTGCCTTCAATCTTGTTGGCCTTCTGAGTCATGCATCACTCAATTTGACAAATATTGTCCTCTAGAGAGCATTATTTTTCTTGATATGCCTGGCACTCATTCCATAAGTTCGAGCCACTTCATCAAAGAATTTTCAGCCGTTGAAACAACTTTATTGTCGTCAAATTCGGGATGCCATGTTTGACGGCTATAGTAGAATTGATGAAAGGACTGATTTATTAAACTGTAGACATTTCGAGCCTTTTCTGAGGCCAATGTTTTCAAAGCTCTCTATCCAGTTAAATTTCTATAATTGACAGTCACAGACTCCTGCTTATCAAGCTACTGGTGAGGCAGACAGAATGCACGGGGTACGACGCCTCCACAGCACAAAGGATTTACCTTTTCTCTAATTAACATGGCCGGAAGGCCTATCCGCGACGACTTCAAAAGATTTGCGCTTGATGGAATTAAACGCATGGTCTTCCTAAGATGTCGATGAAACCGACAGAGAATGTTAAGCGTGCCAAGTCTGTGTCCCTAGGCAAAACAAGGGTGGTTTGAGGACGTACAAAGGCGCTATAGCCGAGTATGGTACGAAAAATGAGGGTATTAAAGGACCTGATAAGACAGGCATTTGATACTCATTGGTACTACTCCATAGTCCCGCGCCCTTATGCAAAATCATCATTTGTTATGCAAGAAAGTGACCGGGAAGTATCACATCGATCGACTAACTTTCAATGCTGTTGGCTTGACGCTGTCATCGTACTGAATCCTCTTAAGAGACTCGTATTCATGCATGGTATAATTGCGAGATTAGGCCACATGAGGACAAGTTCTCTTTCGTCAAATAACTGGACTACCTAAAAGCGTGGACCGAATTGGCTTGAAAAACACTTTGGATTCTATATTGGGGATCCGAGGAGTGGTCAACAGAGTCCTCTAATCCTTGACGGTCATGATATCCAACACACTCCTATTTTTGGCCAAATGTGTAGCTAAAATAATATCATCCCTGTGTATATGACTGCAAAACGTCTCATCTTTGTCAATCATCAGATAATACCTTTTTTCTACCATTGAAGTAGGTTTGCGGTATTTTGTAGTACGCATCGTGTACAGGATATCATCATGTTGATAAGACCGATCTACGCGGAGTCTCATTCTCTTGCCTTATATTTTTAAATGTGCGGCAATGGTTCCCCTCACGAAGGTAGCGAAATCAATTCTCATCGCCGGCTCCACATTTACCACCACTATAGATCCCGTCACCACCATCCCTATTGCCTATACACTGCTCACCCTTCACCCTCTTTTCTGGGACTCAACCGACCATCTGACCCGGGCACGTCCGTGTCTGTTTAATTGTCGACAATATTCAGTGTCAAGCCACCAACTTACGAAGTCGTTCTCTCGGGCTGGCTCGAAAAGTACCCAGTCTTTTCTGCGGTCAGATCCGACGCGTCTCAGGGTTGGTGGAGGCTTTTCGGCAAGGATATCGAGACTCTCACTTGACTGTGGAAAAGGCTAGCTATGTTTTCAGCAGAAGACTAAGAGCGCTGGCTGAAGAACCTTTCCCGATATTTGGAATTCCGAGTCGAGGAACGAATCGGATGATGGCTCGATTGATCGCGCCGGGCTGGATGTATGTATGAGCCATCGATCTCGATGAGCACGAAGTGGCAGAGGCCATGACTATGCCTCATTACCGTGCTCTGAATGAAATCGGCAGTCCGCTAGATGTCACCGTTCACACGCAGTTCGCTCTCCGCTGGGCCACAAGTCCCCGGGGGTACGGCGAAGTGCTTTTGAAATGGGCCAGTCCTTGGTCTCTCATCTGCCTTCTGTTCATGATATTAGAGCTGTTCGCATCGCAAGGTCGCCAAGTTGTCCACCAGATTGTCGGTCATCCGGGTAGCTGCGCCGGTCATTGTCTATTTTGCGGTCATTTCCTCTTTGGCACTAGTTGTGGCATACAAGCTGGGGCTTGGATACAAGCTTGTGGCGATATAGAGCTTTATAGCTGCCAGCAATAAATCCGAGCTGGCGACTGCTGTTGCTGTTGCTGTTGCTACTTTTGGCCCGGATAGTAACCAGGCGCTCGCTTCGACTGTTGGACCGCTTATCGAAGTTCTAATTTTGTTGGGCCTCGTGTATGCCGTGACATTGGTGGCAAAGAAGTTGGTTTGGAAGGATTAATGGATTGTTACTTGATAACCAATCTGCTGAGAGCCTTGTATATTTCTTTGTTCGTACTATATCGACCTTATCCACTGCTTGTCAAGACAGCATCTTGGACCGCTTTAACCAAAAGACAACTTGAGCTGCGGAGAGCCTGGTAGACGTACGATATGGCAGATGGATAACCTCCTGGTCGACGAACAAGTAGCGGAATGTGTTACACCGGCTTACTTGTTCCACGGGGTTAGAGAAAACTTGGTCATGATAAATAGATCGCCTGGAGATTGGGCGAAGAAGGGATAATGTACATATACATAAGAGCGTTTCTCGGAGGCTGCTGATGACGTACGGCTGGAGGTCTGTAATTTTGGGTGGTATGGTTTCCATCTGGGGCTCAAATCGGCGAATAGTGAGGCGGCAGATATACCTAAATAAGGTGACATGGCGCCAAAATTGTCATATACCGCGCCCGGCATAATGAAATCATCATGGAAGGTTGATAACTGGGAAAGATTGGGGTATATAAATATGCCTCCGACTGACAGGGTCGTCAGCCCTTGGTCGTACGTCGGCACGGGCGCAGAACTGTCAATTGAGGACTACCTGGCTAATATGTAAGGCCAAGAACTGGAAGTCCAGGACATAGATCTAGCGATCACAATCATTGGACAGATGCAAGTAGACTTCGGTCCAGGCTGGCTCCCAGTTCGTGGCTCTGAAACCCCTCCTGCCCTGTGTCCCACTTGCGAATATCAGTATATTCATCATCTGTGGCATTCTTGGAGCGTTCATATCCACTTTGCCCTGCTCTGGGCAGGTGTGGAGTATTATCTCCGGCCCTGTACTTTCCGTACTACTTGCAAGCCTCCACACCAGTGTCTTCATTAGGCTGGCGTGACTGACAATGATTCTTAAGATATGGACCTCGACCAGAGGACTCCTTTGAAAATTAGCGCAACGTAAATGGAGCAAATGTGTTCGATAGACGGTCATCTGCGCTACGATTAACAGCAAACGCTTTGTGCGACGCCCAAGTCTCAGTGGATGTGACAGTTTATGGAGCAGATTTCAGGCCAAAGATACAAGGTGGGCGTAGCCCAAGATGTGTGGATCTCTCTTGCAGTAGTTAATGCCTCGAATAACGATGGTTAGGAGGGTAGCTGTTGTAAACATTTCATCACATGGTTCGGATCGCGATACTATGACTCTGCAGGTGGCTGGCGAAAAAAAGAAGAAAAAGAAAATGCACTCCCCCGGATTGGATCTTTTTTTCTAAGTCTAAATCAAGCCAATGTCTTGTGGTCGGAACGCCGCTGCCACATGTCATGACGTCGAGAACAAACCTGCAGTCTCATTTCACTTGCTTGAACAATCTGACGGACAGCGGACTTCGAGGATGGCCGTCAGACAGCGGCAACTTCGCAAACCTCAGCATCAGCGGGCACATGCGTGGATACTCGGCAATAGTATGGCCTCGTTGGCATCTGCAGTACATTTGATCCAGGAGACAAGTATCCCTGCGTCGCACGTTAATGTCGTGGAGTCTCGCACATCTGCCACGGATGGTCTGTCTACTACTGGCAACGCTACGATTGGTTACGACTACCGAGCTGCATGCCTCCCTATATTCTGCGATGGCTGTACCGAGGACTTGCTTTCCATTATTCCTTCGACTTCCGGACCAGGAAAGACTCTTCTGGACAATCTGAAATGCACTCCAAGGGAGATTGCTCCGACGCGTGTTATAATCAAACGTGGACACAAAGAACAGGTGTGCAATGCCAGGGGATTACGAATGGGTTGGAAAGTCAGGATCAAATTGGCCCTTTTTCTGCGGCATTCCGAGGGGGCATTGGGCCGAAAGACGATCCGGGACTGTTTGGACAATGAGTTCTTCAAGAGTGCATTTTGGGCTGTCTGGGCTTCTACGTATGTTGTTTCACAATGAACTGAAGCAGAGTACATATTCATACACATAGGAAGGTTTGGCTTCTCACCGTGGCACAGCGCCGTTGAGTTTCGCCGATGCTTGCGCAGTTTCCTTCATGAGATCCTCCAGTCCTCTACCGATCCCGCTGCGCTAAATTGTTGCACGTATAATGCTCACGAGGACATTATTATGCCGATGACTCGCTTTCTTCAGAGCCAGGGTGCTGATTTGAAATTTAACAGCAAAACCACTCTTATAACGATGGGCAACGACACTGGCTGTCAAAGAGTTTCAACGCTTTAAATAATTCAGGAAGGGATTGAGAAAACCGTCACAATAGGCCCTCATGACGTCGTTATTGCAACCCTTGGTTCTGCTATATCGGGGTCATCGAGCGGCACTTCCACAGACCCACCGCCTCAGGAGCTATTGCCGGCAGTTGACTATTTCGACGAAAACTGGTCTCTCTGGTTGGGTTTATTTCCGAATCTCGGCGATCCATACAGTTTTTGCACCCGAGTGACGGAGTCGAGAGCAGAATGTTTTACGATCACATCTCGCCAGTGTGACTTCTTCGCCAAGCTCACCCAAGAAAATCCTGAAAAGATCGTTTCGATTGTGCTACCGGGGAGCGAGTGGTCCATCAGTCTATTTAGACCTCATTGCAAGACGATCAACGGGTCCTCTGGCGACGAACGGATCATCTGGGGGCACGCTTCCTCTCCCGGGCGCGAAGGAAATTACGTGAAAAAGCCAATGCTTGACTGTGGGGGAATGGAGATCCTCGCAGAGTTGCTACAGCATTTCCATGCGTATTCAGAGGACAGCCTCAGTCACTTCACGCTCATTCCGCGCGTGGCACCCCGCCTAGCAGCTCCCCTGCTGGCTCGTAACTACAAAGACCGACCAAAGGTGGTAGGAAATGAGGCAGAGAACCTTGCGGTAGTTGGTCAATTTGTTGAGATACCAGATGAGACTGCCGCGACTATGGATTACAGCGTACGGAGCGCCCAATTGGCTGTCTATCGACTAATGGGGTTGAGGAAAGAGCCACGGACAACACGAAAAGCCTCGGCTTCTGATATTCTAAGATGGTAATATACGTGCTAGCAAGAGCACGGCACATGTTGCTCTGTGCAAAGGGTTATACAAATCAATTGATTTCGCAGACGTCCTACTGTGGGATGGCAGAATTTCTCTTCTCTGGTTCTGGCCATGGGTAAATAATGCTCTCGTACATCAGGCAGAACTAGACAGGCCTAGCGGCAGAGCGTTCTAAGTGATAATACGGTAACGAATTTAGAACTTCAAAGCTCAATTGCACTTGATTCGTTAACAACCCCACCCCGCTCTCTCCTCTTTTTCCCAAAAGCTCGTACGAGACATTCTCAGTTGTCAAGCCTCCCGACTCTTTATCACTCTTTAGGGATCTCGTCTATCTATGTTCGTAACATGAAACACTATTGAACGTCTACCAGAATACCGACATATTACATTGCGGGTTCCGAATGCCCCAGTTTGAACGTTGTATTTGTTCAAGGAAGTTTACAATACGGTCGATTATAGTATCTATTACTACACTATAATGTTGAAACAGGAGACTCTGACAAAGGGCAATACGGACATCTTGTGGAAACCTTAACTGCTGAAGAGAGAAACTAAGCTGATTCACATCACTCGGGTTAGGCAGGACCTCTTAGCTACCGCCAACCGCGTTCAAAGCCAAAAGAGACGAGTCATATCCATATAGGTGTCTCAAATTGATGTTTACAGGTGTTCAAATATCTTCGAGTCTGTCTCCACGTATAGCCACGGCAACCGGATTCTCGACTTGCATGACGCCGTTTTCCTGAAGTGTGTCATATGTTAGTTATCGAGAGGATATAATGGGGGGGACATGGAACTGTTCGGATAGCACAAATAACCTTTCTGCCTCACGTTCCTTTTCTTCCGTTGTCATTTCCGGGAGGTCTGACTGCGTTTCCATGTCTCTTCTTTGACTAGTAAGAGGATTGACTTCACGTTCATGCTGTTTACCATCCCAGGTTGATTGCCGCCCATGCCTCTTTCTTTTTCTTGCCTAACGTTCCGTGCAGGGGTATTTGTCATTAGCTGCTTCCCAGTAGAGTACAAGAAGCCAGACGCATATCCATAGCCGGCGTTGCGAACCAGTTGCTCTTCGCCATTATCTGATAACTCAAACAGAAGTCGCTGGATGAGGAGACTCGGTGGATCGACACTTATTGAGGTGGAATGCTTCAAGAGCCGTATAACAACCAGTTGCCCGTACCAAGGATACTGTCGTGGTTTTTATTGATTGATAAAAGCAGAGTCTGAAGAAGTGCCTTGATTCCGGTAGGGACAGTCTGTGAGATGAGGAATAGGACCTGCTTAAGTGTCGAACAAGATTACCCCAGTTCATCTTCCGCATAGTATCGAGTTGCAGGATACAGTAACTGTATCAATCTGGCAATGTGAACTTCCTCATAAGGAATTGGCGCAGAGTTCTGACAAATTGTCGGGTATGAGGAAAACTAGACCGTTAATCAAGATTGACACCGGGTTCTGTAAGGGATGACGAAGGGGTTTCCAGCATGCTAAATATTTGCAAGATGGGCTGACTGGAGAGGATTGGAGACGATATGAAGCTACTATGTTGCAGATGAGCTTGAGATATAGTAGGACATCTCTCGGTAGCGCAATGGAAATAAAACCTACCGAACTGTGGTTTCAAGACTGGACGATACAGATCAGCATCTTCTCTTGGAAGGTGTAGTAGCTGGGCTCGGAACATTGTAGGACAGAGGACGGGTCATACTCGCAAAATAACGACATGAGAGTCCTTCCATCAGCCATGTCAATGAGATGCTCAAGAAGCTGGATTGTGACCACGCCGTCGACGACCCGAGCCCCATCTCTCTCACTTCCGTCGATTTTCTCGGTTAATATACTCTCGTCTGAGACGGCCTGGGAGTCCGGTCTCTTGTTGTCGGACGGAGCCGATTCCGTGGGTAGTGAGACTTCTGGCCTGATACCCGAGTGCAGCTTCTTCTCTACCGACGCGAGTACGTTTCGGAGCTCGTTCATTCATGGCATGTGGTTTTCATTGTTTGCTGAGGATATGAGTGACGCTACGAGGAATGAGATTTCGGTGAGAATGTGCGTATACCCCGAAAGCGAAAGGCCCAGCATGGAACGCACATGGCGCTCTCAAAAGGTTGACTGTCTCGTTGATTGAAAAGCAAGGTGACTCCACGCGTTAGCCCGGCGCGAAAGGTCCACCCAGCGCAAGGCCAATGTTGAAGGTAACATCGAGGCCATGGTTCTACGCATGGGCAGACCAGGGACCGAGTGTAATCTTGCCGACCCTTGTGGCACTAAACGGTGACCGACCAGGGAGCGGTCAAACCGTGTGCAGTCGACCTATTTCGCCTGCCCGTTACCCAGAAAAAATTCGGGGCTGGATTCCCTGACCTGAGTTCTCACACGGTCAGAAGACGGGTGACTTCGTCCATGGAACTGATACAGACAGATACCATAAAGCAAGAAGACAATGAGCCCATAATCAATACAGGCTGTCTAAAATCGGCCCTCAAACTTCTTTGCATGCTGAAGAACGCAGTAATACTCTCCATACTAATACCTGCAAGAGATATTTTGAACAAAACGCTCTGGGCCCAGGATTCTTGGAGAAGTTGGAGAATCTACCTAATTTGTCCCGAAAAACACCTCCAATCTCCTTAGGGTGTCCGGCTCCCGCTCGTCCCTCAGCCACACAAACATCCGAAACCAATGATCGGCGTGATCGATAGCCCGCATGTATTGAGGTATGACTTCCCAGATCTGCTGGCGACACCGTTCAAGGTTGTCGAGGGTGCACTCTACACCCGGAAGGAGGAATGGTAAGACGGCGACTGATTCCAACGTGTACTTATGGTCGACTATAAAGTGCATTCCCAACCAATCAACGGGATATGACAACATGGCACAGGCATACTGAAAGACATCCTCGGAGTGCGTAAGCGGGGATAGGATGCTGGGCCCACTTCAGATCGAAAATTCTGGTTCCTTATAAGTTGAAAACAGGTAACAGTCAACCGCAATGCTCCCTTACTGGTAATCCTGTATCTCGTTGCTGCGCTGCAGGTTGGTCGTCTCTAAGTCAGGCAAATACTCGTCTTCCGTTCGGGTGGTGCGCGAATGAGATAATGAAACTTCTTCATGGACGGGGTGACGAACCGCACGCCGAGGGGGCGCTCCAATGAGTTGCCGCAGCTTGAGTATTTTCGGAATCTGGATGTACGCTATGGTATGATACATAATGCACGTGTAGACGAGTCTTGCATGGGAAGGCGTGGAAAAGGCCGTGGAATCGGCATTGAGAGAAAATCACATTGCTCGGAGTCGGAGGATTATCCGTAGCTCACGTGCGCTTTATAGCGTCCTGATTCCTGAACTATCGCGATGAGATAGTCCTCCTTCGATGGGAGCTTAGACGTTCTTGCTTATCTATTTTAACGATGGGTTAGGACTGCGGGCCAAGAGTGGTGGAACGTGGATCATATCCTGCCGGTCCCCTTGGGCAAGCAGTTGGGCAAATTGAAGGTTGTGAAAGACTAGCTGGGGACTGACCTTGAGCAAAATTCACGCCGTGGCCATCTCCAACTAGCCATCATGGGCAACCTCTCAGGTCGGTCACCTGCCGAAATAATAGCCCTGACGATGCCAGTCGACGGCACCACATACGCCAAAATGGCCTCAGGCTTCTGATCCTCCTCGATGCCTCCAAAAGCACAGTTGCCAAGCGATGGACTCTGAGTACTGAGAGGGTACGACTCTGTGAGTGCGACATCGTCGCTTCCGGATTGCGCCGCCACGTATTGAGCGGTTCTGCTCATTGCGACCATATGAACCGACCGCACGGAAACCTGGTTGGCATTTCGACCCCAGTAAGGAAATTACCATGTTCTCCGAGTCCTGTTGGCCCAGCACGTGGAACGCGCAGACTAGCAGCCCGATGCAGCTCCGGTTGAGTTCCTCCTGTGCAGTTGCCATCGCATGTTACAAGCTGCCCATTGCCCACGGACGAATGCCAGGGGCAAAGTTCACGCAACAGCGTGTCAGAGCAGAGCAGTGTCAAATGACTATGATGTGCGCACTGTGATGGTGGTCGCTGTTCGATCTGCCATGGTCAGCATTCGCAGGATCCGGTGGGTTATTCAGCCCGGGTTATCTGTTGCGGCGGCGCACCGGATGTGCCCGAAATGCATATCGAACAGCGTGGCGGAACCCGGGACTGATCAAACTGCCCATCAACAAACGGCCCTGAGATCTCATGACCCGTGACTATCAAAGTTGAGCGTCCAGACATCGGGCTAGATAGAGAAGTGGAGCCGTACCGAAGGATGCCACTGCCACACGTGGGATTTGTTGCGCGTAAAGACAGGTATCTCATATCACAAGGCATGTTGGAATTCACTGCGTTTGAGGATCGACCTTCCATAATGCGTGAGGCAACCCATTGCCGATGATGGCTTTGGGCGGGATTGGTGGTGGCGGAGTTGTCGCGGCAAGGGGCCTCCCAGACGTGACCTGGCTCGTGGTCGAACTCGAAGAGCCTGATATCCAACCCCGTCCGAGGCTGGAGCATATCCTGGACCTGTGGCGAATCGACTGACAGGCGCACACTACGGTAAACAATCATTAGTCATGGGGTGCACGTCCGACACGGTCAGCCAGCCACTCCTTATCTCACAATCGGTGCGTGTTCGATCGTCCCAAACAGGGTGTAGTCGATCGATCGGCCGTACGGCCTCAGCAACAGTGCGGGCTGCCGACGCTGGTGGGCGCATTTTCCCAGCAAGCGACATAGAAGGGCTGGAGTTGGAAGCACGAGCGAAATCTCGCATGAGGCAACCAGAGGTATACGTACTGCGCCGGCCGGATGTGTCAATGGGGGGACACTGTAATGTCGATACGAAGCAGCTCATGAAAGGGACGGATGGTCACGGTGGGCCATTCCGCCCCCCAGCATTGTTGGATCAAGACGGCATGAGAGATGGCAACGGCACTCAGCTTGATACATAGGGCCCCAGCACCAACCGCTTGCCAGCGGGATTCCGATCCTTGGTCCCACGTATCATACGCCAGGGCCGCCATTGTCGTGACCGCCAGAGAGTAGTGGAATCTTATGGCGACCTGACAGTGCCGTCGCACAACCGCATGCAAGCTCACGGGGATCATGACAAGAACGGCAGTAGCTGCCTAGCCCTGGTTAGTGGTATGCTCTCAGATCACAATAATCATCATCATCATCATCATCGAGGGGCAGCATGGTGGGCTGACCAGTAAGGGAACCCAGTCATGTCTCAGCGAGGCGATGGCAATGACCATGAAGAGGGGAATGGGCGGCCATCACCCGTCCCCACTAGTGATGCGACCATGTAACGGCAGAGCGGCTGAGTCCGAGCAGATGGGCCGGAGGCCAAAGGTCAGGCCCGTATTGAGTGGCAATAGGTTCAGGACGGCGAGCTTCGCCGCGCGTTGCTGGACGTCGGCCCAGCCACGGGCGGACAAAATTAGGAGAAAAATATTGGTGCTAAAGAGCATCCCAAACAAGATCGCTCGAATGCGGTGGCGATGCCAATAGTCCGGACGAGCCACGGCAACTCGCAGGCCACACGCCGTCCAAGGGATCCCGCGAGCTGGCATTGGACAGCCCACCGGCAAGCTGGTACGCCAACGGTGTGATAATCCAGACTCCCAGCAAAGCAGCAACCCATATTCCGTACCAGCCAATGTATTGGATCTGCCTGGCTTGTTTATACAAATCTATGAGCCTCGGAAGCATTGTCTTTGGGGGAGCGAGAGTCGGACACGGCAGATGGGAGATGTCGGCTTATAAGCATTTCACGGCGTCGGCTTTGGGTCACCGGTACAGTCACAAGCTACCTACTTTCATTAATGAATGATTGGCCTCTGTGCCTCTCCTGTTGTAGTGTTGGAGATGGTGAAACGGTCAAGTATATGATAGACACCCGCGTATTTGCCCGTGAAACCATGAGGTCAACTCCGAAAAGCGCTGGGTCCTGTCCGCGCTTTCAGTCCGATTCCCAGGCATCAAAAAATGGGGTACGTCGAAAATAATATGTAGGCACGATAAATGGGTATTTAGCGAGCTTTTGTCAGGCAGGGTCAGTTTTTGGTGGCCTTTTCACCACGCTGGCTTATTTCAAATCAGTTTTTTGTTCTACGGTAGCTCTACATCATGCTGTCAGAGGTTGAATTAGCTGCACGTCGAATTGCATTCGACTGCTACGTATGCTGCTCTACATTGCAGTAGTTTTAAATGTAACTATGCTTTGCGAGTACTGTAATCGCTACAATGGTGGTCTGAGTACACGGCAGCGCGCCTCTGCTCTCCCAAGCCTTTATGCGGCGACCAATTCATCCCGTCCCCTGTGTCTGTGCCGAATCTGGGAGATCTCCTCGTGCAATTTTAAGTTTGTATACAAAGTTGGCGTGCCTGTTGGTTCCGTATGTGTCTCGTGGAATTACCAAAAGCCGGTTGTGCCAGAAACCATCTGACGAAAAGCCGACTGAGGAAGTAGTAACGTACTTCATCCCTGACCTCCGGCCATTTTAAGACTGATGAAATCAATTTGAAGGGGTTAAACGTTCAAGTGTGTTTGTCCAACGGCTCAAGAATTCCGCGCTGAATCGCACCTATTTTAGGGGGGCTGACCACCCTGGTTGAACACCTTTTGAGAGTGGAGCATTTGATTGTTGATTCTTACCATTCTCGTTCATGTGGGGCGACTGATAAGCGGGTCTGCTCCCTGCCCCCTAAAAGTTGAGTCAAAGTGCCGTCATGAGAAATGGGTATTCGAACAAACCGATGATGCTCCAGGTAGTCGAAAAGAAAACTCGAGCGGCTTTATCTTTGCACAACTCTTGACGGTTGCACATGGGAAGCCCTCATGCATTTGGGTGGCTGGACTTTCATTGCGTTTGATTAATGCACTATTGAAAACTGGGTGTTGAAAGGGTTCCTTTCCACTATTCACTTGTTCCTTTCCACTATTCACTTGACTGTGTTGACATTTAACGCCCTCAAAATCTGGGTATTCTGCCCTTCGTGGAGAAGAAGTCTGACTGCGTTTGATAGACTGTTTGATGTACTCTAGTCTCCCGCTTACCTGGCTAGAAATTGAGGGCAAGAAAATTTACCATTCAAGGCTCGTCGAATCCTAGGAGCTGACGACCCGCTGGGTAGATACCTCGATCGCACGATTAGTGTGGAACGTTAGCTTACAATGATATGGGCATTGGGTTATCCCGCTTCTCAAAATTAAATTTAGGCTTGCGCTTACTTTCTTTTACCCTTCGATCAGGTGTTGATCTGTCTGTTGATCCGTGGCTAGCAACGTGTGGGACAGTTCCAACCATTTTAGGACTAGCGTGGATGTGAACTGGGGCTTCATTGATGCTAACACGATGAATGCGTTTCTACCTTGACAGGGATATTGGACATATTATAAGGCTATTCAGGGGGATAATTGAGGGGATTAGGGTCAAAAGCCATGGAAGAAGCAATCTAGATTCTGATAGCACAGAAGATCCGCGAGTTGCTGATACTCTGCGGAATTGGTGATCGCAGTGACGAGCCGATAAAGTAATATATCCTTGGCATTTCTGATTTTGGTGAGTACTCGGCCGCTGTTGGGAGGGTCGCAGGTGTGCTGATATACATTCTTGTCCGTGAAACTCGGCTTAGTGCTGGAATAAAGGACATACCTGTAAACGAACTCCGTGGGTCTTATCGGGCATTATCATTCGCAGAGAAACGGGGCAGAATGGATTACGCGGGGATGGATAGCCCTTCTATAAAGAAGAGAAAAAGGGGAAAGAAAGGCTCAAATGTCAACAAATCACTGAACGAGAGGTCCTCCTAAAAGGGTAGCAACGCCGTATCACCTGGAAAATCCGAACACTCCAATACTTGTGCGGCAGCAACCGATAAGCTACTGAGTGCTGGAGAGCCGAAGGTGGGCGATACTGCTCTTGTAGCTTATGGCAAAGCGTATCCAACGAGCAATAGCTCTGTGCTGTTAGAGGTGGAAGCGGAGAGGCACTCTGTATTGGATTCGCCTTCATCTGCAATGGAACTTGTGTCGTGGCCGGATCATCAGAAAGAACCTGATTATCCTAGGTTGGCAGCTCCTGGCATATGCCCTGGGTCGACTTTTTACATTAATGACGCTGGCTGCTTTACTCTGCTCCCTTCAAAGTTGTCTTCTACGCCAACCTTGTGCGCGTCAGCCATGAGAATAATTGAAATGATATTGATGAACTGTGCCAAGCTAAATTATGCGCTGGTAAAATACGGGTGTTAAAAAAAGAATGTTACTATAACAACGAAGATCGAGGATATCCGGAGCTACGTTGATCAGATCACTCAGTTGCGATACGCAGGCGCAATATATGCCGTGAAGAAGGACAACGCACTTTTTATGAGTAAGGCTATGCAGTCTCGTGGAGCATTTCCTCTTCCGGTGTCGGAAGTGGACTACGCAACGGATCGCACTGCTACAATGTACTCGAACTCAGCGGGGCAATCTCTCCCTCTGCCTGGGCGGGAAATCGCCGTCCGATGATCAGCAATGGACGCCGAACTTGGAGGCAGTACGAGCCTCAATACGATTTGCCATTGCCATGGGCCGACTCGACGCCGTCTAACCATGTCAACCAAGATAATGACACCCTTCCCCTAACTAACCTACACCAGCCACCTTGTGCCACAGATGGTAGACGCGCTTCAACTGCCGAGTATAGGATATTGAACACTTGAAGAAGCGCCTTCAAGCCAGTCTATTAACAAAACTACTAACCCACAGGGATTCCTACGATACTGACAGTTGAGAGGACATATACTGAAAGAGTCTATGTATGGGCTCGAAGAAGATACCGCAGATGTACATTAGAACCGGTGTTGATAGATCAGTGATAGTTGCCCCTTCGGCTGAGCCGCCGGGCGTTAATGAATTGTGTGTGTGTGTGTGTGAACAGTGACAATAATCCCCATTTTTAGTATACCTGTGCCTGAACAATGACGCAAAGGATAAATGACGTCGCGAGTCCTGGGTAACTCCCCCGGTACGCTTCGGACAAGAAATCTGCGAGTCCGCGTATGGCTGGTCAAACCGTTTGCTTGATCCATACAGTACTGTACTCGGCGTTCAGACGCGTTCAAGGCAGACCGTCTGACTTCATCTCCCTTGTGAGTCCCTTCTACGGTCTCACCTTCCTGTATCTAGAACCTGCCCGCCTTGATTAGATTATGCTTATTGGTCTTCGTTGACCTTTTCGGAATAATGTAAGAACTTTACCAGTCAACCCCAATCCCTCATAAACCTTTATGCCTTTATATATTGCTATAAGCATGTAGGATTGTTAAGGTACGGACAAACGGATGATCCTGATTAATTTGATGGAAGGTATGGGTAGGGTCACCTCAACAGCATCACTGTTGAGATACCACAACCCTGATATTTTAGACAAAAGATATTTGGGGCTCTGCCTTCACTTTCAAGTCAGTGTGGATCACAGTCCTCCAGCACTGTCGGCCATATATTTATGCCGTCCAAGAAAGCCACAGCAAGCCCACCAACTTGGTGCATAAGAACGTGACAATGAAATAGGAAAGGCCCCGGATTCTGTACATGATATCGAAGTGCTAGCCAAGCCCCACCATTTCTGGAGGTCGGTGTTGGATATGTGTCCCTAAGCTGCGGGTTCACGAAATTGAAACTGTCAGGAATATGTTCAGCCGCCTCGGCCACCGAGGCATACGTCCACGGGCCTGAGCCTTCTCCAATCACGAAAAACTTGTTCGAATGCTTATGCAACGGATGCTGAGGCTCTCCAGTCGCGACATTTATTATAAGATCGACCCATGTGTCGTTCAAGGTCGGAAGGGTATATTGCACAGGTATCGAACTGATGTTGTAGAGCACGGGCACCGATAGGTGCTCTATTGACGGCGGGTAACTGTCATTGCCCAATACCCAGGTATATGACGCATTGTACATATGGACGTTCAGGATAAAAGTGCGATCAACGTCCAACGCCGGCGCTAAGGCTGGAAATGGGACTAGATCTGTTTCATCCAAAATGTTTGTTTTCGGGGAGACCCCCTTCCCTATCTCAGTGATATATGGCTCGGAGGAGTATTGCTCCGAGGGCGCTTTGTAAGACAATATTGCCGTCCCGTTGATGATTTGATTTGCATAGTTATTGGCAACCCGAATAGTGTAGTTACCCGCAGGCCGATCTAGCCTTGCCATGACGGAATACCGGGCTCCGATTTGGATAGTGAGGGCATCGACAAGCAGTGGCTCAACGTATCGACCATCTACCGCGTAGATGTACAGCGGGTGCTCATCAATTGAGAATACTAGCGAGGAGCTCCCAGCAATGTTTATCAAGTCGTAGCTGACGCATTGTGAAGCAGGATCAACAAAGAAGACTTCGGTCTGGCCCTCAGCTGGTGTGCAACCTTCGTAATATCCTTTGGGGATTTCGCTCATGTTGAACGGGAAGAAACCCAGGCGGGCTGCAATGGGCGGTAGGCAGCTAAAAGTCACAAGGTTAATATATATCTTGAGAAGTTCACAAAAATTTACAACAACAACCTACCCCATATCAGACATATTTCTCCCATTGAGCAGTTCTTTCAATTCTGGCCGGGTGAGCTCATTGATATGCTCCTGTGGCGGACAAAACATAGATCCCTTGCCATTCACGAGGATGGAACTAGCACAGTAACTCTCAACACCGGATAGTTCCTCGATGTTCAAAATTTCCGCTGAAGTCAGACGCCGCCAGTCTGAAAGAATAACCGGCTGGGTATTCTGCTCTGCCTGTCTCAGGAAGTCCAGCTGCGTCTTATCTGTGCTGATCAACGAGAATGGCCTCTCAACGTTGTCTGCTGGCTTGATATAGATGGCTCCGTAAAAGCCGTCGTCTATCTGGGCCGATTCGTGTGAATGATAGATGTAAGCACCGTAGTCGTCGGCTTTCCAGTTATACAAGAACTGGTCCCCTGGCGCGATAGGTAGTTGAGTTAGACCGGGGACCCCGTCAGACCAGGGGGTACCTTGCTGTTGGATACCTAGATGGTAGAGAGGTTTGTCAGGGCATGTCACTTGAGAAGTGTGGCGGACAACAGACCATGAAAGTGAACGGTAGTTGGAAAAGGCATGTTGTTAGTCACCAAAACTTCTACATCATCTCCCTGTTTCAGCCAGAGTGTAGGGCCGGGAAACTGTCCGTTAATGAGAACGACATTTCGGATGTCCCCAGCAACCTCATGATCCTGCCATGTTAGGGTAAGATTATATCCCACGACCCGGCATGATACCCCCTGGATAAAATCACTAAAGCCGCCAAAATCAGCTTGCCGTGAGATAACCCCATGTTGCGACGTGTCGAAAGTGTGCTGTCAGTTCAATGAAAAAGCGGGCATCTGGTCCGCAATTTATGCGTTCTCTGGGCAAGCTTTACTACATTTTTTGCTTCACACTCATTCTCCATCGGACATGAGAATGCGGTGCACGAACAAACTCCAATAGACGCCAAGAAGGCCGGCCGACGGAATGAAGGGATAACCAGGAACACTGCTTCAGACAATCTTGTCTGACCTAGTCGGATCTAAAGAATCTTTCTTCAAAATTGGATTCACTAAAATAATCAGTAAAGATCTCATATCTTTTTGGCTCAGATGTGCTTTAGGAGAAGCGGATCAGTTGACGACAGCAACAAGGCCTACCCTGGTAGGCTAAAGCTACTAAAGGGGGAAAGGAAAGGCCAGAAAATCACTCTTAAGTTATCAACTACCAATGTTCGATGGTACAGTGTGGAATCGAAAATCTTAACTTTCCCTTTATCACGCCAAGGAGCTAGTAAGTGCCGCTTCCATATTGGGACTAGTTGAAGCTATCCAGCCTGCCAAAACAACGTTTATATAGATTCTGTTAAGGACGCTATCCAGGGGATGCGCGAGGCTAAAAAGTTGTATTAGTTGTTGATATTCAGGCCATGGTTGAGGTGCAAAAGAGGACAGCAGGGAGGTGCTAGCCAGTGTTGTCGGAAGGCCGAGTGTATCCATTCGAGAAAATGTAACTCTAACTGATGCTGAAAGAAAATGCTTCACTTAGGGCCTACAATCTAGCCAGATAAGAACAAAGGCGCCCTACCTTGTTCTCTTTCCTAATTCGACATCCGTCTCTCTCAATTCAGTGAAATGGTCGTACTCGAACTCTGGGTAGGGGTGGAGATCAAATATCGAATAGTCGAACATTCGAAAATAATCATAAATCCGAATACAAATAACTTTAGGAAACAGGCTTATCGCGAGTCTGGTGCCGAAAGTACCGACGGGAGGGTTCGCGCTATTGGGGGTGCTTTGACAGGGGTTGTTCAAGTTTCATGTGATAAACCATACCTCTGGGTCGGCGGGACTGTGGCAATATGTCCCCTCCTGGTCATTCACCTTATCTCGTCAGTCAATCCAACTGTTGGTTCAGATCGAGCTTAGAAATATTGGATACTCGAGGCCTCCTTCTCGAAACGAGAGTTCAACCCTTACGAGACGATGCAAGGTGAACTGAAGCAAGAAATCGAAGCCAAAACGGTCAGTTATAACTGCGCAGTATGTTCGTATCAACGCTAATCTAATCGCAGCGGATTGTTAACCAAGTTTTGAATGAATGGAAGAATAAATAGCGGGTATGCAAGTATTTTCTATTGCCACCGGTTCGCCAAGCGGCTCCTTGAGACAACATTGCAAAGAGCTTGATATATTCTCGGGCCCGGAAATGCTACGTGGCCAGGTTGCTTATGCGACTGCTCTTTATCTTCTGTTCGGCCTCAGCTAATCAGCCAACAGGATTGATCATCAACGCCTGCCTAACTCCAGTAGATCTAGCAATGTTGAAGGGCCCGCCAGGCCCTGTATCAGCATCGGCAATGACAGGTATTTTTTCCGTGCAGCGCAATCCATCCTTACCAGTTGGTAAAACTCAAGTCTCAGTCATTACTGGTAGGTCAGGCTCACCACAGTGCGACCCTGCAGACACGCTGCCGGCTAGGTAAGGAAAATCGAACCTTATAGTAGAGACAACGAGGATTGAGATATCATCAAAAATGCCTGGTCCGATGAGGCGTTTTCCTAGAAGTCCATGAGGTGAATCCAACCATGTGAATGCGCGTACGCGGACACCGGCACCACACCTTTCTCCGAGGCCTCCCGACAACGTCTTAGTCTATCGCCTTATATATTAACCATTTCTTCAAGGGGTAGCATACAGTATCAATAGGTGAAATGTTAGGAAGCAGACTACCCGATTGTTTGACTATCAGTATATTAAGATATGAAGATCGTTAAAGGACACCACTGTTGAGGCTCGATTGAAGATATAGAATGCCCTTTCAGCAACAAGAATGAAAGCTTGCATCCAAAAGCTAGCACGACATATCTAATATCTAGGATCAAGGATTTTTGTGCTCTTATCCAATCCTGAGTCCTTCTGTTAAGTTACCATTGGGTCACTTCCAATTGACAGGATAGGGTTGGTTGAACGAGACTGTCTTCGGGACCAAGCGCTCCTGGATACTTGTTGCCCCCTTATCATCACCACCGCAATTCAGATAAAACACGTCTCGAAATAACCTAAAGAAATCCTCTCTGGGAACCTTTCCAGGCAAGTATCTCTATGATACTGATACTCTCTTACGGAGTGGCCGCTTACCGCCTTGGAAGGGTCAATGAGACATCAATCAAAACATGTCTAGGCCAGTCATCAAGCTGTTTTCCCAGCATTGATAATCATAAACTTACGCTCTCACCTTCATGAATCTTTCGAACTAGTTGCCGCCTCTTAGTATGCGATCAGCCAACCGATTCGGCTCATAAAACTACTTGCTAATGGTACGGTAGTCTGGAGGATTGCTGCCATCGACCTCACCAAGTATTGGCGAAGCGGGCACAAGAATTATCAAGCTACCGCGCTGGGTAATACCAACGTGTAACATTCGGCAGTACAATTGCGATGCGCTCCCACCCAGACGTTGAAGAGCGCAAGAAAATTGAAGGAATTCTTCGAGGCTGATGTAGATACGTCACATACGGTAAGCCGGACGCAGAGCTACTTGCTCATCTACGCCCTAATCAAGAATAATCTGTCGTAATCCATCGGGCCGAAGCTGCTACGACAAGCAGATAGCAAAAGCACATTGCGAGATGATGACCATCCACGTACAACTGCGCACGATTGGTCGAATCAAGCCAATCAAGTAAACGAGGATGAGCATTCCCATCCGTCGCACCAAGTCCAAGGCGTGAAAAGAACGTGCTCCTCCATTTGCTGTGTGCGCAGGACCAAATAAAGTCCAGAATGATGTATGTAATAATGCTTTTGGTTCTCCCTTCGTAGTAGTCAAAGTTATGACGGTAGGTTGTCCTCGCTCCAGTTGGAGAGGTCAATACTAACGGGACAATTTCTGTGTCTATGCAGATCCAGTATGCCTTATCAATTGTTATCAGTATCATCGTCAGAGGTGCAGTGGAGGTTCATTAGGTCCTGTAGGTTAAGGGTACCATGGAAGCTTCATGACGACGGTAATATCTGCGAGCGAGATATTACAACGATTGGTTACAGGAGGCAAGTATTTGATATTGACTCGACAATACAAGTCTTGATTTTTATTGACGATAGACTGTGGGCAGACACATCACCTGAACTCCCGTATACGTCATCATTGTCCTTATCAAGTAAATCGCTTCTCATTCGCACAAAAACATCAAAGTGGGCTTGACTTGTTGTGGCATTATAAGAGCACTGCGTCATCTCCCTCCCTACCGCGGGCTGGCAGGATAATTCCTCTCACTTAGGTTAGATTAGCTTAATTTCTATTGGTTACGCCTCCTCCCTTCTCAGTAATTAGAAAAGGTAGAATAAAGAAGGGGCCGCTCGGTCCCACCTTTTCTATTGCATAACGGGTTCAGTGAGAATAATCTGTGGTTATGGATAGGGATACTTTGAGCCACTGGTAGCATCTGAACAGAGCCCAGTATTATATCTATCTATATATCGTATCCTGCTGCATCCAGATTACTGCGATTAGAGCTCACGTGAGGAATATATTTCTAGAGAATATACTAGATGTATTATAAAACTTTCTAGCCTCATTTTCAGGCACGATATGATGGAGAGATATCCATGTAACTGGACACTTGCAACTCTTATTCCAGAGTCATTATGATGGATAAAATTATTGCTAGCGAATTTGATAAACTTATAACAGCATACAATGCGCAAGCCATTCATCACTCCACCATGTATTTTCTTCCTTTCCAGTCAGACTGACGATGTTCAGAAAGCCTACCGGACACGTATCTGTTCTGCCTGGAGAATCTGGAATTGGATATATCCTACCGCCAGCTGGCATAGGACCATTATTTTCACTCGTCTTGTGTTACTGACTGGGCGGATCGAGGATCAAACCGCTGCCCATTATACCATTAATATTTGGAAATGACATCATGGTCGCCTAGGGAATATTTTATAACGCAGTCTTGATTTCAAGGTTCACTATCAAACCATAGCATATACTTAAGAACGGGGTCCGGTTTCTTGCGCAAGGTTCGGGATATGTTTACCAGAACAAGGCACAGGTAATATCAGGATTTTAATTATATAATTATTTGAATGTACATTTATCACAGCATTTGTAAGATCCAGGCCAGCCAGGTAGTCTTGGGCTCAAGCCTTTTCTTTTAGGATTTAATGTTCTACATTACCAGATACAAAACCATACCATACTTACCCTCGCCAATCATGGGCAATTAGAACTGTATTTGTAATCCTAGTGGCTTCGAAGAACTGAATCAAATAGCAGATTCAGACTTTAAATATGATTCTCTCAGGGTACAGAATCTTATCATTCTGCCGTAACGAAGCTAATCCAAAGCATAGACATCGTGTCCTTATCGAGACAAAGGAGGCAATGTCTACATTAAATCCGGATCATGCTCGTAGTCAGTTTCAAGCCCGGCTTCATGACTATAGAGAAAGAGGACACTAGCACATTTCTCCACATATACACACACACAATTCATTAACGCCCGGCGGCTCAGCCGAAAGGGCAACTATCACTAAACTATCAACATGAATCCTTATGTACATCTGCTGTATCTCCTTCGAGCCCATACATAGATCCTTTCAGTATATGTTCTCTCACCTGTCACTATCGTAGGAATCCCTGTGGGTTAGTATATATGTTAGTAGACTGGCTTGAAGGTGCTTTTTCAAGTGTTCACATTCTATCCTCAGCAGTTGAAGCGCGTCTACCATCTGTAGCACAAGGTGGTTGGTGTAGGTTAGTCAGGGAAAGGGTATCAATGTTTTGGTTGACAT